TATACAGGGGCGCAGTGGCTGGGGGGGCAGGGGGGCAGCCGCCCTCCCTGGCAAAAATTTTGTCGGATTGTCGGAAAATCCAACGTTTGTCGGAAAATTTGAAATATTAGACAAAATGTAAGGTTTTCATCGATCCTGTCCAAAAGGTCGGATATTTTTCTAAACCTGTCGTAAAATAGGGCATGCTCAACCCTTCTTACTTATTTTCATTAGAGTATTTATCGGAATCGTCGCATTGCTGAAATTTGTAAGGAAATTAACGCTCTGGTCTCAGTTATTTTATAAACTCCCATTTCCGACAGTTAAAATTCAACTCAGTTCATTTCGAAATGAATTCGCTGGTGTTGTAGAAGACGCAAAAAGTTATTATTTTCGCCATGACTTAGAAGAGGAAAATTTTGTCGAGCGACGAATACGCAGAAAGAAAAAGATGCCAGGGGAAAATTGCATGGATAAATTAGAAGGAAATAGGGAATTCGTATATCATCGTGATAGTAGATACAGCTATCAGCCCAATGAATTCAAGATTCACGTCTCATAAGGCGATTTTGACAGATTTTGCCTTGCTCAACCCTGAATGTTTTCAAAAAACAATTGAAAGGCAGTTGTGTGCAGTGTAATTCAAAAAAGTTGGGAATAATTGCGGCCTGGATGACGAAAAATTAAGAGATGAGTACAGCTCTTTCGCCAATATTTACCGTAAAATTTGGAAAGTTAGAGAAAAGAGCAACCCTCTCCCGGCTGCAGGAGAAAGAGAAAACTTTTCAGTTCCATTCAGTTCTTCAGTTGATGATAAGTATAACCTGCAAAGTGCCTTTCCACAGCTGGTCCTTCTTTACAAGGTTCTCGTCACTTTGCCAATAGGTTCAACAAACTATGAAAGAGCTTTTTCAAAGCTGAGGATTGTAAAAAAATCGGCTACGGTCAACGATGGGACAAGACCGCCTTTCCTCTCTGATAACAATCAACGTCGAAAGTGATATTTTACAGTCGATAGACTATGGTGACATCATCGATTTGTATACTGCCACCCCTCTTTTGAGAAAGATGCTGCTTGAGTAACAGTTTATATAAATTTCATTTTGAAGAAAACTATTCTTTTGGACGCGTTATATCTATTTAAGGTTTAGCATAAATAAATGCAAAGTAATTATGATGCGATTTAAAACTTGCCAAAAAACAGCTATAAACACTAACTTGACAGTTTATTGTCTAGTGTAGCGAGAAGACTTGTAGGGTGTAAATTTATAACTAGTTGCAGTTTTGTTCATAGCGATTTATATTTGGTAAGTTTTGGTAGAATAAAGGCTATGGTTGAGCTTGAAGGCGTATAACGAACGATCCATTCGTTAACGATTTCCAGATCCATTCGTGATATTGTAGTATCAAGTGTTGCAGTATATGCAGTAAGGGTAATCTTCAAGGAATGTATTGAGAAAACATTTGTCGGAAAAATCATAGTTTTATCGGAAAATTTTCAGCTTTGCCCCCCCCCCCAAAAAAAAAGTTAACTCCCACTGCGCCCCTGACTCTATATCGAACTGACGAGAAAAATTCACATTTTGTGAACAAAGTAGGAATCTGGGATAGCCGCAAAAAGACATTTTCACAAATTCGCAAAATTCAATACTGCACATTTTGTAAATCAATACTGAACGTTTTTAAATTAATACTGCACAAAGTGTGTAATACTGCACACTAAAATAGGCCCTGTCTGTATGCACATTTCAGTGAACGGGAGACTAGCTCCCCTACGAACTCGATAGCCACGATAGGTGTTAGAAGCACCGTAAATCATCGAATTAATCCCCACTCCTCAAAAAAGCCCCCCTCGAAAAAGCCCCAACTGCTACGGTTAATTCTAGAATTTGACCCCTCAATTTGATGAAATTTTGCCATCTGAGGTTTTCTTTTGGCATTTCTTTGAATTACTGCAAAATTCATACTTTTGGTAATTATTAATTAAATGCTCATAAAGATATTCCTACTAAAATAAACGAGATGTTTTAATAATGTCTTCTTAATGTCTACAATAATTTCATAAGCCCCTCCCCTCGTAGAAGCCCCCCCCCTCGGATAAGCCCCTCTCCAAAAATATAAAAAATAAATAAGCCCCCAGGGGGCGAATTCGAGGGGGGCTCATACGAGGGGGGCTTGATTAGGTGGTAAACCATGAAAATATTTAAACGAAAAACACGAATAGACCTGGGCTTGCAAATGTTTTAAAGCAACTTTCAATAGCATTCCTGTGACTATCGTTAGGAAGGGGGGAGCCTTAAATAGAAAGGGGGTAGAGGCTCCCCCCTTCCTAGCAATAGTCACAGGAGTGCGAATTTAATGGGCACAAAAATGCAAGCAATTTTTTTATCACGTGACCTGCGCGGAGCCAATTTTTTCAAATCGTTATTTGGAAGGGAACTTGAAAATATTTAACGAAAAATAAAAAAAGGTATTCCAAAGTTTTTATTAAAGATTCACTGTTTTTTAGGTTTAGTATAGACATTGTAAAGTAGGTTTTGAATTATTCTTTTTTGCGTTAATAAGCTTATTAGCTATATGTATTTTCTGATCTTTTTTGCCAACGTAAAATAAATTGTTAATGATAATCGTCTATATGTACAATGTTTGCAATAAAGGCGACCACGTTTCAGAGACCTTGGGGATAGGCGGGACACGGGGAAATTTCCCGGTGGGCCCCTTTTGAGTGAGTTTGTGAAACCCAGGACAAACAGCCCCTTGTGAAAGAGATTGCGTGAAATATGAACATGACCGCTGAGAGAGGGACAAGGAGAGACAAGCTGCCCCAGGGCCTCGAGGTCTAGGGGGCCACTTAAAGTAATGAATTCAAATTAAAGAACTGAACTTCAACGAAACGCAAGAAAGTATGCCTACAAATTGTAAAACGTTGTTAACGACTGCAAAAAAAATTAAAATGTATTTCAAGCTAATTAAAAGGGCGTGGCTGCAAACATTTCTGCTCGCTTCGCCCGCAGTGCACCTAACTTTGTGTTTATTTCAAATGTGCACTGCAGCATTGGATTTATTCCACATTTTTTGCAGTCTTAAAGAGACTATGGTTATAGAAAAGAGGATACACCCCAATAAATGAAGCAAATGTCCCTTTAAAGATGATAAAATTGGCATCTTTTTATTTTTCGTGCGTGCACGGTTTCAAGGTACGTGCCATTTTGGGCGACCTGTGGCTTGTGATTGGAGATGTCAAACAAATGAGCGGGCCCCTTATGATCAGTTTATCCTGGCCCTTTTCTTGGAGCCACAACGCCCCTGCCACGTTTATACTATAAGGGAAAATAGAAACGTTACCAAGAGGGCACTCGGGATGCACCGCACCGCTGTCATGCAATCTAGTACTTCGGAGAAAGAGGAACTATCAAAACAGTCAAGCTTCCTTCGATTCCGAACAAATAATGTGGCTCTCAACCAAGAGCTTGTTTTAACGTTTGTTCCAAATAAATTCAATCGACTTCATTGTACCTACGGTGGATGGACAATTTAATATAAACATGTAAAACTTTTCAGCACACTTGTCATGGGAGCCCTCTTGAAAGTTTTAGATGTTACTGGGCATCGTGGCCCATAAACCTGCCCCAATCGCGACCTATGTATTTCAGTTTCCCTTCAAATAAAACCCCCAACATCTGCTTGGCATGCACAGAATACAATGATATTACACAGAATACAATATTAACGATAACTGCAACAATTCAAAAATACTGGCGGATTCATGCAAGATTTAGACAGAACCAATCATAAACTACATCGCTACAAGTTTCTTTTGGTAAAACATGTCTTGTGGGACGTGTTATTTGCCATTATTCTCCATGGCACATTGACTTCCTTGGCCCTGCCTCTGTGGCACAGCGCGCGCCCATGTTGGATGACCTTGCTCCAATAAACAGAGTCCACAAAAGGGCATTGAGAACAATGTGGAAGGTTTTCGCAGCCCCCTTTGCTGAACTTTTAGCTAGGGGTAGCGAATGCACTACTCATAAGCTAAAATTGCAAAATTAATTCTGGAAAAATATAAATGGCCCTATTCGGAAAATTCGTATTTTATGTGGCATATATTCCGAACAAAAGATGTAGCCTATAACCTAAAGACTGAAGATCTTGTACAGTTACCGAGTACAAACACATTGACATATGGGAAAGATTCATTATCCGTCAAGGGTGCCATCCTTTCGAACACATTATCTGACTCAATAAAAAGCCCACCAGCAAGTGATCTTTAAGAGATCAATTATTATAAAGTGCACAGGCAATAGTTGCTCATGAAATTTATATAGATAAAGAATCCGTGGGAATCTCAACAGAAGCATACTTTATATTTACTGTGATATTTTTTGTGCCAATAGTTTTACTTAATTAGTTCAAGCTAGAACTATCTTTATTTTATCCAACTGCAAATAATGTTATCATAAAAACAATAATAAAAATAATAATAATAATAATAATAATTATAATTATACAAATAATAACATAAGCTGTTGCTAGAGCGAAACGCAACGCTGCTATTATAGGAGAGTTGCAAAGGCAAAATAATATGAAATATAGATGAATATATTGTGATTCGCAGTCATTTTATCAAAATTTGATATGTTGTAGTTGATTTTGCATTCAGATCTGAATAGAAGTTTGATTACGCTGTATACCAAACCGGGGGAGTGTCCTGGGAATAGATTGGTTCCCAGTCCTTTCTCCCGTTGACCAATGCGTTGACAGGCCTTTTGGTAAATCGCTTCGGCATATGACCTTGGGGCAATTAGTTGCTAGAGTTGCTTAGTAGTATGCATACGCACATTTACTTACACGAATTACTAACATATACTTTCAAAAAATGGATCTGTTTATACACTGGCCTATACTTTACAACAATTTTCACCGAGCAATTGGGATACAATGAAAAATAAAACTTTTTCTAAAATATCTTTTTTTTTGGGTTCCAGATGTAAAAGAAATGAGATAAAAAGATAACCTCCTTTTAATTTGACAGTTAATTTCAATAATTGCCTTTTTGAGTAAAGTCAACGTTCAGTGCAACAGTTCTCATATTAAAACAAGTTACGGCGACAAAAATTTACCTATGTTTTCTCTAATGAATCATAATTTTCACTACTTGCGCTTATTTAATTTTCCATTTCCTACAAGAGGTTTTTTACAATTGTGTCGAAAATTTCAGCTTCTGGCAAACAAAAATATGCCTTGAAAATAAGGATGGCATTATTTCAATATGAGTAGAATGCAGGTATTCTATCATGTATTGGTATTCTATCAAGGAACATGAAATTGTATATGACAGTGTGCACAGACGTGAAGTATGAAGATCAGGTGACATTCAACTTGCGATTTGTGGCTTTTCCCTTCTTTGATTTGTTTTCTACCTTTACATGTAGAAATGCAGTCTTCAATACTGTGTCAAGAAATGGTGAAGCTGTTATATCTTGGACAATAACAACATAGTCGCCTAAAAAGAAAATAATACATTTTTTGCATGACATGCATGGAAATATATACGAAAATATATAGTATAAGAAAATCAATAGAAAATTGAAATTTGACATCACTGAAATTTAAGAGCATTTTAAGAATAATACAAGGTTCGAGCTTCACCAAGAATTAAATTTAGAAAGAGGATCGTGCAGAAAAACTCATAACTTTTGTGGTAGCAGGAGAGACATTTAAAATGCCCTATATCCAATCTCTTTTCTCCATACACCCTGTGAACTTTCATGACACCTTGCAACCATATAGATCGGTAGATAAGGTCAAGTGTACATGTAAGTTACTACCCGAGGCGGCACTGGCTGTCGCCGAAGAGGAAATTTGTTATAATTGTAATGCTTCACGTTTACCGTAAAGTGCATTCTTGAAGCTAATTTTTTTAATAAAATCTCATTCCTAAAAATAATATTTGACGGTATTTATCTTTTTCTTTGTTCTCATTTTGAAAAGTTTTACCTTTTGCAACATAACTCCATACATTTTCAAATCTGGGAAAAATGTTTCAAACCTGGTCATAGGCAATAATTGGCACTGTTCGGGTCTTCAATATCGAATAGAGATGTAATTTATGACACTGTCATACAGGGCTGTAGACACTAAAAACTTATTATTGGAGAGACATGAAGGAACCAAAAATACCCAATTAAGCTTTTGGTGTCATTGAGACATGGTACAAAGCACGCGATGAACTTGGGAGCAAATTACAGAGAACTGATTATCGTATATTTTCTATTATAGTGGATAGCAGTCTGTTTCCCACGGACAAATCGTTAAGACAAACTGCATTTTTGAAAATTTTTCCTTACCTTGCCCCTGTCAATTCGTTCCCCTCCCGAATCAATGTTGAATTTAGTGTTCTACAAATTTTGCTTTGGAAATTTGTACTCATTATTGAATCGGGGAATGGAAAATTAAGAGACATTTAAATTTTATTTGAAAGTCTCAACTATTTTTGCCCTGGAATTGTAGATGAATAGCTACTCGAAAAGATGTACTTTCTAATCCTCTATTCAAGGAAGAAGGGGGTGGCTTAATTTTTCCTCGAAAACGCTTTAGTGCTTCTAGAGGTCTGGGGGGATTGCATATTAATGGCAATAACAAAATTTGGCTTATAAGGATTTTGACTTTAACCGGTAAAATCCTAACAGCAAATGACCTTTGGTAGAAATCGGCAAATTCTGACCCTCTGCAAGGGCTACCTGCCCCCCCCCCGGCTACGACACCCCTGTGGTCATTGTTGAGGGGGAATGACAACAAGGCCAACTATTTTGCATAAGTCGTGGTTGATTCTATCAGAAAGATTCCAAGGTGAACTCGGCTGATGGTGACGAAAAACATCACTGCCATATTTAACCAATCAACTTTCTGTTCTCTAAAACCCAAACAAACAACCATTCTTTAGAATCAACATTCAAATTTACCCCAGTTTCACTTCTCCCCTTCGGTAGAACTTTTTTGTAAATATTCAAAAACTTTGTTTGTCTGCTCATTAGAAAAACATAAATCCAAAAATAAAAGACAACGGTTTGAAATACTGAATCTCTTGCTAAAACGCCTTTTTAAAAATAGAGAATTTTCCCCAATTGAAAATAACGTAGATTTTGTTGAATATATGTTTGAATACAGACTAATGTGATGATATACTGGTCTTTAACTGTTTCAACAATATTTAGAGAGGCGTTCATTCACATTTTTGCTTGAAAAGGTGGCCCTAATACACCAATTCGACCTACGGCCTCATTTTGAAAAATTCTTCAAATTCATTTGTACAAAATCTTTGACCTCAGATTCGTATTGACAGCAATGATTTTAGTCTACTTGTATATGCTCACGATATTGATTTTATGACGACATAAAGACTTTACTTTATAAAACTTTATAAGGGATTTGACCGTGATTGGCGACTAGGGGGGTAAAGTTTCCCCCGGAACGATTTTTGCGGTCAAATTCCTTACAAGTTTTCTAACTTCATTTTTCGGTTAAATCTAAAATACAAGCTCAAACAATATGAAAAGTGGCATTCCTTCTTAAATTATGACGATAAAACCAAATCTGAGCTTAAAAAAGTCGTATAATTAAGTTTGGAGAAATTTCCAAAACGAGGTCGTAAGTCGAATTGGTATATTGGAGAGGCGCATTCATCGGAGAGGTGGCGCTGATTAGAGGTAATACGGTATTTATGATCAGTTTAAGTTAAGTAAATACACGAGCGTTATGCTGAGGGTATAAAATCAACATCTTCCTCGCTTCAACGTACTATCAAAGAAATATTCTCTTATTTAAGCCATTTTATATTCCATCTTTCTACGACGATGTGGTCATTAAAGGATCGATTTCTCACATCTCTCCAGTGCTAACATTTTTCCTACCGAAAAATTCAGTCACTATCTTTTTGGTAAACCCATTCTCTTGCGTACAGATAATCGCGCAACTATATATCTGTAATCCGAACATAGTCCTAAGACTAGAAAACCGCTGAATTGGCCCTGATTGCCTTCAAAGTTTAATTATATTCTAGAACCCATTCCATCCAAAAATTAACGCAATAAGCGTCTACCTTGATCGCATGGACAGCATCAACTCACTCAAATAGCAGCCTGATTCATCCAGTAGCTTCAATCTTAGACTTCCCAAAAAAAGAACACATCACATCCGAGCGGCAATCGAATGTGTTTTCTAATAAAAGGAGCTTGATGTCAGCCGCCCATGTATACCTTAGGAGTTGAATAGCTGCTTCACTTAGGAGCGTGTAATTAAGGTTGTTCAAAGGAAAGAAAGCAAAGCTCAGTTGAAAAATCATAGAAATATTTAAGGAAAGCATAGAGATAACGAAATAGGAGGGCCTTGCAAAAACAAAATCAGAATCGGTTCTCCGACCTTTGAAAATATCAATTCTGTTTATCTAACGAAACGAAGATATAAAATATGATGTGCAGTAGATGAACATCAGAGAGACGTATCAGTGCTGGTTGAAAAGAACAAATTTGAACTGCTGTATTTAGTGTAACATGAGCTAAAACTACTCTAAATTCGATATTGTGGAAACCTCACAGTACCTCTTTATGAATATTACATTATTTTTCTAAAAAGATGGTTAAAAACATGAAAAATTGAGCTAAATTTGGATATGATTTTTTTTCCAAAGCAGTATTATAGCTTGCAAAAGAGTGTCAGAAGTTGTGACAATGATTTGGGAATTTTCTCAAAATAATCTTTCAAATATTTCAGTAAAAAGTCTAAGAAACCTCAAGAAGCACCTGGTCTGCAGAATTTTTCTTCCGTGACTTTCTCGTCTTTTCTCTCCTTTTTTCTTTTGCCATCTTTATCCCTTAGATCTCTTAGCTTCTCATTATCTGCTATCGACGAATCTGCTTTGCCTTTCTTTTTTTCTTTTTCAACATGAATGCTAGATGAAACTGATGCTGTCTCAGCCTTTTTGATTCTATCAAAAATATCAAAATATGACAACTCAACCTGAAATCTTTAAAATTTTTGCAATGATCGAAAATTAATTTGAAAATAACACGCTAAAGACAATGTTGCGTGCCTAAGCACTTTACGCTAAACACTTATCAGAGTATAGACATCCAATAATAATAAAAAGCTAAGGACCTTCGTGCGAAAAAGAAGCTGAATTATTTTTCGCTCGAATTATTTTTCTATTTGGCCTTCCGACTAAAGCGCTCGAAAACAGATACTAAGCCGGAATTTATCATATTAAACCGCTAAATTATCATTTTCTAAGTCTTAAAATTAATCTTTTGGTATTACAAACTTTTGGTAGTAAAAATGACTTGGAAAAAAGCAAAGCTCTTCGTCTGACACTCTTCAGAGTATAGAACATAGATCGAAAACTCTACGCTAGGAAATATATATACCCAGTTGAGGATCGAAAGAGGCCAATCAGAAACGCAAGCACATGACTGTTTGGGTGAGAGGTGAAGAGGAACTTGTTCACAAAAGTTAACATTTGATTAGCCAAAAGTCTTTCAAAACGGCTGTAGTTGTTTTTCTTGGGAACTAGTTCTGTTTCTAATACTTGAAGGAACATGTTTTGATGTATCTATGTTCTGACGCTTTATACTCTGAAAAGTGTCAGACGAAAAGCTTTAGTATACTCAAATGTTTGCTCTTTTCAAAGCCAATTTTAAGTCTTTAAACCCAAAAAAAATTATCCCAAATGCAGAAAATACCAGTGGCGTGAATAGGGTGGGGGCAAAAAACCCCTGGAAAGCTTTGGCTTTGCAGGAGCCCCATGGAGTATCTACGTTTTTGGTGATGCCAAGGTTATTCTTGTTAGGCTGACAACGAATGGACTCTAGATGACAACGAATGCGAAAGAGACCAAGAATTCGCAGATGTTAGATGTGACCAGGCCGAACAAGTTGATGGCGGGACATTGATACTATCATTTGAATGACCAAATAAACATGTGAAATGGAACATTACCCCTTAACACTAAGTCTGCCTTCACTGTCAGGTGACGATCGCAATAACGAACCATGAGCTGCTTGTGGAGGCGGTGGGAACAAAAGTTCACATAGAGAAACTCTGCCGTCTTCTGTTAACACCGACAGATTTGAACTTTTTTCATCATTGTTCCTTTCTTCATCTAGGCATAGAAAATACAAGCCTTTTTGAAGATTTATATTTCATCGTGCGCTTTTAAAAATAGATGAGTAGGACAGGCAAAAACAGCTTCAAATAATCAAATAACTGAAAATCCAAAAATTACATGCCTATGAAAACTTGAGCGCTGGTGGCTTCGTCAAAAGAAAATATTTTTTCTGAAGCTGTCTTCTGAAACCTAACTTTTGTTGCCTCGGATGATGTTGGGTAGGCCTCTTCCTGAAAATGCTGCACAAGGAAAAGAGGATATTATTTTCATCATCATCACACTGATAATATGCACTTCGTAAAAGCACAGATGATGTCAAATATAAACATTTTTCACTATTAGACACTATTTTTCTTCTTATCCATATCAACATACCAATGGACTACTATTTAGCAGGCAACGAGCTAAAGGGTGCAAAGCCCTGAAACCAAAGTCTTGTGTGCAAAAAAAGGATGTCTCTTTCTCAGTATTTTTAGACCTGGTTATATGCCTGAATTTCAAATACTTAAGACAAGAAAGGGAGAAATAATATTCCTCTGAAATTTGCACGATCTTCATTCAGCGAACTTTTAAATATGTGAGTAACTCTCGCAGCTTTCCATGAACCGGAGAAGTCTTTTTCTCTTCTCTATTTATTTAAACACTTCTTCTTTAATTTAAATAAGCAAAAACTCCCAAGCAAAGGAAATTTGCTTACCTCACTATTTTGATTATGTGGTGGAAAATGTGACTGTTTTTCAATGTCCGGACTCTGGTCAGTAATAGGCGTCAGTGCAACCTGCTTACTAACAGATTTGTCTCCGTGCCCACTGTCAGTACTAGCAAAACTTAGGTCTGCTTGGATATTGGGTCTTTCAGCTTCTTGTTCAGGCCTTTGCTGTTGTTTTCTACTCTCAATAAGCGGGTATGGTTCCACATCAAAGCCACTGAAACGAAATAATCATTCCTGTGCTTCAAATGACCAACTTTTTTACATGTAGCACTTTGAAAAAACATTTTACTGTTGTCAAACTATGTTGCTGGATTTGACAATAAAATGAATTTATGCCGGAAAACGTGTTTCAAAATGTTTTTTAAAAATGTTTTAAAAATGTTAAAAATCCTTTACAAAATGTTTTTTAATCATTTGCCTACTCTCAAAGGCTCAACTAAGAATATGCATAGACAGGGAAAGAGATAAAATTCGAAATCCTGAAACTTAAGTAGTTTCGATGGTTTTGTGATACAACGGACAATCAATGGACAGCATGTTATAATGGCAATTAGCGGGGAAAAATAGAAAATTATTAGAGGGGGTGAAAATCAGGAGAAACGGGTCACCCAGAATCAAAGCTTGTACCCGATTTGCATGATTGAATCTCAATGAACAACTTCGGTTTTCCTGAGACAGATGAATACAAGTTATTCGTCGAAATTAAGAATTAGGAAGTTCTGTTGCTTAAACAAGGACAAGTTTGTAAAAAAGGAGAAGTTGAATTACAGTTTTTACCTTTTTTTCTCTATATATTCAAACAAAAACATATTCCACCTATTTTTTACATATAAAGTGATTGCAAATAACAATAATAATTTATTTCTAAAATTTGATTTATACCAAACTAAACTAGAATCACGATAGATCGATTACTAGATTTTCTAGACTGGCTATGTCGATAAGAAGATAGTCATTGAAAAAAACCAATTCAGGAAAGACATGATTTTGTACTAGAATAAAAATTGTTTGAATGATTATAATAGAGGTTTTTGAGATAATAATTCCAGATGAGTTTTGACAACAACTGAAACGTTAAAGCCTGGTTCTCATATGTCAGTGATCATCACCGTTGAGGGTCATGTGATGATTGAGAGATATGAAAACATCAACTCTTGCGCGTCGCCGATCATCGATCCCAAAGAACCAAGAAAACTTGCTTCTAGCGATCGTCGGCGGCGATAGTCGAGTGAAAAGTTCTTACGAGAGCATTATCTGAGTCTATTGACGATCAATTCTATTTCCAGTTTAACTCTATGGCCACACTTGCGCCGCGAAAAATGGCCATAGAGTTAAAGTAGTATCGTTCAAAAAACATCATATCAAATTCACAATTGAGCGAAGAAATAAGAAAATCTTAATCAATTGTTGATCAATCATGTAAAGGCTTTCAGGACAGGAGAGTAAAAGCTGACTGGTGGAAGAAAATTGCTAAAGGCCACGGGAATGTCTTAAAGGTTACGGTAAACGTTTTCTGGATGAAACAACAATTTTTCGATTCCTTTATATTCTAGTAACCGGGCTTTCCAGGCACACAATGGTACCGTGTTTGAAACTAACAGCAGTTTTGAAAATGGCGGAAAAACCCGGACGCATGTCTCATTCACAACATCGCATGGTACATCTATCTATCACATGTATGGCTGTGTTTATTTAAACAGACTTATTGATAAACAAGCTTCAAGTGACTCGGCCCAGATAACACTGTGGTTTTCGAGTTTAGCTTCCAAGTGCAATCAGTAAAATCCCGTTTTAAGACTCGCAATTCCTGTATATACAGGTACTTAAAAGCTATTTTGTACTCAATCGAATGGCTCAAAAATGTGCACACGGCCGGGACAGATGTCTGGTAACCTTCCTGCTGAAATAGGTCAGATTCTGCTACCTCAAACGCAAGGGTATAAAATAGCTTCTGAAGGTGGTACACTCGTTTAAGCAATAAATTTGCCTGGAAAATATGATTTTACAATATTGCAAATTATTTTAATATGGCGGGAATCGCTACAATCTAGTGCATCGAATTATGTATAGTTTAATCAGATTTTGATATTAGTTTGGCTTGAAGAGAGGGAGAAAACCAAAAATCATGTCAAAAACGTTTACGGTAACCTTACAAGAAGCTAAACTGCGATGCAAAACAATACGAATGTCTTTCCGCAGAGATATGTCGAATATAAGTGGGAGATGGTAGCGGCATCAGCGAAGTATCTCTATTGATTCAAAATATGGGCATACAAGCTGGCTGATGCCTCTTATTAAGTCGAGACACAGTTATCAAAATGAGGCTTTTTTCAGGGTTACACATGATACCAAGGGGCCTTAAGATCGCAGATCATGACAGGCAAGAAGTATATGGGAACCAGGCTTAACTTGAACAAGAAAAAAATGGTCTTACAATGGTGTGCTGAAATAGGTAGCTTCAGGCTGGTCTCCAGTTTCCTCGGACAATGAAGTTCTGGTGGTTGTTGCTGCTTCAGTAGATCTTATACCACCCATGACAAGAAGAAGCCTACCAGATTCTTGAAAAGAAATTTTACAACAAATATTGACAGATAGAGGCAAATACAATGCTAAAAATTAACAAAAAAACCAGCTTGTATCAGCCAAAATAAACAGCAAAATTAATTGAGAATATTTGTTCCAAACTGCTACAACTGCTGTAAGTACTCGATATGAGGCCTCTCTTGTTAAAGCATCCGTGTTTCTCCAAGAATGGAAGTTTGATTTCAAAATACGCGTTGTGGAATCGAGCGTTTTGCTACATCTGTAATTGATATCTAATTGTGCTTTTGGAAGTAGACAATCTCACAGACAGAGCATATATTTGAAACCAAGCTCATATTTAAAAAATGTTTCCTTTTCATTTTATCAGAAGGAAATAATATAGGATATATCAAAGCATAAATGTTCAAGATAAGAATCCATACATGACTAGAATGTTAATATGGAATATAAATATTTTTACAGACAAAATAAGTAATGGTTTGAATGAAGAGCAACCTTGAAGACACAAATACACACCAACATAAATACTTTGAAGAAACAGAATTACTTAAACCTACCGTGAGAAACTTCGCCACTACTATTTCTGCAAAATATTTCCAAATCAAAAGACTGGCCTTGCTCTATCTCGATCTCTGGTGCTCCGTTAATATAGATTTCTGTAGCATCAACTAAACAACAAATGGTTTTGCTAAAAAACTGGCAGAGAGTCTCATCGTTATAGTTAATCCAAACTTATGCACAAAACTCTAAACAAACCTTTCAAAAAAAGTTGTAAAATAATTGCTGTGCTAACAAAATTTATAAAAGCAAAATTATTTTTGCAATTTAATAGAAATGCATTCATGTGGAGGGCTCTTCTATCTACTTTTCATCCTTAACATTTTTTTCAAAAACGAAATAAAATATGGCAATCAAGCACCAACAAAGATGGAACATAAACCAACAAAGATGGAACATTAACTAACAAAGAGATTAATTCATATTTAAACCTGAAAGAAATCTAAACAACAGTAAACATTACTCAAATAATAAAAATTATCAAGTGGGAATTGGGGTTGGGTATGACTTGGCTGACGATTTGACGGTCGTGTCTCTAACAAAACACAAAACAGTTTATAATTTTGTTATCAGAATTTCACAATGTATAGTTGTCCCAGTTGCAATTCCATTTAAAATGATTTCAGTACTATGCACGGTAACTTCCATTGATATGCCCAACACAAAATCCCAAAGACTATATGGATGCACAGTATGAAGAACAAGAGATTGCTGACAATTTTGAAACCCTAAAGGAAGTCACTGCTTATTCGTTATATTAGCATGATCTTTAGTATAGACGACTACTTTATATCGTTTGTGTACATCCAGTTGTCTATGGTATTTAACAACGCGCAAATAATTTTATGATGTGATTCTACAGAGAGCGAGTACAGTAATGAAAGGTTAAGCCTGGTTTTCACTAGAGTCTTAAGAGTCGTAAGGATCGTAAGAACGTAATTTTAAGATTTTATGACGCTTATGATCAAGTGAAAACACCAAGAATCATAATCGTAAAATAATTAGCACTTGATTTTATCTCTTAAAATTCGTGACATAAGGATCGTAAAGATCAAAAACTTTTTCATCTTTACGATCCTTACAACCGGATGTTCCTTTGTTTTGAGAATTAGGTGACAAATTTTCCTGAATTCCAGTCGAAGGCCGCACACATTGCTCCTTCTCTCGTTCGCGCGCGGAAAGATTATCTATCGTGAAATTCATCTGCTTGAAAGACAAGTCTTCGAAAGACTACAAACAAGTTGGCAAAACACCTTGCTCAGATCTCCTTTTGAAAATTTTGCGAAATCCAAAACCCTTTCTTTCCTCGTATTTTATTAACTTCAATTTCTTCGATGCCTTCATCTTTTGATTAGAATATACACTGCCAGGAACAAACGCAGATTCGTAGCAGCCATGCTGGATCCGTGCAGACAAGTGGCGGGGAAAGAGCCCCCTTTTCAAATCATAAGAAATCTCACTACTTTTACGATACTCATGACGCTTATGACATCAAGATAACAAAGGATTTTTTTATTCTTACGATCCTTAAGACATTTTTATGATGGCGTTTTCATTTGGATTATAAGAAACATAAGCGATACGGACTTAAAAATTATGTTTCTTATGATCGATACGATCCTTATGAATATAGTGAAAACCAGGCTTTTGTGATATGATTTCAAGCAGCTTATTGGTTTTGCGGTGTAGTCAGGTACTAGTAAAAGTAAATGATGACTAGAAAGTAAATTCCTCCTCGTATAGCTCAATCAATAGAGACATACCTTCAGGCCTGCCATTGATCCACATACCGTTGTATGTTGCACCGGAACAATGAACATAGCTTCCCTCGCCATTAAACATATTTGATCGCCATTGTCCCTATCATTCAAAATTAATTTGATAGCATATGTTGTTGTTACAATTTCTTTAGGAGTAATAGTATATGCAGACGACTCGATGAGCGTCCGGCGCTATCATAATGTATGCTTAATGCTACCATACAGGCGCGCAACCAGAAATTTCAGAGGGCAGGGGTCCAAGACACAAAAAGGGCACTAATTAAATTTCATTAAAGGTCCACCGGGGCATTTGTTTAGGAACCGCGAAAATATGAGCAGTTAGTAAATCTGTAAATATTGTACGCCAGACAAGGGAAACTGATCAATAGAGAAAAGTTGTGGTGTACGGTTTATTTTGTGGTGAGGTGTGATTTATTTTTTCCTTTTAATTTTAACTATGCATATGACTTCTTTCTGTCTGCCGTACAGTGCCGCCGAGAAGTTTAGGAGGCCCGAGGGAGGGGGGAAATGGAAAAAACAATGCCTCTTGCGAGCGAAGCGAGCAAAAATTTTGCCACCACACCCTTGCAAATAGCTTAAATTCACTAATTCGTTTAAGATGTTTTACTTTTTAATTGTAATTTTGTAACTTTTAATAAATTCCATTTAAAAACGGAATTCATTGCTTTGTGAGGCTCCCTAGACCTCGAGGCCCTAGGGCAGTTTGCCCCTTTGTCCCCCTCTCGGCGACCCTGCTGTCATCTCCTTTTCCCAGCGCCAGCTCACTTTTGAATAGCAGCCCATCATCTTCCATATCCGAAGACATTTTGCTCTTTGAAATATTATTATTGAATTCTTTGCTTCGCACTACAGTGGGAGTAGGTTGAACAGTTCCACGAGCCTTGCCTTCAGCTGGTTTCTGTCTCCAAGTCTTGCTTTCAGCTGATTTGTAATACTGACAAGGAACGGAACAGCTGAACATCAACTTTTTGTGCCATCTTTACTGCTTTCTAATACCAGTCCGCGAATATTTCTCTGCATTCGCTCGTTTCATGCAAAGGTCTTCTATGACCCTGTCAACTATGTGACAGGCTTGAAAAATGTCTTGGTCGACCAACAAGCTCTTACAAGCTCTTACCAGAGGTCGTAGAGGCTCTATCCCGTTCAAAATCTTGTGCCTTTATTTTGGTTTTTGAGTCCCAGAACCATTCTTCTTCAAAGCCAGTGCGTGACGCATCTTAAAACACGCTGTAGAGTTGGGGCTTGAAGATATACTCTATTACTGCAACATGATGACGTTCGACCCAACAAGTGCGCGAAAGTTTGACTAAATCATTTATCTGTATTCCTGCGAGGTCCATTACATCTCCGGAGTGTGTCATTTACTGTATGACCAACCATTTTAGCGTAATAATCAAAATATTCAAGCAATTTTCCAAGAAAAAGGGCACTTTTCCCCTTTTGAGAAAAAGGGCAGGGGTCTGGACCCCCAGGACCCCCCCCCCTCCCCCCCCGTAGTTGCGCCCCTGCCATAGAGTAGGGTACCAAATGCATTTTAAGCTATTGTATCAGCAAATTTCAGCAGAGTTGAAGGTGTAAATTTTGCTGATCCTGCATTTTCACACTTGTAGTAACGATTATTCACCAGAATGTTCTAGCGGCCTAACATGATCAGTGGCCATTTCTTTAATGATTCAAGATAGGAAGATTGCTACATAGTATGCAAAATTCGCTGTCTATCAAAATGAAATAAAGTCAAATAAGAAAAAAAATAAACATTTAAATTTTCATTCCTAATGTTATATGTGAAAGGAAGCTTCTTAAATAGTCTGCTTATAGTAAAGTAATTTTTTCGACATAAGCCCTGTTCTCAAGAAACCAACTTAATTCAAGTTCAAAACAATTCTTTTATACATTATGAAGTTGTTGTAAATTCGTGGGCCTTAAAACATGCACATTTTACCAAATATTAGATGCGCAATGTTGTTCACAGAATGTTTCACTGAACCTTTTTGTCCATGGCTAATGCATGTAGGGAGGTATTTATCCTGAAGCCATGGAATGCTTTTGCAATTACAAGGAGATGTGAGAGAAATGAGACGAATATGCTGAAAATCATTTGCTACATTTCTGAGGAAGACATATCACGTTGGCCATAGAAATCTGAAAACAAAACACCGCAAATCTCTGAACTGCGATCAGGCATTCAACTGTTATATCTCCTGTCAATGAAAATTGGCGGGCCTATAAACCAGGCATTCGTGTCAAAACCACTAATCCAGGTTCCTGTTTATAAACACAGTTTTTATAAGTTGTATTTATGAAATACTGATGCATAACTAGCCCAGCTTCAACCTAGGTTCAGCTCACATTAAACTTGAAGCAGATATAGCTAAAGGTATAGCCCTACCATATCATCTTATCGTATCGTATCGTATCGTATCGTATTGTATCGCTTCGTATCGTATCGTATCGTATCGTATCGTATCGCTTCGTATTGTATCGTATCGATCGTATCGTATCGTATCGTATCGTTTCGTATCATATCGATCGTATCGTATTGTATCATATCGTATTGTATCATATCATATCGTAACGTATCGTATCATATCGTTTCGATCATATCGTATCGTATCGATCGTATCATATCGTATCGTATCGATTGTATCGTATCGTATCGTATCGTATCGTATCGATCGTATCATATCGTATCGTATCGTATCGTATCATATCGTATTGTATCATATCATATCGTAACGGATCGTATCGTATCGTTTCGATCATATCGTATCGTATCGATCGTATCATATCGTATCGTATCGATTGTATCGTATCGTATCGTATCGATCGTAGCATATCGTATCGTATCGATCGTTTCATATCAATCGTATCGATCGTTTCGTATCATATCGATCGTATCGTATTGTATCATATCGTATTGTATCATATCATATCGTAACGTATCGTATCATATCGTTTCGATCATATCGTATCGTATCGATCGTATCGTATCGTATCGTATCGATTGTATCGTATCGTATCGTATCGTATCGTATCGATCGTATCATATCGTATCGTATCGTATCGTATCGTATCATATCGTATTGTATCATATCATATCGTAACGGATCGTATCGTATCGTTTCGATCATATCGTATCGTATCGATCATATCATATCGTATCGTATCGATTGTATCGTATCGTATCGTATCGATCGTATCATATCGTATCGTATCGATCGTTTCATATCAATCGTATCGATCGTATCGTATCGTATCGATCGTATCGTATCGTATCATATCGATCGTATCATATCATATCGTATCGATCGTATCATATCGATCGTATCGTATCGTATTGTATCGTTTCGTATCGCATCGTATCGATCGTATCGTATCGTATCGATCGTATCGTATCGTATCGTATCGTATCGTAACGATCGTTTCGTATCATATCGTATCATATCATATCATATCGTATCATACATGCAGGGATTTTTAAAATTTAGACTTGACCACTGAGATACAGCTTTGCAAAAGAAATACCAACTTTCACATATTTTGCAGGTTCTAGGCTAATTGCGTTCATACATTCCCTCTTACGTTCTTTTTCTAACAGCTGAACGCCCTTGTGAAGATTGTAAGGTAAACTTGTAGACAAATTTAAGCACATATACCTTTCAACAAGTAACGACAAAAAATATGAGCCTTCTTTCCACTTCCATGTATTTTTGAAAATTTGATCTTAGAAGTTAATATATCAACTTCTGTAAGTAGATTAATAAGTAGCTCGTAAATTAATGTTTGTTTTTCTTCTTGTAAGTAAAGTAGATATATTAAGTAGCTTGAGTTTTTAGACTGGGCACATTGTAAATAAATTCTTCTGCAATTACAGAAATAATTAAAAAAGAAAAAAATTTAAAAAAAATGAGATGAAGAGGACTTTGCTCGAGAAGGTACTTTGTAAGTTTCTTAACATTATCAAATTTTCAGTACTCAGTTTCTACAAGTTTCTCAAGAGTTCAGTAACAATCTGTAAAATAAGTTCGAAACAATAACCTGACGTGGTTTTCCTTTAAACAGCCAAATGAGTGATCAACATTAGCCCGGAAACTTATTTGTCCGAAATGCCAAAATATATGTCTAATAATATTTACGCCGAAGTTTGTTGTCCAAAATTACATCCACTGAAAATTATTGTACTTAATGTTATGCTTGTGCTATGCATAATACTACCTTGCTGAAAATAGAAGTTGGCAGTCGACGTAACTTTGAAAAGGGGAAATTAAGCAGGCCAGTTAACATTTCTTCTTCTTACATTTATGTTTATGATAAACATAAATGTTGAAAATGTAGATATCTAGTTGTACCTCATAAACACTTCCATCGCAGAACTTCATAATACCGTGACCTTGCTTGGAGCCAAACACCCAACTGCCATTGTAAGTCTGACCATTTCTAAGATAAATTGTACTGGTAAGATGACTTTGAAGACAGCCAAAAGAAGCACTATGGCCACATGGCTTGTTTACAGTTATTTCATGAAATTTTCTTGACTTAAGGCCTATTAACATGAAACAAACTAAACCAGGTTCTAATCCCTTATTTTACATAGGATGTTGAAAACAGAAGAAAAACATTAATCTGTAATCTTTTTAAACCACATTATTTGTTCTCGGTTTGTTGGAGCGTTGACTGCGGTGCTGGTTGTGCTTGGTTCAAATCCAGGCACTGAAGAGGATTAAAATGATGAGGAAAGGAGCAGCTCATCCTACTGGATCACTCTGTTGGCCTCAAATAAGTGTCATATTACTTCCCCTTAGTACGAATCGTACACACGACCCACCGATTTGTATTGAAACACTGTTACAATCTTAAAGTATTTTGAATCCTTAGGTATAAATTTCGCTATGTATATCTTTGATATTGTCATCCTATTTGATCATCTTACTTCGCATTTCTAGGAACATTTTCATGAATATGTGGAAATTTTAGGAATTAATTTAACATCAAACAAAACTGTTTGAGAAATCTGTGGGAACTAACTGCAAACGTAGGTGTTGGATAGAATATTTTTTACATTCTATCCAACACCTTAAATCTGGTTGGCTGGAACAGAATTGCATCATTAGCCCGTATTCGCCAGGTGAAACAGATACATCTATATCTGGGAAACTAGTTTTAACAACTCTGTTGTGATGCCGAGAAATGCCATCGAAGCTAGCTAGAAAAGAAACCAACTAAAACATAACATTGACACGCCGGTTCAAATAGATCAATGCAATCACTATATAAACGGGTAACAGCTTTATTTTAATCTACATGCAGTCGTACCTTAAAACTTCCAACCCATCACCATGCTCTCGGTTCTTGTAAAAAGACCCTTTGTAAACAGTTCCATTTGCGTCAGTTAGTATTCCTTCACCTGCAGAAAAAGATAAATCCCTGTACATAGGCATTTTAACTGAAACATCACTATTTGGTAGTGGGTAAAAACAAACAATACCTAGGCATTGCGATGATTATGATAAAGCAATGAATCACAAAGGAATCCACAAAACAAGAGTTTATAAAAAATGGAACGCAATTGTAAATATAGTATTATAGAAAGGTATATTCGTAGAATTAAAAGAATGTGTGATGGCTAAACCACGAAATGAATTTGCATATGGCGCTCTCAATACAGTAGAAAAATTCAGTGAGGGCACGTCCCCTGGAACAATGAAATGATTGATCATGTGACACTAGCACCCTATCTTTAGAGCTCAAGGTGGATTTGAAGTATAAGACCTACCAGGAACGAAATCAAAGGAAAAAAATTTTGGTTACCATATTTGCTAAGCTACAAGACTACCCTATTCCCCTGCCTACTTGTGCTAATAAGACTAGATTTGCCAGTGGGCAGCCATCTCTACCAAGTGACTGTTAAAGCACAGCTGTAAAAGGACGAAGGCACTCATCATCTTGTGAGATAGATGCACAGAAATGGACAAATGTTACCATACCGTGACAACCATAGTTTTGTAAAATGTTATTCGGTCTAAAACTTTTCAGCGACCAAAAAAGTACGTGTTCTGATGTAACAACAAAGGTCAGGCACCTTGCCACATAATTTAAATTTTCCTTGTCCAAAGGCCAGTTTACACAAAAGAATAATAAACAAGAATAATACAATTTTCAGCACAAAAAATTATTTTTTAATGGCGGTCGAACGTTCAATGGCCGTTGCCAATGAACATCAATGAAAGTGGCCAATTAAAGCAAAAGAAATAGCAGTGCCACACCGAAGCCATTTTATCTTGTTATCTGTGGAAAGCTATCTATGAAAAATTGTCTGGAGGCAGAAGAAACCAGCCACCCAGATTGCAATTAGAAGGATGCTTTTATTATATATAAACCTAATAACAAAAGTATTGCAAAAAATTTGGATTAACTGTCCTCTAATTCAGGGTTATCGTGTTCGCACCGATGGAGACACTTACTGATCACTGATCGACTTTCCTAATGGTATAATAATTGCAATACGTTTTAATTCAGGAATAGACAAAGTATTTTCATGTTGCATTTAACCGAATCCATTCAAAAAATGTATTTGAAAAAAGACCCTTTCTTTTGGTTATAAGCTCCTGTAGTCCTTACATTATAAACATGTTGTCGTTCGTTCGGGATTTTCGTAAATAAGTAATGGGGGACTGCGAATTTTTTAGGTTGAAAAAGTGACGCAAGTTTCAATACCTTCTATTTTGAAAGTTTGGAGAGATATTTAATGAAACCGACGCCCCTTCTTGCTTTTGTGTTAGCTTCTTCTCGAAAATAAATCCCAGGTGATCATTTTCAAGATTTTTATCAAGATCATTTGAGCCTAAGAAAAGGGGAGGATGCTGTCGCTTGCTTCTTCTACAATCAAATATTGCCAAGCCCAGAAACGCATTCTCTCAAGGTCCCTATTTAATTCCTTAGCAATAAACTCGCATCTTTTACAACAAGAAAAAGGGATGTGTCATCAGCAAACATCCTAACATCGCAGTGGACACCATCATTTAGTTCATTTATACAAAAGAAGAAAAACAATGGTCCTAGTACTGAAACTTGCGGCAATCCTACTGATAACGTAGCCCATCGTGAGTTTTTTTCATTTGAAACCAAATTATGTTTTCCATTTGCTAAGTAGCTCCGATTCAAGGCAGGAAGGTTTCCATTTATGCCACCTTATGCCACCAAAAGGGTGTCCACCTTTAAAAAAAAAGATAGAGTAACCAGGCCTTTAAATTCATCAAAGATGAAATACAGAATCTTGCCAAAATACAAATCCTATAAAAAGCAGTCGATTGAAAGGTACTAAAACTTGAAATAAAAGAATCAACTTACCCTCTCTTCTATTCTCCTTCCATTCTCCCTCATAAACTGACCCATCGCCATATTTCATAACCCCATTTCCATGTAGTTCCCCTTTCATGAAATCTCCTTCGAACGTATTTCCGTTTATGGTCCATTTTCTTTGTCCAGAGCCAGACATCTCACCATTTTCAAACTGGCCTTCGTAATAGCCCCCATCTTTCATGATCAACTTTCCATGCCCTGATGAATCATGAAAAGGTAGTTGATTAAGCAGTTTCTACCTTTATTTCTACCACTAGATGGATGTGTCTTTTTCAAAAGTTTTGTTTCTCTATTTCTTCATAAACTCTAGTAACTCGAGTTGAAAAAGCATCTGGGATTCTTAACGATCAAATGTAAATATTGAACAAATGTTTCAAACACATGTAACAATTTGTTATTGTTGTCATTGCCCACGAAAATTGATGCTTTTTCTGTTTACTGTTAGTACAATATAGAAGAGCGTTGGAGACAGGTGAGTTTTTTGTTTAAAATTCCAGAATATCAGATGTGTTCAAGTTGCTAGCTTTATTAGACTATAAATGCTTCACGATATCTTATAGACTTTATGGGGGGTAATTGTTATGGTAGCAGTATACTGGAAGGACCGTTTAGAAGTTTGTAAAGGCCTTAGGTATACCTGAAAGAAGAGGCCTCCCTGCGAGCAAAGATGGCAGCCAATTTTTGAGATCATGCTCTTAAGATAAGCTTTCAGAAATTTCTTGCAGTCATTTTCTTGCAATAATTTAAAAAAATTTGCTATTTTAAGGCATGCTTTTAGTGAGTTTGATTAATTCGAGTCTTAGAATGGAATTCATTGCTTTATAAAGGCCCCATAGACCTCTTATTTCTAAGAAAAAAAGCAACAAGAGGACTTATCACACTATTATTTTTTTCTATTCTTTTTCTTTTATTTTATTCCTTTTTCTTTAAAACATTGAAATGAGATGAACTTTTAAACAAGAGATGAAAAAATCTTCTTACATAAGATATTACCAGGGTGTAAATATTCAGAACCGTTTTCTATAAGAAGCTGAAATATGTAAAATTTGAAGAAATTTACTGAATTATCAATTCTGTTAATTCAAGCATAGCCCCCTGCCCCCTGTAAACCTTTCCTTGCATGAGAGCCTATCAAGGGTAATGATGTTTTGCTGTGTTGATTGTTTTGGAAAAAGAACTAAACCATTGGATAACCTTTTCATTGAAGAAATACTTTTTCAATTTCCTTCACCTGCCTAGCCTCCATATTGTCACACTCACTACAGATGATTTTCTCAAATATTTTCAACAGTGGCATGAAATACAAAATATGGGATTATACGAGCAATGGGTTGTGGTTGCCAAAATTTAGCTACTTTCCAAATTTTTTTATGGTTTTATATATGCAAAGTGCTTCATAACACACATTACCAAAATACTTTGAGTCCAATATTTAAAAGATGTATGAAAACATACCATGTTTCTTGCCTTTCATCCATTCTCCTTCATATCGAAAGAATGCATTTGGATAGTTATAAACACCAAAACCTATTGTAGAAAAATAATAATAGCGCAAATGACTATACTATTGCAATAGAAAGCATATCAGATAAGCAAATGATAGAAAGTAGAAAAATCAAATACAATATTAAATATGTATTCTAAATCGCTTTTCAATTTCCTGCACCTCAGTTTTGTTTAGACAGTCTTCTTCTCCAAATGTATCAAATGCTGCTGGATACATTTTTGGTAGGCTACTTTATTCATATGGTTCTTTGTTGCATCTTGCAAAGCATTTGATCAAGAATGCAAATTACAGTTCTGAAGATTTCTTATGCCTTGTGGATTGAATTCTTCCTAGTTGCCAAAAATGGATCACTTCATATTGTTTGGACAGTCAGGCCACACATTACACCCTTTCCAAAAGTTAGTTTTGTAAATTCTACTGGATTTGCTGATGCAGTGAAAAGTGAGAATAAAGTATTAAATTCTTCTCTATATCGCTTGGCAAGACTCTGGTCAAAAGTATAAACATACTTGTTCACCTTTTCCAGCAAGCTTCTTTGGGGCATTGAAAAAAGCAAATACAGAAAATTTCCAGCAGAAAGAAGTTAATTGCAATATACTGTCACTATACAAAAACAAAAACCTCAACATAAATTTTGAGATAAAAAGTCTGAAAAACCTAACAGTTTTCCAAAAAGAAATGATGGGGCCAAGCTTGGATTAGTCTTAACACATCAGAAATTGAACCATTATTTTTCATTTTCTCTACATATCATGCATTTTTTTCTGTTTAATGCTTGTGAGCTCATGGTACTGGCAGTAAATAGCCCATTTCAGTAAACCTGTTGTAGCTGCATCGTTTCTAAAAAACTGACCACCCCAAGAACAGCCTGAACATTCCAAGGACGATATGATTTAAAAAATAATTTGGTCAATCAATCAAAATTAACTTTTGGGCAGGTTAGAGCCTGATAAGTCTAATGCTGTTGGTGTTGTTACAACCAACTGATCTTTTGCATGCCAAAGGTGTAAACGGGGGTTTAAACATGTGAAGCAAGTTTGACTTTCTGACTCCCTTTGTGCATTCAAGCAATTTCCTGTTGTTTTGAAGATCTTTCACATTCAGTGACAATGATTGATGTGATTTCTTAAAGAGTGTTCAGCCACTTAATGGCTTGTTCTTAGGGTGTTCTTGGGGTGCTCAACCTGTTCTAGGGGTGTTCATTCTTTTAGAAACGACGCTTGTAGCTGATAGGTATGATTGATTTTCTTATAAAAATGGTTAACTATACAGGTCTCTCAGGGGCTTAATTCACAAAAAAATACTTGGGATTATGGCTTATTAAAGGGAAGGGCTTATTCGTGGGTGGGAGCTTACTTGGTAGCAGTCAAGAATATTACCAGGTCACTGATCAGTATGCTTAAAAATAATCAAGGTTATTCGAGGTTTAGAGCGCTTATTTCATAAAAATTACATAAGAGTGGAAGCTTATTCGAGGAGGAGGGGGCTCACTCAAAGGTGGGGTCATGTTCGAGGGAGGGGGCTTACACGAAGGTGAGGTCATATTCGAGAGAGGGGGCTTACTCGATGGTGAGGGCTTACTTGAGGAGGACTTACGATGATAAAAAAACTTTGATTGGAAGGAAAGTTTAAGTTCAGTTTTTTATTTAAAGTATGTGCAAATGTAATAACTACCTTCCCTGAGTTGGCTTTTTGTTTCTCCGGTATAACGTGGCTTTGACGAGAGCATTTTGCTCCCTACTAGCAAACTAGGAACGTAAATAAACCACTGGTTCTGAAGAGAAAAAAAGGGTGGAAAATTCACTGTTATCGAAGTAGATGCTGTTGCTGCTGCTGTTGCTATTAGATACAGGACGGCCTGTAAACTGCGGACGCACCGAAGGTGCAAGAAAAGAGATCAAAACATCCTGCAGGATGTAACCTGGTGACAGTTTTCTTTTGCTCATGATTTATTTACTTTTCGAATGGCGAAATAAATGTTAAAATGGAAAAACTGTTCCTCTCTTCGAGTACGAAGAAAGTTCTTAACTTAGAAACTGAGCTTGTCAAAGAACTGAAAGAACTCAAAGACGAGATAGAGGATGCCGAATCGCTCTACAGTTCAGGGGGAAAGCCGTTCAGGTAAACCAAGCTGACAAAGGCACAATCAACTAACTTGCAGTATTTATACTCAAAATATTCGCCTAAAATTTTACCAGGAGTTTTGAGATGGCATACCGTAATATGTTACGTTGGTGCGGATCAGTAGTTGCCTTTTTTATTAACGCTACCACTTTAAAATGTGCCTGGTTTTAGGCGCGCAATCACAAATTTTCAAAATGAACTTGTCCACACGCAAAGTTTCTAGTCTGTATAAGATATAAATATTTAACAACAAAAATACATAATCTTTATCTCAATAAAAAATATAATTCAATGATAAAGGGTTCTTTATCAGAAAATACATGTTTTGATGTAGAGATGAGATAAAGAACTCGTTTATTTTTTTTAACTTCCTGCCACTTGCAGTATAAGAAGGATATATTCACACGAACTTTATTATAGATATAGATATTAAAAGCAATAGATATTAATACCAACCTAATTAGACATAATTTCCCAATGCATTTTAGCAAACAGAAATACTTGCTCAAAACAGCAGCAAATGCAACTTATTCCTTTTCTTACTCACGAAAGATCTTGTTTGTTAAAAAAAGATAATGAATGTCTTCTGTGTCCCTCCCCCGTGATTTACTTTATTTAAATTATCAGTTTCTTTTTTATCTTTCTTACAGTTTCTAACAATTTAGAATAATCCATTGGATCAGCACTGCTTTCCTTCTTCAAATATCTCATTCTTGCTGATATAAAGAACTAATTTGTTGTATTCAAAGGTTTTTTATGTATTTAGATTTACTAATCAATTATCCCCTGTTCTAGCTCTGTGGCTGCCCCAAATGATGCAGAATATTTTCGAAATGAAAGAAAGCTTGCTCTCAGGAAAGCTTTAAAAGTAAGTGCATTCCTGTTTTTAGAATAAACCTAGTGGCAGACATTAAAATGCTTCCAAAAATAATATTTAAATTTACATTGAATTTTTGCTAATAAAGACAAAAGTATCATTTTGGAAAAATTTAAAACTCCCTGTGCTCCCTCAACAACCCAAAAGTTTCCCTAGTTCACTTTTTTCAAAATAATTTGTACCTTTATCACATTGAGCAATCTTCATTGTAAATTTCTATTCTATCGGCTATATTTCTTTAACTATTTTTGGACGTTCTGAACTTCAACTTTTGATCAGATGTTTAAAATTTGAATAGCCACTGAAATCACAAGAATTTTTGCCCAACTATGAAAAGTCAATCTCACAAAATCTTTGATGAACTTATGACCTGCTTGAAAGCTAAACTCCATGCAGAGCTTGACAAACTTAAAACAATCTTTCTTTGAGAGCATTTAAGATCATTGTAACAGTTTTTTCCATTTGATGTCACCTTTCACCAAAGTACCGTATTAGAGCATAATATGGTTATTATAAACGATTTGGATGCTTTTAGCATTGTTGATTTAACATGTCCAATCTCAATCTCATTATCTAATTGATTTCCTCACTCCTGACATTTTTCCCCTAAAAGATTCAGAAAGCTATGCCACTTTGTATCAAATCTGAAATCATGAGACAGGAAATGCTATCCTCCTCAATGGATGAATACAAAAGAGATTCAATTGGTTTGATTTTACACCAAGTAAGATATTTGTGATGTCTAGCGCTCTTAATGATTTATTTCATGTTTCTTAAAGATTTGCTTTGTCTGCTTATGCTTTCTTATTTATTCTTTCTTTCATCAATTCAACTAAGTAAAATAATTCCTAGTATTCCTTAACTGTTTAGTCTACTATACATATAACATTAATAAAAAGGGATCCAATCTGTAAAAAGTAATCACCATTTGAAATTTAATGTAACCAGTCAATGAAAATTGATGATATCTATATACATTTTTGTTGGCAGAATCTCCCATAGATGTTGTATGTTGAATGATTGCTCTGAAATTTCAGTCTTTGGATGATAGTCATCAAGCAAGATTTATCACATGGTCTATCCAACTCATCTTAATCATAAGTGTTGCTAATCATAAAATACAAAAGAAAAAGGTAGCTTATGAGTTATAATTAGGAACATAAACAAGTGGATAATTTTTTGGGGGGGGGGTAGTGTAATGAAAATCCAACTTTACTTGAGGAATTTATCTCTTGATCTGTTAATCTACTGTATGTACTAAATTAATTTATGATAACTACAGATTTCTAGTTTCTGTATAATTACCAATATTTTATTCATAATGACTAGTCTCAAGCATAAAAGCACTAAAGAAGATAAACGTAACAAGAACATTCAATATTTTCATAAGAAATAAAGCAACATCGCCAAATTAGTATTATAGACCTTGGATATATTTAATGATAAAGAGTAATATTCTTTCAAGTCAATTAACAGCGATTTTGTTCTTTTTCTGATTTACCCATTAGGGCATGAAAACTTTTTTTTCTTTCCTTTAGTGGTCTACAAAGTATGTGCGGGGGTGGGGGGGGGGGGCTTGGCATACACTTGTTAAGAAGCATTGAGAATTTGTAGCAACAATGTTTAATTGTAATTGTATTTGCTGCTCGTAGTTTCTTAGAAAATTTCCACTGTCAATTGTTCTGATCGATACAGGGTATGATTTTTTTTCAAAACTGCAGGCTCAATCAATAAAGTAAAATATAAGCTTTTTATTCAGTAATTCACCTTGCCTGTTCAAAGTAATTTAATTCAACTTAACCCCTGTAAAAAAACAAAACGGTGTAATGGTGCAATTTGAGATCCAGGGCTTCACATTTAAAAATGATAAGAAGATGTGTCTGCTCCAGAGTTTGAATCTTGATAAGTTACATTATAAGATTTTTACATTTAAAATCCTATAATCTCTTAGCTATAAAATTCACATATTTGGTCACGAGAGTTAGAAAAAAATCAAAGTAAACTTTAAGTTTTTCAACCATAATAAAAGTCAGCAGATCTGATAAACAACCAGAGGAAGTGCTTTTGTCTTTTACCAGATTTTTGTTCACTCCCCTAATGGTTACTTTAATACTTTACATTATTGAAAGATAAGGAGTGAAATTTGTTGATCCGTTAGAAACCCCAACTGCTTGTCAAGCTAGCTCTTTCTTTAAATTGCAGTACATTCATTAATGTTTCTAGTTCAAATGATTTCAGCTGCAGTTTTGCAATGTTAGGCATCGTCTGTTTCTGCTAGTGACAGGTGAAAAGTGGTCAGTTAATCCAATCCCTCCCTATCCAAACCCAACAACCAACTTGAATCTGAATAAGTAAACAGCAGGCATTAATTTAACGTGCCTACAGGCACAGACGTTCCTCGTCGACCAAAATACGTGCTTGTCGGTTTGAATGGCGAGCCTCGACTTTTCATGCAGCTCGAACACCAATTGTTTCGTGGTTATGATCGCTGATATATTTCATACTGTTGCAGAAATGGTCAAAAAGAACGAAAACATGGGAAGACAAATCTCAAATGCACTCTTTTCTATATTTGAGAACAATTTTATAAGAACACGAGCCTCAAAGTGGTCAAAATTTAAGAACACATTAAGAACAAGCTGAAACTGAGCTTCTGCAAAATGCAATTTGGAACAACGTTTTATCTCAAAAATGAGGATTTTTGGTCATTGCATGGGTGCTACTTCGGCGAATATTCAAATTTGTCGGCAAATGAAGGTTGTTTCACTCACTTTGTTGGCAAACGAGGCCTGAACACCTCCCCAGAGTGAAAAAGCTAGCAATTACACTGCTTACACCCTATTAATGTACGAACAATTTAAGAACAAGCCAGCCTCAGTTGCATCTTATTCTACTCAGCACGTCAAATTATGCCAGGAAACAATGATGGTTTAAAATTTTTCAGTCAGTTTTGCAAGGCCTTTCTGCTAAAAATATAAGATTTGAAAAATTCGAATGTCAAAATTTTGCTGACCGTGCATTTTTCACGCTTTCTGAAACATTACTTCCGGTCATTTGACAGAATGTACCTAAGACTTAAAATGATCAGTTGCCTTTACTTTCATGACTTGAACTTAAAAATTTCGGTTAGGCAGTTTGATAGATGGTTATGCAAAATTGTCTGTATATTATGTAGGGTTATAACGAAAATACGGACTTGTCGTCACATTTAGCTTAGCCGTGCTCGTCCAAAAAACCCTCAAATTAATCCCTGGCTGACAACACTTTAAGAAAAGTCGAAAGAACTAAATTTTGTGTAGATAAATGCTATTTTATGGATAGAGATACCCTTCTGGCCTTTGAATAACTTGAATAGTGTATTGTTCATATTTGAATTGTCAATAATTAATGTTGATTTTTTAGATCTGCAAATTTGTGCTGAAATTCTAATGTCTTTGCAGTTTTTTACTGAGCAAGTTCAGTGCTTAGCTTTCTGTAAAGCTATGCACATGCTGAGATGGGCTCGTATTTGCCGAGACAGCAAGACCATTGGAGGCATTTATGAGCAATATATGAAGAGATTAGAGTGAGTATATCCAGATTTTATTGATACCAAATGCGTTTAAAGGAGCTTATCTTCTTTGACAGAAGTATTGTGACATGTCTATATCTTGGCGTATTCATCTCCAAATAAATGATTTTCATGATTTGACATATCAAAGATCTCAAAATTTTGATTTCTTTGATGTGGATATGGTTATTTGGATTTCTTTTTGTTTGTTAAGACATTCCTTAAAGTATTCAGCTGTACAACATGCACTAGTTTTGTGCACTTTGTATAAAATAGAGGTCTATTGTACATTTCTCCTGTCAAGCTTTTGTCAATTGCTACAGCAGTATTCACCATATTGCAGTAAACAGACACCTGAACTGCTTGTCTTGACACTAAACATGTTAATCTCAACATTTACAGTGATATAATGAAGGAGCAAAAAGATGCAATTTTGAGGTCCAAGCGATTAGCAAAATGCCGAGACCTGAGTAAAAGGACAGTATCTCTGCAATACATCACTACCGAAGACCTTCTTATTTACACAAGATGGCTGATATGTCACCTTCATTCTGTTAAACACATTCACTCTTTTATTCGGGTACGTTACAACAATATTTCGAACATATTTAATTACGTTTTTCTTGATTTGCTTCATGAGAATTAGTTAAGACAAGTCATGACGAGTTTCAGTTTCAAATGACGCAACTCTGGTTTTTCATTCTTTTAAAAATAACTAAAATTCTTTAAACTGAAAATGTTTTCATTTCATTTATGAAGTTGGAAAAACTTCTAGTGAAATTAAACTACACTGATGAAAATTTTTTAAATGTCCCGTTTAAAACAGCCAGATATTTCTTGTGACGCGGTTATAGGAAAGCGCCTATTCAAAATGATCAGTAAAATGATACTGCGCTATTGTACATTTCGCACGATTTTTCAGATTTCATGAAACATCTCTTGAAACATGAAGCATCGTTTGCTAGAAATACGTTGTTTTATATACACTAACAAGAATGAGTGGTTTCCTATTTGGGACGACAAATCACCTATTTTGTCATTTTTCGACAGTTTTGTTTTCTATAGGTATTCATTCATTGTTGCTGTAGGCCTTAATAGGTTTCTCGTGCTAGATTGATAGATGAAACGAATCACTTAATTTCATTCCGGTTTTATAGCAACTAGAGTGGTTCCCCATGACTAAACTCAACCAAATTCATCCTGACTCTGGCAGCGAAGAAAATTCCAATGGTAAATCAACAAAATCTCAGGCAATCCTCCGCTCCATAACTCGGAAACTTTCCATGGGCAAAGCATTTTCGCCCATGAAAAGAAATGTGACAACGTTCTCAGACTCATCTATTCCATCTGCCCCTGCTTTGTCCTACGATGTCCCCAAGTCTACGAAATACTTTGGTGACGTCACTTCGATTGCTGCTGCAAGTGGAGGTGGCTTGGCTTCAGACGAAGTTACCTTGTCAATTCCACTGAATGATGTCGACATCTCTTCGTATTCTACAGTGCTTGACTTTCTTTTATGTTGCTATGGAATCCGCATGGTAATTTTCTTTTTTTTTTGTTATTTTCAAACAACCATTTCATTAAGTTAATAGGCTAAACAGACTTTAAAAGACATTTTTGAAACATTTGTACTTCAGAACATTATATAAAGCTTGAGTAGATACTCATTTAAGTAAATACTTGATTGATTTTGAACTTTGCAACCGTGCTAAGACGTTTATTTTGTTCACTGCTTCAGTGTTTTATTCCATCAAAATTTCGTTTTCGCTGAAGAATCAAACCTTTAAACTCGTTTCCCTTTTTAGCAAACTCGAGACCTTAAGAGCCGCTCCGATGAAATGGACATGCTCCACTTGGTCCTAAGGAAGTTCAAAACAGTCTACTATGACCAGGAGCAGATGCGTCACTTTCCAATTTACGATACCGATATAGTGAGATATAAAATATCATATTTGATGCATATTTCATTTAAGACCCTCTGAAATTTAAAGGGTTTAGCGAATTTATTTTGCTATTTATTTTGTCTTAATATCTTTGTCTTTTGTTTCGACTGGCTAAATTTGCTTTTTTGATAGTAAGGAGAGAGTAAGAATGATAATGGAACTCAAATATATTTAAGAGTTATAAAATTGATTTTTAGATTTGATTTTTGACTAAGCTTGATTTTTAGATCGGTACAAGTGCAAAACTGACGGAACAAAACAAAACTGTAACATACAAAAAGTATTGCGATTGGACTGATTTTATGCAGATTAGGTATGTCATTTATGAGCTAGGTACAAATCTTGATGACAGTTGCCGTTGCAAAATTTCAAAAAAAGGAAGCCTTTACTTACGTTTTGACATCTGTGTTAATCTGCTAAATCTGTCATCTTCAGTATCATTTAAATATTTCACAGTGAAAATCTTATAATTCGACGATCGCCATAATTCAAACTTTTGCTAATGAGAACAAAAATCTTGCTCTTGTCTTGATAAATCCATTTTCCCAAAATTTTTGTAATACAAACATTATATATGTTTGACATAAAACTTTGCATCGTTATTCATATTTGTCAATCAGCTTAATTATTTGCATTTTTTCTTCGAATTAGGCCAAGAATTGATGGAAATGAAACCAAAAACATGACAATTCTCAAAGAAAAATGTCTGTTTGATGAGGTATTTAATCAATCCATATTATCATATTATCAAGATATTATCTCTGTCTGCTTTCCAGATTTATTGTCACCTCTTTATTATTATCACCTCCTTAGTATAGTCACCTCCTTAGTATAGTCACCTCCTTATTATTGTCCCCCCTTATCAATTGTTACCTCCTTTTACTGTCACCTCATTTTTATTGTCATCTGCGTTAAAGGAACATTTTAGAATTTTTTTTTCTTGATGCACTAGAAGTCTTTTGCTTCATTTAGAATTGTCACTCTTAAGATAAGACAGGTGGAGCATTTTGCTCTTCTTGTGGCATATAAATTTCAAATTAATTATGTTGCCGTTTTATGTCATGCTATTGTGATGTTTTATTGAAAATTGCTTATACTTTTTCCAGCTTCTTCGAATAAATTCGCAATTTTTTCATGTTAGCGACAGTCAGGTATGTCTAGCTATGACGGTTTTATCGATTTTCACTTGCCCCGTCTCATCCTTTGTTACTTAAATTCAATATAATAAGTAAAGCATAACTTCAAAACTACTCTGCATTATTACCAACTCTTTGCTCGTTCTTTGCTTGTTCTCTAAACAAAGTCGGCAGTTAAACTATGCATATTGTACTTCGCCTGAGGAACTGGGACCTTCATAAGCAATACTGAATGTTAGGGCGCCCTTTTATAATAAAGAAGGTGTTATCATTTTCAAATACGGCGCATTTGCGTGCTAGAAAATCTTTTAGATACATTTTCTTTTCCGTGATGATTGTGAAAATTTCCTTTTATGAAACATTTTTTGTTATTTTCCGTTTAGTTTTGTTCTCAAGTTTTTAAGCTTCTTTTAACTATCCTCTAGTATTTTTTGAATTGAAAAAAACTTCCTGCTATTTTTCCTGCAAGACCTTCATCTCTTATATTTTCTGTAAGACCCTCATTCCATATTCTTTGGTGCAATTTATCTGAACGGCTTTACATCTTGTTGGCAATAAAATCAATCTATCTTTTCTGGTTTCGATTTCTGCAGAAAGCATTGAATTGTTTGAGGGAACATGCCAATTGTGTCCACGAGCAAACACAGCTGCAAGCTATTTCAGTGACGACTCATCGAACAGGAAACGATACGACAGCTCTGTGGAATAAAATATTTGACTACTCAAATCGAAGGTATCATCAACTCTTATTTAGGACGCTGTTAAATCATTTTATTTTTCTTTATTTGAATGTTTCTTTAAACCATTAAAAGAAATATCCCAAATTCTCCTTGATTATTCAAAGTTTGAATTTTAACCGGGATGATATGATTTTTTATTATTTTAACTTTCGGTCTGTATTTGATTTGTAGAATAGGGAAGTGCTAAGGCTGATAAAGTGTACCAAATTGAGTTCAAGAATTGACGAAATGATCGTTTCTTGATCGTTTCTTGATCGTTTCTTAATTAGAAAGATACTTCAGACGTGAATTTTTTAACAGGAATTCGAAACCAAACAAGGAGCCTCTTGGTTTTGAAGTGAAGTTATCCAGTGGTGACATCGATAGTTTAGATGACAGTGCATTGGATCTCAGCGCAGCTGTAGAAATGCTTGGCTTGGAAAATGAAGATCAAAAGAGGCACCCACTTGCAAACCACGGAACCTATTTGGCATACCTTGCATTACGACACTTAAGAATACGGGACCTTCAGCGAACAGTAAGACTGACATGTCATATAAGTTATTGCTTCTTCTTTTATGAAAGAGCCCTTTTCCCAAATTTCCAGCAGGATCATTGACATGTTATTAGGGCCCAAGTCAAAGGATTGAATTTGAGGGACGGGTTTTTTACTCTTCGCTACGCAATTCCTCACGTTTGATCTTTATAATTTTGCTCGTCAATCTGGTGTACCGTCACTTTTACGGCTGTGTTACATCTCTTTTGAAAAGGTCTAGGTTAATGAAACAATACTAGCTTCCTGATTCTTTTTAAAAAACTGATTACCCAAATGGGAACAGTTGCAACACTTTTATTATAACTAATGCTAAATTTCATTTGAGTACACAGGAGTTAGGTCAGTAGCATTTTAGGTAACAAAATAGCCCCCACTTTGCTACTCACAATATTTTAATTGTAATTTCATTTTTAAAAATTGCCTTTAGCGATCTGACTGCCAAGTTTAACCTGTCTTCTTTGTTACCTAAATTCAAACTTTTATGAAGAATAATGTTATTTTAAATTCAAACTTTTAGTGTCTCAGTGTCCTCAACTACTTTCGTTCCGTCGAGAGAACGTTAACAATCGATGATGGAGGACTAGTTAAGAATGAAGACGGATTCAAAATAAAAAAGTGAGAATATTTTGTTTATATTTAATCCCGCCGTACTACTAGGCGGGACTGGTCGATGTTCTCTCTCGAACGGGGCTCATTTATCGAAATAATTTTCAACAAGGAGTCACTTTTTATCTGCTAAGCTTATATGTTTTTATGTTTTCGCAGGTGTAACAACAACAATTGTCATAATTTGCCGATACCTTACCAAACCATTGCTTTACGAACCTTCGTATACTTTTAAGATTTCGCGCTTCTTATCCTGTGATCTGTGAAAACGTGTTTAAACTGTGTGAATCTTTTTGTTATCTTTCTATGACGTTATGAAATGAAAAATAAGCAAAGTTTTCAAATGATCCATACCTTCTTTTGAAACTCCTGGCTAGCCCGTCTCCATAAGAGATCGCTTACTATTCATATCAACACATCTGTTTCCAGTGCACTTGTGTGGATGATGCGATTGCTATTTCCATTTCCACTTCATCTAAGATATTCTCGATTTATTGTACAGGACTCACCCTAACGAGAACCGCAGCTCACTTGGTGTTGGCGCTCACCAATACGTTCATAACAGTCCTGCTGAGTTTCGGTAAGCACTCAGCTAGTTATTTGGGAAAAGCAGCATTAAAGTCAACGACTAAGCATATCATCAGTAGAAACTTTTTAAACTGGCATTAACTATAGATTCTTTGTTTCAGGGCTGAAGAGCGGGAATTTCTTGAAACCTTGGAAGTGAGTTATTGACTTCCAATTTTTTTATTTGATTTTTAGACAACAAAGGATAATGATCTTGTTAGTTGTTTCTACTTCATAAATGAATGTTTAATAAGTGGTTTTTTATTTATAAATATATGATTCTTATGGTATGCTAAATGATCAAAGCTTGGTTGTACGGCAAAAAAAATATGTTTTGTCGTACGATGCAATAATGGCGTATTTCTTCTATCTAACGTTTTGTAGCGCCACTTTAGATTCCCATTTCACCAGCTGCTAATTGTATTAAGAAATTTTCTCGGAGTTTCTTCTGCAAGAAGCTCGGCCTTTTGTCAAAGCTGAACTAGCTCTTTCTATTTGCCCGCTTGAATGTTGCTTTTTCTGCTTTTGTATTATGTTCAAGCTCAAGTCAATTTTCTTTTGTTATTGAAGATTGAAAACCAGGATGATTACTACTCTCTGTCTGACGGTCGCATTCATGTGCAAGATCACAAAGGAGTCTTTGTCATCTACGACAAATCCCTGGAAGATTTCAGGTACCTTTCGTTTATATTTAACAATTTAGCTGCATAATTATTCCTTTTATAATCTTAGCTATCTGTGCAAATTATGTGGATCTTTGACTACTGCTTCATACGATGCTCAGTCAGACATTGTCAAATTTCATTTTCTGCTGTTTTACTACTTATCAAATTTAATGTTTTCCTCCAAAATTACTTTTTTCAAGATCTTTGCCTATGGCCTTTGCATTTGACCATTAGCTAGCTGGTTCTGCTGACATAATTCTTTTCTGAATAACTGAAAAATGTTTTTGTAGCAACTAACACTTTTCTATAAGAATTTTCTTCCTGCAAGACCCTAGTCAAGCAAAATGTTTCCTGATCAGTGTATCTGTTTGATAATGCTACCTTCTCTGTATCACTCCTTGTTGTATATGGCCATGATTTTAGGGAAATCGAAAAACAGTTACTCCTGATTGGTTCACATTTCATTTCAAAGTTTGGAGGCAAGGACAAAAACGATATTAAAGTACAGGTATGATTGATTCCTTTGCACTGCCTCGAAGATATTTTCAATTCACCTTGATTTTCTTAAGTGGTTTGTGACTTATGGAAAAGACAGAAATTGTTTGCCAAATGTCTTCCAGACAACACAAAGCTGCTATGGCTGTGATTATCAATGACTTGCTCCTGGTTCAACTATTGTCTCCTTTTGATGCACATAGGAATCTATTGTTATCTAAGTTGGCTAGTCTACGAGCAGTGCCTCTTTAGACACAGGAGACACTTTACACGACCGAACTTTTTTGCCAGGAGAAATAAGTGAATAATCTTTAAAGCAGGCTAGAATTATGCTTTTTGAGATCCATTTTTCTAGAGAAATAAGCTTAATTTCGCCAGGCTCGGTACCCTATTAGGTTTAAGAGATACCACCAGTGCCCTTCCAATGAAAGTTTCCATTAGGCCAGTTTTTCTTTCTGTTTTACTTTTGAGTACTATGTTTCATCCTTCCCATGTTTTTTGGATTCTTCAATAGCCAGAACCTGTTTTATCTATTTCTAAGTTTTTATTTTCAAAATCAGCAAGAGAAAGCAAAAAGTAGATTCAATTAGAAAATAATCAACTTCGTTTTAGTCAGTGCTATCAATACCTGTAATTTCCCGCTTAGTAGCAACTTTGTTTTCACCTTATATGTGTCGGACAGTTTCGTAAAGCACTGGCTTGCCCCATCAATATTTGTCCGAGTGCAGCATTAGCTCAATGCCTTGTTTTTTATTTCAATTCCGTAGTTTTCTTTGGAATCTCTTTGTAGTTCTCTTTCCATCAAGACACTTTTGCAAATAATATTAGAAATATAGTCAAATAATCAAGTCCTATAACTACAGAGCGAATCTTAACTCGGAGGAAGATAAGCTGAAAAGTTTCTAGGAGAGTCTAGAAAATATTTTATTTTTTTCACTTAACTCTAGCAACAACAAGGCAGCGACTTTGATCTTGATGCATATAGTCGCAAAGATATTGATAGGTTTGGTGTGATTTTGGATTTGTGGACAAATGAAGCTGCTTATTTAGAAAATAAACGCAAGGTTGGTACTTTTCATCTGATTTCAATCGCAAAGTAAATTCTCTTTTTCATGAATTCGTCATGTTCCAAAATATTCGATCTGTTTGTCATTAATTAAGAAAAGAAACTTTAGAGACAGTGCCTTTGTGCCGTTCACGACCCTATTGTGTACAGGGAAAGACACTGTCTCTAATGTCGCTTTTCGTTGCTATTTTGTGCATCTATCCGACAAACTTTTCTTGGCAAGTGGATAATTTTATCCATAATTTATTTATGGATTGCGATCAGTGTGTAATTCAAAATGTGTACCGATAAAATGGATGAGTCTTAAAGATTCAGCGACAGCTAGAACTTCTTGTTCCTACTACAACTTTTCTTGACTTTCAATTTGCTTTTCATTTTAACTTCCATTTATCATTTAATCTGTAGCCAATGATGAATATTTGTATTCTCTTTTCTAAGCACTGCGTCCTTTTAGGTTAATAATCTTGTTGATCTAAAGATCCCTTTTGGTAATTTCAAATGTCCACGTAATTCATGTCTTGCAGCTTGTTTCTGGCTACTTTGAGATTTATCAGCATATTTTCAACCCAAAAGAGAAGCACACATTTGCTCAGGTAGGTTTTTATTCCCAATTTTTTATATATTACGATTGTTTCGAAAAACCTTTTAATTTCTGTGAATTTTTTTAAGGTAGCATGTTTTGAGTCGGTTACTAAATTTATGGAAGAACTATACTGCCTCGATGAATTCTACCTTTGTTTTCGACGTTTCCTCGTAAACTTGAATAATTACGAACCATATTTGTTTGATACTTGAACTGTTTTTCCAAAGATGATTGCGAGTCACTGATTTTTTAATTTTGAGATTTTCTGATAATCTTGCATGCTTACAAATCCCTTTTTTACAAACTTTGCTTGTAAATTCAGATGATTGCAGACGTGATCCACGAACGACCAAGGCTCGACTTTTCGGAGTCGTACTTTATCAGAACATATCGCAACGAATGCCACTGTTTGAGATTGCGACTTGGCCTCATAGAAAATATCGCCAATAAACAGGTGACATTTTAATGGTATTTTGCACAATTTTGTTCGCTGTCGTTTAATTCCAGTCAGTGTTTGTTGTTTGAATATCCCTGTTCGTGTTTTATTATTGATAAATACTTTCTATCTCATGCCTTCTATTCGTGTTACTGATCTAAAAACCAAAAAAAATGGCGAGAATCCATTCTATGTCATGCTACGATATTTTATGCCACGATATGCTACGTTCATTACAAATGGGCAGCACCCTTGTAGAAATAATTTTCCTCCTTTCGGCCGTTGTCTTATGATATATTTATAAATATATGATAGTAGTTACTGTTTACCGGTTCGTTTAGAAGTGCTCGAAACCGTATTGACAGAGCTGTACTGTTCACTGTTGTCTGATAGTCGCATTAAGCGTGAAACTTGGAGTGGCAACTTATTACCGACCTGCTCTATACACGAAATTAGTGTACATATCACATTTCCTGAAGAGAAGTTGGGGATAGCCTAAAAAACCTACTGCAAAGAGGTCTACTGCAAAAGACCTAGAAATATGGTTCTCCCGGTTTAACGAACTCCCGATATAATGAAGTATTTTCGGATTCCCTACAGAGTTCGTTATATCGGGATTATTAAGCACACAAATTTCTGTCTATTTATATATTTGGCTGATTTCGTTTGACTTCTTTTAGGTTGAACTTCAGCGTGACTATGTTCAAAAGGTCAATCGTCAAGAGGAATCTGGTGAGACTATTTTTTGTATGGTTATTTAAATATATTTTTCCTAATAATTCAGCACGTCTTTTTTCTCTCCGCATTCGTTGCATTTTCCCAAAATTTGGAATTTTTCTAACAGCCCTGATATTAGTTATCCTATTGAACTAGAGAATGTTGTCTTATTTTAGAGGGCTTGAATTTTTATTAGTAACTGGACATGGATTTTGCTTCAACGTGTCATTCTCGAAAAATCTTTTGAATAATAAAGTGATAATTATTTGCAAAAATGTGAAAATTGGTTTTTCCAGTATATAGTCATTAGCTTGTTTGGGCTTCTTAGTAACAACATAAACATAAATCAACAGAAGGTGGGGGAAAAGATTTGTCCGTAATTCTTATTTCTTAATCATTTTTCTGTAATTCTGTAATCGTTTGTATTTCTTAATCTCTCATTGACTTTAGTGTTTGGCATGCCATTGAGTGTAATTCCGATGCAGAATATTTCACCAATTGAAAGCAGGTTTGTCACCAATTGAACACACCCTGTTTTCAGGCTGGGTTCACGTATCTTTATTCTGTCCATACCTGCTGTCCGGTTGCTCTTTTTAGCTGTTCCGCTGTTGTTTGCAAACATTTTCATGCAACTGATATTGCGGGGACGACAGCATTTGAAATAAAGTTATCGTGTTCTATTTCTGATTAAAACTTGGAAAATGGAAGTCCTTTTAAAGTTGTCTTATACATGGTCTCTAAAACCATATTTCTTCAGATTTTATGTTTATTTCATGTACAATAATTTTTGGAATCAGTGGTGGACGCCTGGAGGCGAGCGAGGCTTGTCCCCGATACTTCGGAGGACAATGGACTTTTGTTTCTAAAACAATTGGAATATGTGACGTCATCTTATTAATACAATGGAACTGCCTCCTCCCCCCCTCCCAAATATTTGACCAAGTATCCACCCCTGTTTTAAATTATGCCTTTTGTATTTGAATAATAATTTTGAAAAGGGTGGTAGTTTATTGCACTAAATTTAATGTATTAAAGCATGTATTGTAAAAAAACGATTGAAATGTTATTACTTTTTCTCCATTTAGGCTAATTATTTATCTTTTTTGTCTGTATTATTGAATTTTTCGCGACACTAGGCCTACGCTTCGTCATATCTACCTTATGGAATTTCACCCATCCCTTGCGTTAATTTGTAAGGTGACAGAGGCCCTCGAAACAACAAAAAAGGTAACGCAACATTTTCTTCTTTTTTTTACTGTGTAAACCATGCAAAATTATCATGTTTCTAAATGATTTTTCTCTTTTGTACGTGTCAATATTTTCTAGTATTTTCTGTGAGCGATTTTTTTCTCACCTGGGTACCAGACTCACTATATATAAAATAAAATTGATAGTGAGCTCCATTATTTTGATATATAGTGAGTCTGGTACTCAGGGTAATGTCAATAATGCATTCTTGAAATAGTTGTACATTTCAAAATGCGAATTAGTACACGGCGCAATATTCGATATAAAAGAAATAAGCCCTTTTTTCACAAATATTGCATGATGATAAAATATTATGGAGAGCTGCTGTCAAAATTTTTCTGGCGATTTTTTATCTTGTTGCAGTCAGCACATTAAAAGCAGTTGCAGCATCTCCAGCTGTCGGCCATGTTATAGATTCTGTGGCTTTTCTAGTTGTGCAATAATTCGAGCATCAATAATATATTTGCAATTCTGCTGTAAAATTCACGGTCATTTAGCAACATGAAAGAAGAAATTATTCATGTTAGTTTTTGTTTGACAATCCTAACTTATACTGTCTAAATATCAGGGAAAATTTTTTATGTTTTGGTTTATGAAATACAGTCAAATTTGTTTCATGTTATTGTACCTAACCTTGATACTGCTGATCTTGTTCATCAGGAGTTTGAAAGGATTCACCGGCCTACAACTACAACGCAATTGATTTCCATGGAAAAACGGCTGTACGAACTTGCCATTGAAGAATTTTCAAAGTTAAAGCCAGTTGGTCATGATTATTCAAGCCAGGTTCAACGAGATGTGAGTCTTTTTCGCCTTACGAAGGTGCCAATCATCAAAAAGTTCAGTTCGTATATTGTACTTTTCCATAGGCCCACACTTTATTTTCAAACGGCAATATAAAGCACCATGGTTATTTTTTGTACTCAGTTTCGTTATTGCTATATTTATCACATCTTTCGCCATTTTTCGAGTTATCTAGTTCGAAGCTATCTGGTTTCTCGTTTAACAAACAGTAAATGTCTGCATTGATTATTTCAAGTATAAAGAAATGCTGCGCAAATATAGAAATAAAAGAATATTTTTTGAGTTATAATATCCAGCAGATATCATTTTCCAGCTACATTAAAATTCAATCTTTTCCCAGATTTTTTCAGAGGCATTTATCGAAGATCCTCTATTTGTCTGTACTTTCGCTCAATCGGCTATGTCATTGGTGAACTCTAAGCAAAAGATTAAATCGGTGAAAGAGGAAAAGAATGCATCTGTTCTGTTTTGGTGCAAGGTTTTGCAAGTTAGTACAGCATTGACTTGTCTATTCTCTTTAACTTGAACTTCTGAATTGTTATCTGAATTGTTATGCCTTTTTGACATCCTCAATTGTGTTTATGTTTTCATATTTTTGTTTTCAACGCTGTGTTTCATTGTATTTCGAACCTGGCTAAGAATTGGTTAAACTATTTCTAAGTCATTAAAGTCTATGTGAAATATTGCGTAGGTAGAAAAACTTCCTGCTGTGGAATTTGTCTATTGCTGTTATCAAAGATTTTGATTCATTTTTTGCTAAGGGAATTGACGAAAATAGCATTGTTGATTTTGCCTGATTTGTTCACAAATGCTGCTTGACTAAAGCATTTTAGATATAAATTTCCTAGGCAGATAGTTTAATTCTTTTATTCTGATTTCAGATCCTAACTCTGCGGCATAGATTAATTGAATGCTGCGATGAATCAAGTATTCTCTCTCAAGTATGTTCTTTATAACTTAGCTCTTGTCCACTTACTGATTTCAAACGCTTTCTTCCGAATGCTTTATGCGTCTATCTAGATTCGGACATAATGTGGAACTAATTGCTAATATTGTACCCGTTTCTAAGTGGTAGGTAACAAATTGAATTTGATTCATCTTACTGTATCAGCATCTACAATGCATGTTTAAATGGCTGTGAAGGAATGTTTTATTTGACATACGGAATTAAAAGAAAAAAGTCACGTTATCTCAACATGTTACGGAATAGTTTCTTGTAGTTCTGGTGCGACAATCAAATAGTTGGTGCCATAAACTTTTACCTTTTCTGTCGTAATCCACCTCTACTTTTTTGAAGGTTTATAAGTTAAAAGCGAAAGAGCTTGGCTTTGACGAATGTCATCTTTTCATGCGGGCAGTGTCATTTGAATTTGCTCAAAAGAAGTCTGATGTCGAAACGAAACCTCTTTCGACAGCTCAGTTGATTCAAAATGATAGTGTTGTTGACAGGTAACGGACAGGACATTTATTCCTGTTTTATTTTCACCTAGCGGTATTTCTCTAATGCAAAGAAATTTTCGGAAGACAAGACTGCTGTTTATCCAGTGATGCCTTCTTTCTTCATAATAAGTTCGCTAAACTAATGAAATGAAAACATAATTCTTTGGTTAGATGTAGCAATTGCGTAATATTTTTTAGGAGTAATTGTTTATGCTAATTCTTTGATACTACAAGCAACAAAGTATTCTAGATGCATATGTATTCAATTTTGGTGTATGATTTTAAAATGGTGAGTTTACCGTCAAAGATCTGTCAGGCCCCACGATCCCAGAATTCATTCTGTCTATGGTAGCCGCTGCAATAAGTTACAGCTACTGTGCAGCGGCAATTGAGAATATTTTGAAAAATTATAATGATGATAATAATAATGATAAGAGAAACATTTTAAAAAGATAAACCTTGTTACTATTTCAGGCACTATTGTCAGTAAGGTTATTGTCAGGTATACCATGGTATATTCACCAGTTTCAAGTAATTGGTTTGAAAACCTTGTAATGACAATTAAAGTTTAAGAATTTGCAAATAATGTTGCTTATATTTACATTCAAAGTAGCCATGATCAGGGTTGCCATACTTGCATATTTTATGCAAAATTAGGCGTTTTTGGCATGTTTTGAAGGCGCTTTGCATTTGAAATTTGTGTCTTTTCATATGTTTGGCGTATTTCGAATAAATTTGCAATATTTTGTTTCTTTTTCTTATGAAGCCTCTCGGATAGAAAGTTTTCGATGTTAATTCTGGAGGTAATGTAGGCTTAATAGTCAAATAACGACCCACATCAAATTTTCCACGTCAAGTTAAGTTAATCGGCATTGACAAATTTTCCGTAGTTTTGCACATTTTAACCTAATAAGGGTTAATTTTTTCCTTAATTGGCATATTTTTTGTTTGAAATCCTGTAGCCCTGATGCACTACCACGCTGCCTTTATTTGGCGAGGGTACCCTTTTAGAAATTTTTGTCGATGACTTGCCGCGGGACTTAATTAAAATGTGCTGAAACTCATGTTATACTTCCTTTGCTTAGATACACACCTAATACGCTCTTTTTGGCAATTCAAGAGCTAGATGAAAAACATTTGGGAAGTTTCAGTCTTAGGACACAAGATGGTCTTCTCTTTGTAAGCAAATTCCATTTTCTGTTGCCAATTAAAGCATGCTTTTTTCGGAGGTTATGTTTGCTGCAAACTTTGATATTTCAATGATATGATGTTAGTGCTAAGCATTATATTTCTGCTTTATTGTATGTTACCAAAATGGAAATAACTTATTTAGTTGCCTGGTAACAAAAAAGCATTTTTTTTGAAAATATTCTATACAAAGAAATTGATCGAAATTCTACACTGATATTTGCAGCTTTGTCAAGATGAAAATGTAGAAAGATTGAAGACAACAGTTTTGTGTCAGGTAATTCTCTAAAGATAACTTCTTTGAATTTAGCCAAATGTTTCTTGCCTTGAAAGAAAAAAGTCCTAAGAAATTACTTTTTTGCCTACAGTTATAATTAGCCTTGCATCCTAGAAATTCTACATTTCGAGAATTTAAGATGAAATAGAAAAAGCTATTTTATCTTATAAATTCCATTTAATCCTTTACTCGATCTAGATTTTGTATTTTACGACCATTTTTGCCCTAAAAAATATGAAACAGAAACAATAAGGTTTTGAATGACAGCTCGTTTTTCTGCAGGTTGTTCACAAGAACCTTATTGCTTCATCCTTGTTCCAAATCAATAACTGTTTGGTTGCCGAGAAGAGGAATAGTCTCATCCCGTCTTTGAGGTGTGTAATTTTCCTAATTTCCTTAAAAGTGGCTCAATCCCGGGGGGGTACTTAGTATATTTTGCTGACGGGATGTGCACGTCTTTCCGAGTATCATTTTAAGCAATTTATTCTAAGGCCGGGTATCTGTTCAAAGGATATAATCTAAAGCCGGTTGCCTGATTTTCGCTGCCCGCCCATTGTTTTTGTGGTGTTCTGGCAACCATGGCAACTGGCACCAAAGCTTTTGTTTTCCTTTGTTCTTTTTTCCAGAAATTCTAAAGCCGGGTGTCATTTTTAGCTTTTTTTCTAAAGCCGGTTCACCAAAACAATCTTAGGAGTGCACACCCCCGTCGTTTTTGTATCCAAGTACCCCCCCCCCCCCCCGGGGGGCTCAATAAAGAATTGTTAAGCATGAAAAAATAGGCTTTTGTTAAATCGTGACAAAGCGCCGCTACAGAAGCTATAACATTCATTCATCCATTCATTCATTCATTCATTCTTTCATTCATTCATTCATTCATTCATTCATTCTTTCATTCATTCATCCATTCATTTATTCATTCATTCATTCATTCTTTTATTCATTCATTTATTCTTTGATTCATTCATTTATTCTTTCATTCATTCATTTATTCATACTTTGATTCATTTATTCATTCATTCATTCATTTATTCATTCATTCATTTATTCATTTATTCATTCATTCATTCATTCATTCATTCATTCATTCATTCATTTGTCATTCATCTTGTCTTTTGTTTTTTTTTTGCTGCTTTAATTCAATTCTGCGAAAAAAGTGATTCCTTACTCAGAAAAATAGTGTTGTATGCTGATGTTTTCTGTTTTTTGCCCTCGGAGATTTGCTTGTATCTTTCTTATTTCCCCTGTCTCTTTCAAGTTGAGAATATTTACTTGTTTAGCAAATTTATCTTGGGCAGGAACTCAGCCAATTCTGTTATCAATGATAACACTGCCTCGAGTGACGACCCTTTCAAATCTGCCAAAGTGCTAAATGCATGGAAGAGGAAGGTGCAAGAATCCTTTGTATCAATCCAACTTGAAAAGGTAGCGTTATGTTTGTTTCGCATTGAGTTAATCACTTCTTTTGCCCCTTAAGACACCCTTTAATGTTACTTGCCCATCAATATTTTTCAATCGAATCAGTTAGACTACCATCTAACTCAAACATAGCTTTTATTACCGATTATGTGAATAGCTTCCATTAGAAAATACACATGCCTATCTCTAAATTTTTTGTTGCTTACGGACAAATTTTTTAGAATGGAAATTACTTGTAAAATATTTTTGAATAAGATGGCTAGGGTCGCTATATGCCTTGTTATACGCTAAATGATTTTGAAGGCAGAGCTCAGGGTTTGTTGAATTATCTGACATTGTAAAATAAAGTATATAGCAACTTAGATGATTTTAAACAATACCATCTTTTTATTTTATTAAAATTCTTTTATCTATAAAAGCTATAATTCATGCTATTAGTTTGGATCTTTGATTCTTAGGGATTTCTACGAAATCAGATGTTGAACGATTTTCTTGCTGAAAAGGCTGTCAAAGGTGTCATAATGAACAATATCGACGAAGTCATCAAGCTGAAGAGGTAATGCTTATTGCTACAACTGTTCCTTGATATTGTTGGTTGGTGAACAGAACTGAATATTCCTTTTTCCGCTTACCTTTTTTATCAAATTATTTATTTTCATATCATAACGGATTTTTCACATTACTTTTATTGCTCTTTTTCTTTAGGAAAATGATCTTACTGTTTTGCAACAAGGTGCACGCTAGAATGACTCAACATGCTCTCAGATCGCAGGTGACTTTAGTAATATATTCCCACCAAGTAACTACAGTTTTGGTTTGTTTGGACCAATCCAAGATCCTTATCAGAAATGCATCCACAGCAAAACAACTTCGTTTTGGTGTTCGAATGCTTTCTCTCGCTTTGTTTTTTGGTAACAAGAGTTTTGGAGTGAAATCATACTACGATCACATTCTTCGATGTATTATAAGAAAGAAATTGAATATTTTTTAATGTTTTAGTTAATGTTAATAATGTTATACGTTACTTGGGTAAACCAACAACTGTGAATCATCTAACATTTGCGAAATATACTGCCTTCCTATTCTTCTTTACCGATATTCTTGATTATCATGAAAGCGCTTTTTGAAGTTCTGCTAACAAATTTGTTATTTTCTATGTGGTATTTCTACAGATTATTTCATACGTCTATGGATTGAGAGACCTCCTTGATGATTTTCCCAAAACCAGGTAATACTGCCATATGGCAATTATCAAGCTGCTTTGAAAAAAACTTAATCTAATTGTCATCGAATTACCTTTTATTTCAGTTTTTATATTCCAATGAATGTGGTAAATAGAAGTTGCGATAGTTGTGTAGTGTATGCATGTAATTTCTTAAAACAGCGTTAAATCTTTGTCACCTTTTTAAAAATGGAAATTTCATTTTTGTTAATCAAAAAACATGTGATACCAAAATAATAATATGCTTTGCTAACATGAGAAAAGGAATAGTAAACTATTTTTGTGGAGGCAGAATTTTTGTGAATTCTTTTAAAACTGACCCTTATTATTTGCTTTTCTATTAACCATTTTATCTTTAGGGACACACATTTTGTTCTTGGGACTTACGAAGAAGACAGTAAAACTGAAGAAAATGAAGTTTCTGTCGACCCAAAGTAGGTGCTTCTTTTTTTCCCTGTTTTAGAAAAGGAACGCATGTTTGCGATAGGTTCAGTTTTGACACTTATATATCCCAGATTTTCATTTTGCTCATCAAAGGCGATTAATTTTCTTTATTTTTGCTTGCAGATTTCATTAATTAATTCGCTCTAAATAAACAGTGAGACAAAGAAAGCAATAAGCTGTCTATCTCTAAATCTGTTGGAACAAGAGACAAACAACAAGCACAAGTTCTTGAATAAATCGCATATTCAAAAGAAAGTTGAAAACTACAACAATTTAACGATTGTTTTTTTTTAAAAACGATTTCATAAAGTTTTTAAAATGGGCTATTTTTGTGGTCACTTTCAGACAACCTTTTAACTCTACCCACCCTTCCCTTTCGTTTGAGTAAGCCCTCACCCACTGACATCCAAAATTAATACACATTCAGGGGTAAAAAAAAATATACAAGAAGAAATGTTTGTCTGCTGGACTAGAGTGGGAGAGATTTGATTGGCTTCTTGAAAGAGCAAAACGAAAAAGCTTTCCTGTACACACTTGCTTGGAATTCCAACTTCATTTACTTTTTGATGAACTGTTTGTGACATAAATCTTTTTTTAAGTATTTTGGTTTCGGTTGAAAAGTCTTTAGAATATCGTTTTAAGTTTAAACCATAAACAAGTCAGATTTTCAAATAATAGCTCTATTCCTAAAGGAAATTTACAAGAAGGCCCTTGCAGACAATGTCAGTTGATGGAAAATCCCTTTCGAACCTTTGGTATTTGCCACATTATAGGGAGGTAAGACGTCAAATACTATATTTATTTACACATTTTTTATCAATAATGCTGTTTTAAATCCACATATTGAGAATTCCTGGCTACTGCAGTGGGGAATTTATATTTTTCTTATTCTTCTTTTTTCTGCAGGTTTTACAGATGTTTGCAAAACTGAAGGAAGAAAATCTGAATGCTCGTTTGACGTTGATACTTGTAAGTCATCAAGCTTCATCTTGTAGTATTTTATCTTTTTTCTTCTGTCTGGCTATAAATAATTATCAAAAAGTTTCAATTGCCTGATATTAGTTGCAAAAACAAGCCTTCTGTAATTTATTCGATTCCACACAAACTCAAGAAGCAGCATTTTCTCTTCATTTTTCACTGGTTATAGAACGTCATGTTTGAGCGAAACGTATTCATAATTCTGGGCAACTTCTTACATTACGACCTCCCGTGCAGCTAAGGTCAGCGAATGATCTGCTTTCATTTTCAGCGACTTGTTTCTTCGCTGTACGATATATGCCAGTACCTATGTTCCCATGCAAGGCTAGGCAGTGCACAAGCTCGTCTTGGCTCAAAAAAGCTGCAGTTTCACGGAGTTACAGCTGACTGGGGCGGTTCTGAAGGAATCGGTTAGTCTAATGAATTCTACAATATTAGCCTTTTTATAAACACGTTGCAAACTTGAATTTAGTTAAGCAATGTGTGCCATGATTGAACGCTTTTAAACAACTTTTATCACAGCCTTGCTTCTACAAATTATAGAAAGCCAAGTTCTCAATAAACTGTTGCAATTGGAATGCTTTTGTTCTGTCGTAAATACGTGGTTTGATTTGTCTGACATATTGCTGTGTTTGATTTGATTTAGTTTTACTGTTATAGATTTTATTGAATTTTATCCAACTACGTAAAACTTGCCTAACCAGATTGCATTTTACTGTCTTACGAAATCTTCTAATGAATCTCGACCTAATAACTTTATCTGCAGAATGTTTTTTGTAGGTTAGTTAGCTAGATTAAAACTTCTTACACACTCAAAATGTCTTTTTCAGGTTTTTAAACTTTATGATTTGATGTTTTTCACATTTCACATTAGGAGCAGAGCTAAGGGAAATACAGCAGCAGATTAATAATCTTGAGGATCCATCAGATCCAAGCTCAGTAAGTTTTTATTTCCTTTTGTTATTTTTAATCTAAACTTATAATTATCTCTGGTTGTCTGGGAATGCAGCTTGTTTTTTGGTAACTTGTGATATTTCTTTATTCCTGCAGCTTTCGATTGTAAAAGTTTATACTGATTCGGAAGCCGCAAGTTTTTGTTAAAAATCTTATCGCTGGTTAAAGTATTCATGATTATTATTAGCAGTAAATTTTAAAGTTTGTTCATAACGTCAGTTCCTATGTCCGTGCTGATTGTTTGCGTGAGTTTCTGTTTTACTGCCTGTTGAGTGGTTTTTTGTCTAATTTGGTGACAATTTTTCAAGGTTGCAAAATTTCTTGAAACGAAAAGGGACACGATGTTTCTAGAATTTGATATCGTTGTGAGGCATTCAGCAAGAGACACATTTTTGTCAGCTGGCAACGAGAAGGCATTTAAGGTAATTGATGTGACTGAAAATACTTTGTTTTTGGTTGTTTTATTGTCAATGTTTTGGATAATTGCCAATTGTCGCAAGAATATCAATAATTCTTAAGTGAGTTTTATGGTGATTGCCAAATAATGCTCAGTTTCTGACTGTTAGGAAATATTGCATTGATTATGTATAAAGTTCTTATTGATTGATTCTGTATTGATTATGATGAAGCCCCGTATGCTGGGGCGAAATATTAGCCATCACTGATCTGTGTATTTGTTGGTATTTATTCTCATCGCGTTGCGGTGTTCCTTATATACTACTATAAAGTTCTTAGTCGGCTCTGTTTTTATGCATAAAGTTAGTCATATTAGATTTTCGCCCACCCCTCCAACCGCCCCTCTAACCGCCCCTCTTGATAGCGAAACATCGCAAATCGAATTTATTGCATGTTCTGTGGCTAATTCTTTTTATTCCCTCTAGAGCATTGTTAGTTGTTCCAATGCCGCTGTGCGAGCCATCAGTGACGTCACAAGGTTATTTGCTTTTCAACATTGCCGTTTGAAAACTTAAAAGAAATTAAGAAACATTATCAAGTGACATTCTTATCTTATTCTTCTGAAATGTTAAAAATGTTTTTGCTGATATTGTTTCGTCTTTTGATATTTTAGGCCGTCTGCCTATAGCTTTGGCTTCGAGGTTCCTGATCCACTGTTTTCGGAAGACGACACATCATTTGAAATTTGTCCTTGGAGAACGTTTCTTTCACGGTTTGTTTGACTTTTCACAAAGTTGAAAGAATTTTCTAGAAATAGCTTGCTCCTTTTATTTAGAAATCCAATTACTCTAGAATTACCTCAAGAAGTTTTTTATGAGTACAGTCGTGCAAAACGAAAAAATTGACATAAATGTTAATCTTTGACAAAGTAGCCCTGTGGTGCACTGCATGATGATATTCTTTCAAGTTGTCACTGAACCCCGAACCAACGAAAGTGAATGTACCCCACAGTATTCTTAACTAAACAGAAAAAGTTATAAGAACATCTATTGGCAGTTTAGCAATTAGAAATATTCATGCCAGAATCCTAAATCAATAATCTTGATCAAACACTTTCTAGTGAAAAGAGTATCATATGCATTGAACATGATCTCATATGCATAGACATCCCTCGTTGGTGACACTAATTTCACCTCTTTGTTTTGTGCTTAGTAAGTGCTCTTTTATGAGCCCATGGTTTTCATTTTGACCATCTATAAACCTTTTTAGACCTTTCTATAAACCTTTTAATTTTTAATATACTTTTTTCCATGAAGTTCCTTAAGTTTGCTACGAAAATCTCTTCCCCATAGCAAGATTTTTGTATAAAATCTGAGTAACTTCGCTGATAAGTTTTTCGTTTTAATCTGTTTTCAATTATGCCTAGGCTATGTCATTCTTTCATTTCACGACTCTTTTTTTATTTTTGAAGACGTGCATATGTAAAAGTACCTTTAGGTTTCATATATAATATATCTATTAAGTTTTATAATTTTATGATACATACCCATTTCAAAGACCTTTTGATGTCAATGCCATGAAAAAACGATCAATACAGTTTCGATTAGTGAGAAATGTTACTTTTATATAGTCACGGCTGCTTCCCTTTAATGGAGAAACCAGTGCATAAAATTGGCTCGTACATGCTTCAGTGTTTGGCAGGGCTTGAAGATATTGATAGGTAGGTAGCCTTGTAGGCAAGCTTTCTTCTGCTTCACTATTTTTGCAATGCATCCCCAATTGAACAACCTTATATAACAATCTATTGAACCACCTTATATCGCTTATGTGACTTCAAGCTACTAGCATTTCACCTCTGGGATCGGCACTCGTCTTGTGATTTTTTCAAAGAAAAAATAGTTGGCACTATTTCTCACTGGGATTATTGAGTAGACTGTGTACCGAAAGCTCTTCCAGACGTTCTGGATTTACTTCATTGTTGGGGCTTAGAGCCTTATTAAATTTTTCTTTACTTCTGAGTTTGTAAAACAACGCCAAGTTTGTTACCTTATAATCTTCGTGTTTGCAGACATGTAGTAAATGGTGAGATTCTTAGTTTGTCGCTGCTGCAAGAAGATGCCTTAATGCACGGAGCTATAGATATGACGTCCCTACTTAACTCCAACGGTGACAAAGAACTTGGTGACGAGGAAGCTGATGCCAGTCTCACTGGGTATGCATTCATAGATGTGATATCGTTAAAGTTAGATTGCATGGATAGCTTTCTCAAAATTGGTTTGGTCGCGTAACCGTAAATAAACATTTTGTGCGGCACAGTCTCTGTGTAAGACGAATTTTGCCTACTATTCGACCAATCGTCGAAGTGTCTGACAAAATTGCAGACCATGAAAAATCCCGAAGCTTATAGCAAATGTTTTTAGGCGTACCCATTGATCTCATTTTGTCCTCCAAATGTTTGACCAAGTTCTGAAGCTGAAACCGCAAAATTTTCGTGAGGCTTTTCTTATCATACAATTTTTCCTTCTAGCTCTAAAGAAATCATCAAAGTTTCAGAAAGCAAAAAAAGCCAGCTCAAACTTTCAACAAAGGGAAAACCAATGGAAGCTTTGCAGTTTTTGAATGATTTTTTGATCCTTTATTCAACCCTCGAGCAAATCAAAGATGACTGGGCTTGCAGAAAGCTTGGTGTTTCTGCAGTTAAATCTACAAAAACCTATCGCTCTTTTATGTGAGTTATTGCCAAGCGATTTTGGAACTTGACAAATAATTTTCGTCTTTGTGTTTTATATTTCATTTTGCTTTGAAATTTTTAGTTTTTTAGATGTTTTGTGAGTTGAAGTCATTTCGAGCTTTTGGTAAATTGTTGGTTCATCTTTTATGATAGGACGATCTACAAAAGTGATGTGATGCAAGTTATCTTCAAGCAAATCGCTGCAAAAAGTGGGAGGGTAATTCCTTAGCAATTTTTCTTTCAGTATGGTGCCTTGAAATATTCTGCTATTTAGTTAGGAAAAGTAGCTTCTTCAGTTAGGTCTATACCTTTTCAATATTAGATTTGGTAGCTTTCTCTTATTTTTCTGATGAATAAAAGCGAATGGGTTAGCTATCGTCATTGCATAAAATTATCATCATAATAGGTCACTTGTTCAACCACTGTTAAAGTAATGAACATTATTGAAGCCATTGATTGTTTAAGCTCTACCACCAATTTTTTATTTTTTATCATTTACAAATGAAGTACTATTTCGTAACAGGACGATGATTACGACCAAAATTTTCTAATTGGCGACAATGAACGCCTTTCTTTACCAACTGAAGTTGGCGAGTTTGAAATCAAGGCAAGACAGGTTCGTTTCATATTTCTTTCCATTTTGCTTTTCTCTCTGCTATTTTTCTCTGTTTCTCTGTTGGCTATTTTTCTTTATTATTAGGTGTTCCAAATTTTCAATATTTTCGACAAATTTCTAAAAACTATCTAAAAAACATTGTTAGTAACATGTGCAAGTCAAAACACTGAATCTATATTAACAAGTTAAATCTATGATCTCTTCGAGGCATTTCTTATATCATTTTAACAGTAGCAAAGAACTTGGTTACAAATAGTTGAATGCTAACATTGTCAAGTTCGAGGTGAGAAATTGCCACAACAATAAAAATTTAAATTTGTCTCAGCTGTTCTTCTGTATTGGCGCAATGATCTCTTTACATTCATGTCCCGTGTGCTTTTGACAGCTTCTGCGCCTAGTTGAGAGTTTGGAATGCTCAATGATAAATGACGTCACTCGAAGGTTATCAAGAGAACAAACACTTGTAATAGCCGAAAGAAGCAGAGACGACCCTCATTTGCCCACTGACTTGTGGAAGAAGCCGGTAATCATTTTACAAGCGTTTACCTTAGACAGAGATTCTAGTTTTCGAACAACTTATTAATGACTGAAAGTGCTGCTCAATTTTATACTAGAGATTTCAAAAGCTTCAATCACTTGTTATGATAATCGTCGTAAACAAACGATACAAGCTCCTGCAGAATAAACACTCTTTGGGTTTGAAACAATTTAGTGTGTTTATGTAAAGATACTGGAAATTTTAGCTTTAATGCAAAGGCAGAAATTGTCGTGCGGCCTAACAATGTCCAAAAAAAACCGTCTGGGAAGCCAACATCTAAGATAAGATGCTTTGTCATTTGCCCAGGGCACCCTTTTTGCAAAAGCCTGGTTTGAGCCAAAAGCAAAAAATCTAGATACTTTTTTAAGTAACGCTTCGTGTATTATATTTGCAGTCGATGAAGGAAAACATTGCTGTCAGCCGACCTCATGTTCTTGAAGACTTCATTTCAACATTAATGAGTGACCATCTTTCCAGTGAAGATTCTGTTACATTTAGCAAGGTAAGATAATAGTTTCGAATATTTGCATCTTTACGGAACTTTTAGCTCTTAAGGTTTTGTTGCTCTTGTATTTCCATTCGCATTTTTCTGCTCTGTAGTCTGACTGTATATTTTTCATTTGTTGCAAGAACCTTTGTAATTTGGTAGCTTATTGAGCCTTATTAGTTTGGTCTGTGCAAAGGAGCGTTGTATTTGTTAATCTTGATCATCAATTTATACCCTTTGGTCACGTTGATGATTTTCTTCCCAGAACCATTTAGAGAAGTGCCTTGTCGACCTTTCTTCTGAGACTGCCCAAAGGGAGAGACAGGCTTTCGAGATGTAAGTATTTTTCAATATTTTCAGTGAGCTTTTGTCAAAACTGGTTTCACTGTACCTACAAAGAAATTGCCTATAAACAGGTTGTTGCAAATTTAATTGAAGGATTACATCAATCTGAACAGTTTATTTTCTATTGATAAAGTTTTGCCTATCAACTGGGTTGCTACAAAGAGGAGTTTGCTTTTCATAACCTTTGTAAGACCGCTATTCAAATTTTGTTAACTTTGGGATGATTTTTACCCAGTTCGATATTGGTATTGGCACCTAAATTCAACATTTTTTCCAATTTCTTTACGCATGTGAATCTGCTTTTCAGATATTTAAGAATTGTTTTTTCTCTAGACTAAAGTTTCGGTGACCTATCTCATTTCAGATACACAGGTTTCTATGAAGGTATCCTCAGGCAACAGCATCAGACTCTGTACCTAAAAGAACAGGTAAATTTTGTGGTAGCTTTTCTGTCTTTTTCTGTCAAACGTCAGTTTAGATCCAGATTCAGCATCCATTGGAAACAGAGCTTCAAATATCTGATTTAAAATAGATCCATTTTCAGTGGAAGCCAGCTTTTAAAATAAGCTTTCATTGCTGCTATTATCTTCATTATCCTCACTGTCTATCTATCTGTGCAGGAAATAAAGCAAGCGAAGAGTGACTCGCAGAGCAGCGTTGCTGATCATACTGTCGACGTTGACTGCATGATGGCTGAAAAATGCCGGGCATTAGTACTTGGTAAGGTATAACATTTTTAATGCAGCAATCTTGCTTTTCGTTCTTATAGAAGATCATTGTGGCTGGTTTTGTCAAATGTGAAATCATTTTCCGATTGAAGCATTCCTTTGCACACGTTACAGTGTGCAGAAATTCTCTCCACGATTCTTATATTTATCCGCTGTTCATTTTATTCCAATGGCTATATCATCCATGTGAAAGAGCCCGATAGCAGCATTTTCATTGTTGTTCTAGCTTAACATTTGTAACTAAGATCATGTTGCTTTTCAGAAATAACGGCGCTTAGAGCAAAGGTTTCTGAGATGACAGACGAAATAAAAGAACAGGTACGGGAATGACTTCTACATTTTACTTGAATATGTCTAGATACCTTCAATTGGTCCATTTGTAATATACACCAATGTCGTAGAATTCCACCTAGATTTACGTCAAAATCAACACCACAAAGGTAATGTGATATATGCTTTTAAGATTTAAACTTTTGAGAATTTGAAACTTCCAGGAAAATACATTGCGTGAAAAATTCAAGCAAGACTACAACACGCTTGTCATCGAATTATTCAACAATGCATTCAGCATGAAGAACAGATTTGAGCAATTCAGGTACTTCTACATGCGTACAGTTCTAACTTTCATTTTCTAACACCAATCTTTGATTTTATGGTTGATATGTAAACAACTTTTCTATTGAATTCGCACACAAATCACTGCACATAAATAAATTAGTTTATCTATGTATAAACATATATATGAATACATTCTTAATTTTGGGCATGTTACCACGTTATTTGAAAATTTGATAACTTTTGCAGATCATGTTTGTATGATGATGTTTTTGATTGTCTTGGCGACGTTCGAAAGCTCGCTGTACATAATATGAAGAAACTGAGAGAGAAATCTGGCCAAGCGGATGGTATGACGCAGTATAGTTTCTCTCTGCCTCTTTCTCGCCATATATCACCTGAGAAATTAAATATTTTCACAAAATGGTCTAAGTATAGCATGCAAGTATTTTGAGTCAGTGTCTTATTGCAGTTTAGGCCACCTTAGTTCAAGAGCCATTCCAAAAGCCCTTAGTAGCCAGTGTTGCTAACACAATGCTGGACTTATTCCGTTTTTGTTCACCCATTCCGCCTTTGTTCATTCTCTATATTTCTGAAACAATCACCGAATCGAAATGTTTTTGAAACTCTATTGTTCAAGGAATCTGTGAATGACAACTTTGTCATTACTTCAGTTAGAATAGGAATGTTTGACACCGTCGTAACAGCTTTATTTAAATATGGATAATTCCGCTTTCAAATTTGCTAAAGATTCAGATTATCATGCGCAAGTAGCAGTAGGTTTTCCCAGATACCATATAATTCAATATCGAAAAACTGTTTTTTAAAGAAACTAACACTTTATGCAAACATTTTTGAAACGCAATTCACATAATCATGCTACATTTACTGTTGGTTATTTCCTACGTTTTGTAGGTTCTATAGAGCGTGGTTTCAAAAATTACCCATCCACCCCCAGCCTCCTTTCCCCGTAGATCTCACTTTCTACATAAGGGAACCATCATACTAAATCTCTTTGGGCCCCAAATCTCTCCATTAAGCCACTAATTGGAGTCTCTGAATACATTAATACATGACGAAAATACATTGGGGTACGGAGGTACTCTTGTCTTCTATGAAACCCATGTAAACGCTCTAACTTATCATCCGATATAGTGACCTTTTTATCTTTAGGGAACAAGTTTAATGTCCATGAGCTTAATTTTATCTTACTCTTTTAATTATTGATTCAAATTAATTTTCAGCCGAAAATAACGCACTGAGTCAAAGACTGATAAGAGCAGAGCAACTACGCGAGGCTCAGTGGGAAAGTAAAAATCTTCTGAACATGGTATGTTTAATACCCCTTTGTGACTTTAAATATTGTTTTGTGATATTTTTTTTCAAATAACCTCCAATTTTTGTAGCAGATTGCTTGTTTTTATTATTTCATCTCCATTAAAAACATGCTTCTGTTTTGACTCTGTGCTCGTGCTCACAATTACCTTCCTGAAAAATTGTATTTTTTGTGCTAAAGTGCTAAAGGAGATCCTCTAAAAATGCCTATTTCAATGCTTTCATTTATTCTAGATTTTGAAGCTGAGAGCTTTCAGTCACTGGAACAAAACGAAGACTAATTCAAAATCGCAAGTTCAAGTAATGAAAATCAGACATTTTGCAGGGATTTTGATACCATTATCAGTCATTTCCTCAATGCTTCTTCAGTCAAAACAATAAGAGCTACCATCTTTCCATGATTGCTATAAAACAGAATTTCTACAGTTGTTCTCCTCCTCAGTAACAACTGTGCTTTTAGAGTTCAGTATTATTAGTATATCAGTATACTTTGGTTTTCCGTGAAATTTTCGCTGCTATCTGTTGCATAATTACTTCAGCATGAGTATTTACTGTTTACTGCTACAGGAATTATAATTAAATGAGTAGAGTTAATTTGTATTTTGTTAACTTTCGGCCTAATATGTCAGAATTCCAAAAATGTTTGCCAACTGATACACCCTGACGAAGACCTGTTTATTCAATTAGGTTTTCTCGAACACATAAAAGGGCTAGCTTAGCTTAATCTAACATTGCTAGCCTACCTGTATGTTCATGAATTATACCTCATAATTGCAGCTTGGAAAATTGCGGCAGCAGCTTACCCGTGTGACGAAAGAATCTTTAGAATCGACTTTAGTCCAAGAAGAAAAGGAAATTCTTTTGAAACAAGAAATAGCTTCTCTCCGTAAGGTGAGCAGGAATTTTATATAATTATAACTTTTATGAGCATATAAAAAAAGTTGTACTTGCTAAACTAGTTGTACATCCTATTCCATGGCTAATGAATAATGTTTTCTATTACGATAGGCTCTCAGTCAGTCAGAAAGAGATTGCCAAATTTTGAGAAAGAGGCTTTCAAACGAGGTAATAACAATCTTTATGTTGCAGGAGAAGTTTTTGGCTCCTTTCTTAACAACTTTGTTATTTTATCAATTTTATCCTGAATACTTTTTCGAATGTTTTTTAAATAAAATTTTGCGATTTTTTAGCACCAAGTTAAGCTGCAGAAATCAAATTCACAAATCCAGGTTTGTAATCCATCGCATTTGGTATGCCCATCTTTTATTTTTGCTTATGAAATTCATTTTAATAAAGACATTGCCGTAATATATTAAAAGAGTTTGCTTTTGTTTGCATAGAAGGTTCTTTCGTTTTTGTGACTAGCTACTTGAACTGCCCTAAAACACATTTCAATATATTTTTTTCTACATAAGTATACTATAACTCCCAATGTCTAAATTTTATATTTTCTGATCTTTTTAGGAAGCTTTTAGTCAAAGAAAAATTGATTTGGCTAAAACAGCGAATATTGAAAAGCTAGTAAGTATTTGTCCAATTTAAAGAACGAAGCATGACGAACACTTTGTCAATGTTGTGTTTTTCAAATTAAAACTATATTTAAGGAACTTTTTTATTTCATTTCAGTTGCAAGAGCTAGAGTTAAAGGATGAGAAATTACGCATACTTTCAGGTAACTTTCTTTTTCCGTTAGTTGGTTTCCGATAAGTAATAAAGGCAGTTAAAAGTATTATGGAAGTGAAAATTAAGGCAATTCAAGCATTCATACATTATAATAGATTTTGATACAACAGCTGTTGTGAAAATGCGAGCGTTTCTTGACGACCCTGTTACGCTTGTTGGTATCATATCAATCAATTCAATGAACTTGCCTGTAGAAACCACTTTGGTTTTCTCTGGATTCAGTTGGTTTTCTCTGGATTCATTTATAGTTTTAACTTTATTTCAGAGCAGCTGCTTCATTGCTTTTTGGTTTATTTGTCATTGTAATTATATTTTCCGGTTCTTTTGTACCCCAATTTATTAAAAGTAATTATTACATTTGCAATTATCCTGTGCTATGTTACCATTAAATCTTGCGAGGCCACCATGCATTTCAAGCAAACCTTTGTATCTACGCATTTGACTGGGTTCAATCAGCCAAGTTCCGTTCGCTCTTACCCGGTCCTTGTATTCGCAGGACCATCATCTATGAATTTTCAACAACTTTAGATTAGATTTACTTTCAATAACCACGCTAATGTTTCATTTGTTGATGCATTCGTTGATTTATTCATTCTTGCCTTCCTTGATGAATTCATTGATTCAATCGTTCAACTGCCGTAGAGTTGACGGATCGAGACAACTCCGTTACAAAGCGGTCACAAGCTGAATCAAAACGGGTATGTCATAAATTTTTGTGCTTGTCATTTTTACATCCGTTAAGCCAGAGATATTGGTGAAACAGTGAATAAATCCGATGAAGAAGTTCTTAATGAATTGCTAAAAGTAGGCTTTCCTCGATGTTTCTCCAATTTTTACCATTTTGAATTCATTATTGGTGCACCCTGACTCAAAATCGAATATATCTTGCAATTTTTTAGGCACTGAAACAGATTTTAAATCAGCTTTCTCATGAACGAAGTTTAAAGTTGGATGCATTTGATAGATGCGACGATCTCCAAAAACAGGTTTGCAGACATTACTTTTACTATAGCGCTATATTTTCCATAGAATTCCTTCAAAAACGATGCTTAGATGTGACAAGATTATGGTGACTTCAGTACTCTTCCTGGAGCAATTATTTTTTAAAAACATCACGAGACACGCTTTGATAAACGAGCATACTGTTTTGGACTGCTCTATGATAAAAATGTGATAAAGACTGACATATCTTAAAGAAGTAGGATTTTAGGATACCTTGATGCTTCTCTTTCAAGGTATCTCAACTTTTAATCAACTCCTTTATAAAACTGCCCACCTTAAATAGATACTGTTTTGAGGATTTTGATATAAGCCCTTCTTTTCCATTATATCTCTTCGTTACTAAATGCATTTCTTGAGAATCATTTTCACGTAAATAGCACTATTCATTCTGCAGATTGATGAATATGAGGAGCACCTTGAACTGATTGCCAGACCGTTATCGTCCCGTATGTATTGCTTCCAAGTAATATTTTTATGCAAAATATATATTTGCTATTATAAATATAAATTCATATTCTACTTGTCTTGCAAAGCTCATAAATTATGCACATTATTAATAACTAATAAAGAAATTATTCCATTTCGATGCTTCCTTAAAATCTTGGCACAAATTTCACGGCGTTTTAGGTATTTTTTCTATGTACTAGTGATTCTACACAAACTGGGTCCAAATCAAAACATGTTGATTCAGCTTAAACAACAACAAAATACGTATCAGCTTTCGTTTTAGAGTCTCATCACGTGTCGTGCTTTCCATCTGTTCCTGGTGGTCGAACATCTCCGCAGCGGGCTTTGGTTTCTGCGAGGCCTCACACTCACACTGCTGGGAGAACAAGCCAGAGAAGCAGGGCATCTAGGCCCCAGACCTCACATTGGTGGACGTCTGCTGCATCCCCGACGCCCTACTCCGAAGGTATGATAACCCTGATCAATTTACCCTTTGATTTTTATATGCCTTTACGTAAAAATTGTATGTAAAAATCAAAATTGCCAGAATCTTAAAGAATTTGATGCCAAAATGCTTTACGTGCAGTTTCAATAACTTTCCTTCTTTATTCAAAATTTTTAATGTAAGGGGTTATAATTTGTTTGCAATTTTAGGATCCAAAACGACTTGCAAATTGCAGGGTGTTTTGGTAGCAACTGGAATTTGTGCGAGGTTATGAAATGTTACAAATGAAGACAAACTCCACCATTATATAAAATTTTCTTAAACTTCTCTCATTCAAACAACCCATTCCGGTGCGCAAAAAACAATTGAATCCTCAGGACATTCCCTCATTTCCTCCATCGAAGGATGTCTTCCTCTTGCATACTGAGCATTTCAAGCGATTGGGCACCCCGCTTTGGAAACGAAAGTTAAGCCCGTTATTTATAAGGTCAACCCTTTCCTGAGGATGAGAGCGTTGGCTTCAGGGACTTTTCATTTCATAGGATTTTGTTGCAGTTTAATGCAGAAAGTCTGCTGCGTCATTGCTTTTCTTATATTTGTAATCTCTTTTCGTCTTTATATTTTTGCCAACATAAAGTCAGTTTTGCCACAACGTACGGTCGGTACAAGCAATCGCATTCAAAAGAGACTGTTGTTCATTCTGATTTGGAATTGAACGTTGCAGTTAATAGTAATAGACATGGCTATAATCTTCTGTATACGACAGCGCAACCAACATTCTTCAATAGCTACCTGCCGTGCTCTAAGTCTTAAGCTGGTTGTAAGTAAGAAAGTTGCATCAGACCTGATGTCGTTGTCCAAGAGAAAACAAAGGACCGCGATTGTCGATATCCTGCTAACAAATTTCCCCGTAGAATGCAAACCTTCATAGAGACACATAGAGAAAGAAGCTATCTTGCATCGCCAGGTAGCAATAAAATGTGTACTCTTTGGTTGGAAACAAACTATCCATGACAACGACTCCTCCTGTATCTCTACGGCCGGATAAAAGCTGATTTTTCTCTTTTTCTGGGAGCTTGTTTGTTCTCTAGCCGACATTGAAAACATGGTTACCAATGCAAATTTTTCCCTGCTCTCCCTTACAGATTTTACCTATTGTCCCGTCCCATCTGATGATTTTATTGAAGGTTCTTATTTTGAATTGAATTATCGTGCTTTTATGGGTGATCAACTTCTAGATTGTTTTCTTCACGCAAGCAGTGCACGCTAGCATAAATGTTTTGCAATAGTTCCTGGGACTTAGAGATCTGCACTCTACCCCCATTTGTGCTGTGGGTATCCTGGCAACTTCAGATGGCATTTTACAGTAAAGAAACGTCTTATGGCGTTCAATCAGTGGCGTGCTAAAATCACTTACCTTTTTCACAAACGCCGGGTCTGCTAGGTCATGCACCATTCTACCTTCAATGCACATGATTACTCAGATGTAGCTTAGAGCTCCTTGTCTCTTCTTGACATCTTTCCTCAGAAAGCCCTTCCATCTGGCTAAAATTGGTGACTTGTGAAACTCGCTGGTTTCGGTATTTTATGAATTAATCGGATAAACGCAGATAATTTGAGCCAAATTGAGACACTGAATCACTATGGCAATCATTGGGTGCGAGTAAGCTGTTTTTAGGTTCACTTTTGAAACAAATTGACTTTTTATGTTATGTACTTAGATTGCTAATCTAGCCTTTTGATGTGTTCTTAGGACCTAAACCAAGAACAAAGCAGGTATGTTAACTACTGGTGCCATTTTCTTAGGATTGTCTAACAATTTAAATGAAAAATGTTAATATTAAATTGATGTGATCTTGACTGGATTTTCTCTTGTGTCCAAGTTTGTTTGCTGCGGAAAGTCTAAAACCATCTTGATTTACGTGTTTTTAGTACACAGTTTGCTTTTTGCAAAAATTTTCGCGATTATGTGAATAATTGCTTTAAAATAAAGAAGAAACAATGAGAAAACTAATTATTATAATAATATTTCTTTCATTCGACAAGCTAGAAGGTAATATACACAAGTTTTTATTGATTTGCTGGAAATTTTTTTATATATTTCAACCAGTCCCAAAGACGTAAGTTCAAACTTGACATGTGACATTGCTTTACAGGACAAGGCCAGTAGGTTTTTGGAAAGTGAAAAAGTAAGCTGATATAGTTATGCAATATTGGTTAGCCAGGAATATTATAATGCAAAGCCAGGAAATAAAATAATGATGCTTTCAAGATTTGGCAAATTTTGCATTGTAATTGTGTTGTTTAATCTTGTGTTGTCTGTTATGTGTTCTATTTCAATTGCAATATCACTGTATTTTATTGTTTTGTATTGTCTTGTATCGTAATTGCATTGAAATGGCATTGTAATTGCATTGAAATGGCAATGTAATTGTATTTTATTGTTTTGTATTGTCTTGTATCGTAATTGCATTGAAATGGCATTTTAATTGAATTGTAATGGCAATATAATTGTATTTTATTGTTTTGCATTGTGTTGTGTTGTATTTCGATGTTTGTATTGCATATTGATTCCATGAAAATTGTACTCTAATTGCATGGTCGTTATATTGTGATTGCATTGTAATTGAATTGTATCATATTTTATTTCATTCAATTTTGTTTTATTTCATTTCTTGTTTTTGTTTTAAATTTAATTGCACCGAAATCGCATTCTTGTGTGTGTATTATTGAATAGTATCGTATTTTAAACAGCATTGAAATTACATTTTAATTGCAATTTTATTAGATTTTATTACATTATATTTTAATTATTTTATTTTTTATGTCTTATTTACTAATTTTTTATAAATTTCTTTTATCATATTTCATAAATTTCATTTTTTGTTTCTTTTCTTTCCTTTTTCTTTGTTGTATTTTAATTATATTATTTTCTGCCTATTTTATTTAAATTTTATTTTTTGTCTTTATTAAATTACAATTAATTTCTTTTCTTTTATTGTTTCTTTTATCTTGTTTTACATATTTCACATGTTTATTTTATCTTGTTTTACATGTTTTACATTTTATATATTTCATTTTAATTATTTTTTTATTTATCATTTTATTTCTTTTATTTGATGTGACTTTACGTTTTTAAAATTATGAAATATAAATAAAATATAAATAGTATCATAAAATATATTTAAAATTATATTTTATTTAATTGGTTTTATGAAATTTTATTTATTCAATTTTTATGTTCTTTTTTATATTTAATATTTTGTTTTATTTATTTTTTATTTCTTTTATCTGTTTTCTTTTATTTTGTTTTGTTCATTTTATTTATTTCATTTTGTTTAATTTATTCATTTATTTCATTTTTTCATTTTCTTCATTTGGAATTACTTGATATTTTCTTTATTTTAATTTCAGTTTACTTCTTCTATCCTTTTTGCTTTCATTAATTTTTTACATTTTTTGTTCGTTTTATTTTAAATTATTTTAGTAATAATATTTATTTTATCCATTTCATTTTTGTATTTAACTTATTTCATTAGTTTACTTATATTTTCTTAATTTATTATCATTATTTTTACATTATATTTTATTATGTTTTTTATTTTCATTTATTATATTTTTCTTTTTTATCTTTTTATTTATTTGTTCTTTTATTCTCTATTTATATATTATCACTTTTTAATCCTGTTTTGATTTATTTTATCCATTTTATACATTTAACATTATTTTTTATCGTTTATATTTTATTTACTTATTTGTTATCTATTTTCATTTCTTCTCCGTCTAACTTATCTTGTTTATCTTATTGTATCTTTTCTTATATTTGATATCATTTTATTTATCATTTTTATAGTTGATACCTTTTTATTGTTTACTTTATTATATTTCATTTTATTCATTGTAGTTTTTCTTATCTCCTTTATTTCTTATCTTATCTCCGACATTTTATTTATCTCCTTTTATTTGCCTTGTTTCATTCTTTTTATTTTCTTTATTCTGTTTTATTTCATTTTTATGAGAAATATTTTTTCTACTCCTTTTTCAATTTTATTGATTTTTGTTCCATTTAATAATTTTATTTGATTTTCTTTTTTTATATTGTTTTTATCCTATTTATTTTTTGTTTATTTCACTTCATTTTATCTTGTTTATTTCACTGTAATTTATTTATTTCATTTATTTTAATTCTTGTTATTTTGTTTTATTTATTGTAATCTGTGTGTTTTGTAATTGCATTGGAATTGCATTGTACTTGCAATATAAATACTTGTTCGTTGCTATTGCATTTTAATTGTGTTGTATTGTACGATATTTTTTAATTTTACTATATTGTAATGTGTTTATTGTATTGTAACGTAGTGTGATAGCATAGGTTCCAAATCTTTGATTGGCTTTGAAGCGGAAAAAATTCTCCAATCACACCGTTTATTGTGATTTGTTTAATTGCACTATAATTGCATTGTAATTAATGCAGAAACAATACAATAAAATTTAAAGCACTTACAATATAATTTTTACGTAATTAAATTGAAATTACAGCGAAGTTATAATGCAATACAATAGATTGAAAGCAATACAAAACATACAAGAAAATACAAGACCACAAAACAGAATAAAACACCCTTACAGTGCAATCAAAATGCAATTAAATTACAATAAAATACAATTAAAATGCAATTTCAATACATGTACAGTGCAATTCCATTACAGTTAAAATGCAATTTCAATACATGTACAGTGCAATTCCATTACAATGAAAATGCAATTTCAATACATGTACAGTGCAATTCCATTACAATGAAAATGCAATTTCAATACATGTACAGTGCAATTCCATTACAATGAAAATGCAATTTCAATACATGTACAGTGCAATTCCATTACAATGAAAATGCAATTTCAATACATGTACAGTGCAATTCCATTACAATGAAAATGCAATTTCAATACATGTACAGTGCAATTCCATTACAATGAAAATGCAATTTCAATACATGTACAGTGCAATTCCATTACAATGAAAATGCAATTTCAATACATGTACAGTGCAATTCCATTACAATTAAAATGCAATTTCAATACATGTACAGTGCAATTCCATTACAATTAAAATGCAATTTCAAGGACTGCATATAACAATCTTTTCCTTTTCCTTTGGAAACAGGATGAGCACTTGTTCTCAAAGAAACAAAATCTAATTAAGTTTCAAAATTATCATTAGCTGTTTTAATCTTTTGTTTTTAGACAACTCTTCGTCTCAAGAAGAAGATTTCAGATACACTGTTGACAGATTTCGATAACACGGATGACTATTGATTTGCGTACAAATAAACCTGTAATTTGTTACCACTTTGTCACTTTTTAAGCAGCCAGCTAAAAGTTGAAAGTTAAGTTAAAAAATACGCTGTTTTGATGCACTCGCGTTGCCATTAATTTTCATCTATATTACTTTCTTCGTCCGACTCATCTGCTTCTTCCTCTTCCTCCGCATCCATATCATAAATCTGTACACGTCTTCTGTTTTTAGATAACTGAAAACGAATTTCACGTTACGATATTATTAAAAAGTTTTGCAAGCAATCGTTTCGAAAAAAATTCAATACATTCTAAAAAGTTGATTTTCTTTTTCAGAAATATTTGAATAATTATGTTTTGGCTCAAAGCTATTAATCAGGTTGTCTTTACCTGACGTTTTCTCAGGGAAGGACAGAAATTCGAAAATTTTGCCTTTATGTCCTCGAAAAGAGGTTTTGCACTTTCTAAAGAAACTCAATTGATTAGGGGCCTATGAATTCCTATGCTGCTTCTAACAGCCGGTAAAAGCCATTGGATATTTAAATATTTTGACGGTTCATTTATAGATGGTTAATGTAACTATATATACCAAACATTGTGTCTGATAATGATGGATGGCAAAAATGGTCGTTATCGACACATTACTTCAGTAACTGACACATTAAGTGTATGATAGAATTCAGTATCCTTACATCATATACGCGAAACGTATTGCTGACAACAATCGGCATAGTAATCCGTAGCATAAACAATTTGATGAAAGTTCATAACCAACATACCCAAGATCTAATAGCATACTATATTTAATGGCATTTAATACTAGAAAATGATATATACCAAGCAAGAAACTTTTCTTGTACAGCTGGCCGTCATGATAACTGGATCGAATGATTCGGTGTGCCTCCATTTTGTAATATACGTTGAAACATCTGTAGCTGACCTTTTAAGAGAAAGAAACCAAAGTTATATCAAGAAATTATATCATGCAGCCGAGTGAGTCAAACTATGATAGTTTCATCAATCGCGTATTTTGACTATTAAGCAAGTATCAAATTCATACTTACAAATGCTGAAGGTTTTCCAGTGAGCAACGGTGATAATCGGCAGCCGAGACGTGCGGCAGCTGTAGCAAGGCTAATATCCGGACCGGTTCTGAGCTGCCAGTGCCTTCTAGGATTAACGCGATGGAATTTTCACTGTAAAAGTGTGCATCTAAGATCACTGTTGATTGGCAGTCAGTTCTGAAATAGAAAGAGACAACAGGGCTGAATGGAACAACGACTGCCCTTTCGTTCGGATGATCGAAATAGTATCTGCTGAACATCTCAGAAAAAAACCAATTTTACATTGCAATTCTAGTTAAATTTACAAATTGCAATCTGTAAATCTGTATCAAAAAGATCTGTATCAAGTTTGAGAAAGTTTGAAAATTTGTATCAATAAAATCTGTTTTTAAATTTTTGGGCAATTTGTTGTTAATATATCCTTTCAAAAGCATACTGGTACATCTCGTAAACTTAATCGCCAAGAACGATTTTAACGACGCATAACTGGATCCTCAGAAACTAAAAATCATGTATTAGACCAACACGTTCTAATCATTTGAAAATATAGAAACAAAAACTAGATGTTGTATTATCATTTAAATCGAAAAACCTTTAAGCTTTATATAAAGAGTACCTCAATTGAAACAACGATGATAAAAATTTACAGGAAAATCAACTTTTAAGACACATTTTTCTAAAACTCGAAAACGTAACAATACCTGCTCTGATTTGGGATTTTGTTAACATCGATTGACAAAGTGAGGACCGGCAAATTGACTGGGTTCCTGGTGGTCGAAATAATATGATATCATGGTAAAACAATAAAAGCGAAAGCTTGTAAAAAATTAAAAGCAAGGTTACCAGCTCTGAATGGTTATAAAGGCGATCAGATACCCACCCGGTATCCATCTCTATTATGTAAAAGGTATCAGAGTTGCAAGTGCAAGGCAAAGCGCATAGAAATGTATCCTTTTGTCCATTTTTCCTAAAAAGCAACAACGTTCTTTGAGATGCGTAAATAGCATAATGAAAGCTGCGTGCTAGAAAGACCGATGTTCTTATTTCTCAAAACCCACTGCATCAAGTGGTACAGCCCGAAGTCCTTGTGCAATAAAGCTTGAACGTCAGGTCGGAGTTGCCATCCATTTTGTGATCAGAACTAGCGGCGAAAGAGAATGTTAAAAGGAATCCAAGAAAAATCGGGTACAGATATCGACAGAAATTGAAAACCATTCAAGTCAACTAGACAGAATATGAATAACAATTTTCTTTATTTATATCAATATCACAATTCAACACTATTTAAGCAATTCAAAATTTTATGACTGACACACAATATGTTCATGACTAACAAAAGTAGCATGAAGATAGGAATAAGCATAAGAAACAGTAGGTACAGTTGCATGCTACAAAAAAACCTTTCCGAGAAGAATGTGAGGATAGTACCCTTAGAACATTATTTGATAAATAAGAAAATTCACCGAAGTATACCAACCATGAAAACCTCCGAGAGCAAATTTCTTTGTGTTCGCTGCAAAAACAGAGACGAGGTTATTCGAACCTTTTCAAGAACAAAACATGGCGAAACTGCAGGAATTGTGTCCTGAGTTTTGTCATAAGGAATCTTAAGCGTTAGCCGCTTTAAGCACGAGAAGAAAGGTGTTTATAAAATTCGAATCAATAAACGTTTTATATTTTCATATTCATCATTATCATCCTAGGTTATTTTTGCTTACCCAAACGATGTAATTATTGAGCCATCTTGACAACAAAACGATTCTGTTGCCGTTGTCTGAAACAAAAAGGAAAATAATGGGAAAAAGTTGCCTGTGGAGAAATTTTTGTTCCAAACTAGCGAATAATGAAAAAATTGAGAGGCAGAAAAGAAGCGAATTACACGTCAAATGCAGTCATTGTAATACTATTTATCATTTTTAATAGAAAGGCATATACATTTAACAGAGTTAGTGCACGATATCAAAATATTAACCAACAAAAAGGTTGTACAGTGGAATTTAACCTACATGAGGCTAATTCCATTCATTAACATAAACATTGACTAAAGGAAAATGCAAGCTAAAAGCTTCTTGTTCTCACCGTAACATTCTCAAAAATTTTATCGATACCCTTTCGAAGCTTGTCAGCCATTTCAACCAAGGATGCATCTTTCTCCGATGGAATGACCACAAAATTCTCTAGACGATTTCAAAATTACTTTTAGCCTTGCATAAGAAATATTTTGAGATTTCAGTTTGGCTGAGACATTTATCCTGAATGATAAATAAACGCCCAATTCGACAAAATCGTATAATTTGGATATTCTTCACTATTCTACATACTGTTATCTTCTTCTAATTCACGCATGGACAACCCTTTCTTCTATCAATTGGTGTGACTAAATATTCTATTTTTGCATTGACCATGTAATAAGTTTAACTGCGTTTTATGACGACCCAGTTATGCGGACGTGAAATTACGTCATTTCCAGCTAGTGGTACTGAATGCTGTTTTCAGATGAATCTTTCAAACAGATAGACAAAAAGAGAGGATATAATTCATTCACGAAAACAGTCCAATGTTGCGCTTATTGATTATGTACAACCAGAGCAATAACTTTATAAGAAATGTCACTACTGTAAACACTAGTACCCAGGTCTTTCATATGAGATAAGTAGTTTGCATGGCATTACATTAACATCGCTTCTGTTTGGAATAATGTATTTTGCCTGTCTTATTACATACGATGTAGGAGCACAAGATAAAAATTGAACAGAGCGCACCTCTAAGGCTTGGTGTTGATTCGACAAATCGGTACCACGGAGTTGGTTTTTCAATTCTCTGCAGAATCATGATCATACAATAGAAAATAGCCATGAAAATTGCAAAAAGCGATTAATAATATTTTGCAATCGTCGATATGTTGCTATACAGAAGATTCGTGGAAACGAAATTTGGTGTACTTCCTTTTTAGTATGGGTGCTTTAATAATACGGTAAAAAGATAAGGAGAGAACAACAACCTTGCAAATATTGTGACAACCAGGAGGCACTTCATTAAACGATGGCAAAAACAAATGATGGCAAAAAGAAGTCATTATAATAAAATTATTATCTTAAGAACAATAGAATAAAAGATGTATTTAAGAAATTCAATAGACTTACTCTTCTAAACCGTTCTAAGTGGAATGACTGTTCATCTTTACTCTAAAAACAGATATGAAAGAATATTCATAAAAATAATTGTCAAAAACCTAACATGGCAACGTAAGCTTCAACATCAAGTAACTAGGGAAGACCTTAAGGGTTGAAAACATTGATTCAGTTTATAAGTTCTATTGGTTTTCAAATAAGCATAAAAAGCAACAGCTAACGATCCAAAAATAAAATACCTTGACCAAATGTGTTTGCAAGAACTCAAGGATACGTGAGTTTTCTTCTTCACTAAACTGCAAAAATACTGACGTTATTTATATCAAGATTTCACTCAAAATTGCATATTACTTTTACCATGTATATTTGGAATGAAGATCGAAGATTAGTAGAAGCAGGAAACTGAAGACAATAACAAAATAACCAAATCAGAATTGGTAAAACGTTAGATTATGTCTAAAGGTATACAGAAACTTGTATTCAGGTTTCGATCAAGTAACGTGAGAAAAGGTATGCGCGAATGATTGATTCTTTGTAATGGCCGAAGAGCAATTGCGAACCCTTCATACACAACCCTCTTCTAAGGTTTGAACAAAAAGCAAAAAGCAGATAAGAGTTCGGCTCTTCGATTTTTCAACCTTGAAGGTGCTAAAATAAAAATTAACCATGAAATTTCATGTAAAAATCAAGTCAGCCAAACGCTATAAAATACGGAGTTAAAACTGTATCCGATTGAAGATACCTGCACTTATCAACTAATAACCCCCACTGACCGGGAAAAACAGGGTTAAGGTGGAGAAGGCACAGCTTCTCGGTCGAATGTGGAAATGGTTTCAAAATAATTGTAGAGTTTTTCTAGTCAAGAAAACAACCAAAAAGAAGATAATAAAAGTCCTATCAACCAACCTTAAAGTAAAGAAAAGATATTGGGTAATGGTCAGGGGTGACTTCGGCCAAATGGCGGCGTTACTGTCAGGGGTGTGTTCAGCCTAATGGAATCGTTATAGTCACGGGTGCATTTGGCTAAATGGAGTCGTTATAGTCACGGGTGCATTTGGCTTGATGGCGTCGTTATAGTCACGTGTGCATTCGGCTTAATTGCGTGGTTAGAGCCAGGGGTGAATTTTCCCTAATGGCGTCGTTGTAGTCAGGAGTGCATTTTGTATTACGGCGTTGCTAAAGTAAGGGGTGCATTCAGCCAAATGGCTTCGTTACCCGGTTCTCTGAGATGGCCTTTTCAACAGCGCATGTTCCATCCTCCGAGAAAACCCTCTTAAAAGTGCCACAAGAATTTATGGATATAGAAATCAACATTATATGGTTTGGATTTATATGAAACATTCAATGACTGAAGATACATCAGCTAAGAAACAGATAGTTGAGACAATATAATTGACTTCTAGGCAAATATTGAAAGCCATTTTGTTAAAAATTGTCATAGATCCTTGTCAGGTTCATGCTTTCAATATATCTTATTGCTACCCTGCCAAGTAGTAAATCGTAATTAAAATTATGGCAGACTTGAACTTAAAAATTTGTCTAATTTATGTTTTATTTTACGATTGGGTGAAATTCGGAGGTTATTCCTCCTGTCATTCCATAAAACATAATTAACTTGTATATATTTCCTATCGTTTTATTTACTAGATGAACTTTGCTTCCCAATGACTTTGAAATAATCTTCATTAAAGGTTTAGTTTCTTCTGGATTCTTGAGCGAATTTTGGCCTATGGCCGAAAGCATCCAGGTTCCCTACTCATTCATAAAAGGGGGCTCACATCAAAACAAGTATCCACGCTTGATTAACATAGCCCCAGTTTTATACAAGCATGGCCATATATCTTTGTATCCAATTAGAGCTTTCCACCGCCAAGCGTGACTCACAAAACTTCCAATCTTATTAAGTAGGAGTGTGTTTGATGAAAGACGAAGTCCTAACACGATTCTGAATCGAAAGATATCGAACTTCTGCAGAAAGAATTTTAAAGAATTCTTGAAAAATAGCAGGGCATACCTCTTTGAACATCGCTGGAACAGTCTCGTCTGATATCCGGTACATCACTGTTGTAAATAGAAGAGTCTTAATGACGAAGAATCGGGCATCGCGGAGCGTTGAGAAAAATAGAGGGTCTAAAAAAGTGGGGGGGGGGCTAAAACCATATAAAGAGGATTTTATTGGTAGTTTATTACTTAATATTTTGCATTCTTGCAAAATGTGGGGAGCCAAAGCCCCCTCAGCAAATCCCCCCCCCCCCCTCTCCTGCTCCGCGGTGCCTGAGAATTGCATTTGATATTTTCAACAAACTGCGATAATAATGTGAATTCGCTTAAAATGTTCGTAGAACCAATCCACTAAGATAAAGTCCGTAGCCAATCCACTAAGATAAAGTCCGTAGCCAATCCACTAAGATAAAGTCCGTAGCCAATCCACTAAGACAAGGGGGGGGGGGGCGATGGAGTAGAGGAGGAGGCTGTATAGAGTCTTTTTCTGCTTCTTCCTCCTTCCATTCATTCATAAGGTCCAAGTCTGCAGGGTGTTTTTGAACCTGCTTTGTTAAAAAACTATTCTTTTAATAGTAAGATTGCTAGAAAAGAGGCAACGAACATTTCATTACTGGCCTGCCTCCATCTTACCATCGCTTATTTGCATAAATTTCTTCTATAGATAAACAATGTTTGAGACATTTCATTACAAGTTCTGAAAAGGCATAGGCTACTTTTTAGATTAGAAGTAATACAGAAAAACATTGAGAGAGAATTACCTCCTGACAACCATTTGAAAAAAGCACCAAGCCTCACTATATCCTCGTCCATCACACTTTGAAAGAAATTATGGTGTTTAAAAACAATTAATTAATAAGCAAGTGATGGATTGAGACGTTTGAAAAGGAATAAAAAATGAGTCCTGGTAACGCTTAGAACAAAATTTTGATCGCCTCTTCCGTCTCTTTCCGCAACAAGCCACCAATCTGTTCACGGTTTTAATATCGTATAAGAAATGTTGTCATTGGTGATACCTAACTTATATTTCTTGAAATACTTTGTGATGCAATTATTTCATTGTTAGCATTATGCAATATACACTATACACTGACAAAACAGCACATAAAATCACACTTCTAAATAAGTTGAAATAACGATTAAGCAAAGTAAACAGTGACAAAATTTCATTTTTATCTTATTGATCTTAAGTCTGCAAAACATAACAGACATAGAAATTATCATTAAAAGCAAGATAACTCGAAAAAAGAATGAGAATAAATGTATCAGCTTTATACCTGAGCAGCTCTTTGATTTTCAACATAAAGGAGCCAAAGTATCGTGTACATTCTTATAAGAAAAAAATCCAGTGCAATAGTAAAAAACAAAAAAGGAGCAAGAAAACATCTAACAGTTAGCAGCAAACCCCCCCCCCCCCGTGAATTTTCAAAAACAAAAAATCGGAATAAATGAGAGGGGGCTCACATAGTACTGGAACATGTAGCACCTAACATCGATAGTTGAACATCAGCTAGGTCTGAATATCAAGTAGGTTGAAGGAATCCTCAAGTGAAATTCTTGTTCGAAGACAATTTAGAAAGGAAATATAACACGTTTCGTCTAATAAACCCCACAAAAAAATAGGGAGTGGGGCACCCCAAAAAGAATATGACGTGAAAGTGAAGGACTGTACATGGAGTAAGTGGAACATTCAAAAAATTTGATAAAATTTTCGAAAAATTTCAACGGACAAAATTTGTACCCAAAAATGTAGCATTTCAAAAACATTAGCTGCTGTTAGAATAAAAGAGAGTACGTGTTTTGATAAAAAATTCCATGTAAACTGCCTAGTGTATCTTGAAAATAAAATAAAGTTGTTAAATTAGCACCTTGGAGCTTTGATTCACACAGTCCTAAAAGGCCAAATTTCTCGTACCAACGAGCCATTCCAAGAAGTTCAGATAACATCATGGATAACTGATTGCATAAACTGCAAAAAGGAGTGTATATAGTGCAAAGGTGGTTAGAAAACGTTTTGTTACAGCAATACTTCCTTTTTCGATAGAAGCTTGCAAAGGCTCGATAAGCTTGAATTGGCTAACGAAAAGCTGCAAGTGCTTTAATTCTATTCAGAAATGTGATTGGGATGTAAAGCATTACAGGGTGTTGATGGTGAGGCTACAGAATATTGCTAAAGAACCAAACTCACGATTCCACATTGTCATTGACATGAGTTTCAATATCGGCATAAGATGCATTGATGTCTGTACCAAGTTTCCGTAAACCCTGTCGAATATTTGAGATGTCACCTTTTAGAAAACAAAACTAGGAGCACAAAGATACAAATAATCAAACATTTGCGAATAATCGAATAATCGAGCAAGGAAAGACAAATAGCTATCATTTTGTTCTCAGATAAATGAAACTATCATGCAGAGAACAAGTACGAGTCCTAGTTCATGAACAAAACAGCTTGCAGGTCTGTGAACACGAAGGCTGGTAGTAAACCACATTACGCACTAAACTAAATTTGCTTTGAAAGATTTGTAAATTAATTTGAAACTGGAAGTGTATTTGAAACAAGACAGGGTAATTGCTGTAAAGGTTTTCTCTCTCTCCGGACTCTCAGGGCAGAGACGATGAAGACACCTTCTTGACGTGTTTATATTTATATGCATTATTTACATAAGGCCTTATTACGACTAACCGGTTGATTGTTATTACTTTGACAAATCCGCGTGAGTTACATCTCACCATTCCACTGGACTATGCCAGGGAGTGGCTGTCTCTATATTACGACCTATCTCTTGGAGCTCCTTCTCGTAACTGAATACCTACAGTTCTTGCTATCTGATCTATTACGCCCATGTGTGTTTCCGTTATTACCTTATATGGCATAATGACCTAGCCCTATGACCTATAACATGTATGTATTGTTTCCTATACATGGCTGACCTGTGACCTTTGCACTTATCACGTGTTACTGTTCTCTTCTAATTGCACGCGAGGGATAATACCTAAACTTAAACTTCACAACAGTAATTAAATAGGAAAACAAATGACTTGGTGCCTTGTTACCTTCATTGTCAGTTCATTGACAAGAAAAGACTGCAGCTCAGGCCTAAAAGACATGTTTTTTGATTATTAATGTATAGATTTTAACTAATCATGAATGGTTTTTAATTGTTAATTTATTAAAAATCGACTAGCCGCAAAAACAAAAATGTCAATATAGTGGCTACAAGCATTATATAAATACTCTGGGACTGAGTGAACTGAAACACTTGAAAACTAACAAAGAATAAGGAAATAAAAATATGATTTAAAAGTCCTTAGATCAATAATGACCAAGAAAAATTGAAAAAGAAGCAGTGTCTTTGAAAATGTCAGTTACCTCAAAACACCGCATGAAAAAAGTATCAGAAATTCATTCAAAATACTGGTATCGTCAGGCAAGATCTACAAAGATAAAAGGTTTCAATTATGCATGGGGCTTCAGTGTTCTAGATGTAAAGAAATACGACAGAGATTTCCTTTTTCAGACAATCTTTTGGTGGTACAAAGTTTAAAAATAGATTTTAAAAAAAGTAAACATTTTGAGTCAAGCTCTCTATTTCCTTTTTGTTTCCCACAGCAGTTTGACATGAAATGATAGGTAACAATGGCTGGTATGACTTTAAGAGAGTGTGCTCAACCTTTTTCATTTCTATAGAAGAGGCACATAAGATAAGCCAAGAAATTAATATGACTAAACTGTCAGAATTTGACAAAAAACGAAATCATATAGTTTGAAAGTTTCATACAACAATTCATATAAAGGCAGCCACTTCTATGACATGTATTGACACTTCTGGTTAGTTGCTTGGCCAAAAGTAAGGGTGTTATATTTTCAATCAGCATCTGGATATAAATTTATGCTGTTTATTATTATCTGGCGTTTGTACTCTGACGAGTGTCAGGTGAAAACTATTTCAGCATACCACGTCATGTTATTTTTAGGGTTGTGGTACAGAAATGTTTAATTGAAATACTTAACAACTGAAAATCAAGAAGAATTAGAACTAAGAAAAAAAGAAAAATAGCCCTACCTCAGCCAATTTGTCAAACTTTGAGCTAACTTTTTGTAAATTATTTTCCCAGAGTTCAGAAACTTCTTTCAGCTCAGCATCGAGTTTCTGATTGCAAATTGAAAAAATTAGCAATTTTCAAGAAAGGCAAAAAGAGTGCCTTTTTACAAAAATTCAATTCAAGATACGTAAACCAATCAGCCCATTTCTATTAAAAAAAAGAGCTGCTAAAAGGGTAACAGGTTAAAATGATGCCTATTATTTCAATTAGTAGTCCAAAAAATTAAACAAATGATTCATTTTCTGCTAAATATGAACTGTATTCTTACCCACCTGAAGCAAACTATACATTTCTTCATACTTTTTGGAAAGCACCTTTATTTCGTTTGATCGTGATGAGAGTAGATCTAGTTTATACTAAAATTAACATAAGTGAAATATAAAGTTCATATTATAGAATCAATTGATTTTATTAATCAGATTGAAAGCTAATGACAATTGCAAGAAGAAGAAACCTGACATATATAAGAATAGCTTTAAAAAATTACTTTAAACAAATCTAGTGTTTAGTGTTCAGTATAAACAGAGTTATGAATGTGTAGAGCAAGACAATCTGGTTTGCAGAATTTGTTAACACTAATACAAAAGCAAGATGCTTTTAAAACAAAAAAGAGCAAAACTTACCAAAGAAAATTTGTTGGCTTGCTGAGAGTCACTTCTTTCTGAGGATGACACTGATGTCAAAATTCCTAAATCTCTGGACATGTTGACATCACAGATGCACTGGCTCTGAAAGAAAACCCGTCTTTAAATATAACTGATTAAAAAAGCCTGACTTTCAAAAAAGAAGATGCAAAGAAACACTAGGGGAAACTCAAGAAACGAACAAGTCAAAGAAACATCAAGATAAGTTCAGGTAGCAAGCACAATCTCAAGAAAAGTAATCAGCAGTCAACAGGTTATTGATAGATAATTAATGCTGAAATTTATAAAACATAAAAGAATGATTAAATGGTTGAGCACCTATTTATTATAAGAAATAAGAGAAAGTAGCAGGCAAATTCTTCACTTAATAAGGCAAAATTCAATAAAAGAAGATCAGGTTCTAATCTCACCGTGAAAATTGAGATGAGTTTGAATGTGCCATTGACAAATAATTCAATGTGTCCACTCTGTAGAGATAAAAAATTGGCTTGAATTAAATTTGAATTTGGTGTTGGCTTTGAAAATAAACAAACCAGAAGTTGAATGATGCCTATTGTAGAGTTCTTGCCTACATGAAAGCAATTCCTTACATTCATGTAAAAATATTACCATTTCATACAAACTCCTAAAGGAATGTTGATTTTTAGCATACTTTGCAACAAAGCACAATGAAAACAATCTTGGCTTTAAAAAATGGCTTTAAAAAAATAAAAACTTTGTGAGTAATACTAAAGCTTTTCGTCTGACACTCTTCACAGTGTTAAACATCTGAACAAAGATCAAAACACTCAGGCCAATCAGAAATGTGAGCATATGGTTATTGAGGTTGCCCAATTGAGGCCACTTGCCAATTGAAAATATAACCAATGGAGTCCTAAGGTGAAAATGAACTCCTTCTGTCTACACAATAAAATGAAAAAAAAGAATTAAATAAAATAGAAAAGATAACCATTAAATGATCTTAGAAATACCTTAGTTCCAACAACCAAAACTGACATGTTGCTGCAGGAAATAAAGAACATATAACAATAATTATGTCATTGCAACCTGTATTGACTTGACTTGATAAGGAAAACATACTTGAAATGTCATGTTTCAACTATCAAAACTAATATACTTCATAATGATACTCAATTTATTCACATATTATATTATTATATAGGTCAATACTTTGGCAAATAGAAACAGTAGATAGAAGCTAACCAATGACACAGCCTTTCTGAATGAATCCACTTAAAATTTGCATATTTGATACTTATTCGTAGAAACAGTGAGCAACTATTTTACAAAACACTGAAGCTATGTACACACCATTTTTTTTAAAATATGCCTATTCCATTTCAAAATTCACAATAGGTAAGCTACCATTTTGTGATAACTTATTTTGCATACCCATCTTGTGATTCAAACCATTCCATTGACGTAATTGGTGCTGCAAGATCATTCTGATGCATGACAGAGCAATTCTCGACTTCAAGTAGCCTTACTGATCCACTTTCATCACCCACTGCTAGAACTAAACATAGCAAAAGTTTTTGTTATACCTTTTTTAAACATAACAATTTGAAATCTAAAATTAAAACAATATTGATAATTAGATTTAATTTTTTGACAAAAATATATCCTATCCTCTAGGTGAAACAACCTCTCTAAATTGATTCTGCTACAATAGGTGAAAGACCATGTTTTCTGTTTCATTGAGTGACAATTGCTGAGCATTTACCTCTGCTTTTACCACTATGAGAAGAAATTAAGGGGTATAAAGCAGCTTATCATGAAGGGAGCATTTTTGAAATCTTCAGCACTTATTTCAAGATATAACAAAATGTGAGATGAAATCCTTGAAATGTCACTAATTGTGGTATAGAAGCATTTAGATTACCTTTAAATGTTTTCAAGTGAGACAGCTAGAAAACTAAAAACTTTTCAGGAAGCTGTTTCAAGCTCTCTTCAATCACTATTTTTAATCTTGTTAATTTTGTTGACCTAATAATCTAGTTTGACTATAAATGCAAACCTTTTCCATCCGGTTTCCAAGTTAGTGCTGAGAAGGTACATCCTTTTTCGCTATAGCTCCATACCTTTGCCCAATAGAGTCTATGTAACCGAACCTTGAATTAAGAAACCACTTTTGTAATGTTAGGTATATATTCAAAATTTTTATAAGAAAATGGTTATTAAGATCTATGAATCAATATGTTTCTGTTGGCTTAGTTGTACGCAAATGATTCTTTTAGTAACAGCGTTACCTTTTACTACTTTGTCATAGACAATGTCACAAACTTTGCTAACATTATCTGATATTCTTTGTTAACAGTGATACAAATGCAATCGTCTTGAGAAGTCAAAATATTAATTAATTAGAATATAATTCTAGTAGAGTTTCTTAGATTTAAGTGGCACTAAATTTAACTTTATATTATAAAGAAAGATTGAGCTTATTGCTGATAAAATGTTTATAACACACTATTATGACTATCATCCCTAGAAAAAAAAGAAGTTTAACCAAACTAGCGAAGAGGTAGCCTAGGGAAAAATTGATGGGCATAAAGGGTATTTTTTCAGTCAAAAATATGAGAGCAGGTGTTTTAAATAACTGTTGTGGTGCAAAAATCGCAGTCTATAGGAGGCCTAATTTCCCGGTTGTGATATGAAGACTCACCAACCTAAGCTTACCTCGCCTTCAGCTGTTATAATGGCGATCAGATCACTCTTTGGACTCCATTGCATACACTTTATTTCTTTTGAGCTTGGTTTATCACACAGCTGCCGAAAAAATGACGGAAGAGTGTTCATCGTTACCACTGCCTCATCCAAAGAAAACAAATTGCCGCCAAAATGATCTCATTATCAAACTGAGGCAATGGGACCAATGATATAGAAGCGCCGGAGCGGTTGGTGATAGATAAGTTATCAACGGTCAAAACCACCTGGACAGTTCGGATATGAGAACCGCTGTCGGGATTAGATTTATCGGTCGGGATTAGATTTCTCGGCCTGAATTAGTTTTGTTTCGTTTTGAAATGACAATGTCAAATGAAATGAAAATCCACCATGTTGGGATCATAATCTATGATAGAAGATTGCGCGGGCAAATGATTTGGCAGCAAACAAGAAACATGATTCAGGCAGTGGCGTAGCCAGTAAGGACCGAGAAACCGGGGGGCAAGGGGGTGGGGGGCTTTGGTAGTAGTAAGTAGTATAAGTAAATTAGTATAAGTAAAGTACGTTTATTTGTAAATTATGGGTGTTTTTACAATTATTTATCAGGGCTTGCCCCTCCAAACAAAAAGTTGAATCTCACGCTCTTTGGTAGCCATGGTTGGATGATTAGAGGGGCAAAGATGAGTCTTTAAGAATGCAGGACAATGTTTGATTTTTAAAATGTGTTTGAAAAAGCCATGAATAATCAAACATAATAATATTATATTATATTATATTATATTATATTATATTATATTATATTATATTATATTATATTATTATTATTATTATTTATATTATTTATTATATATATTATATTATATTATATTATATTATATTATAATTATATTTATATTATATTATATTATATTATATTATATTATTTATATTATATTATATTATATTATATTTATATTATATTATATTATATTATATTATATATATTATATTATATTATATTATATTTATTATTATTATTTATTATATTATATTATTTATATTATATTTATTATATTATATTATATATATTATATTATATTATATTATATTATATTATATTGTATTATATTATATTATATTAATCACATCATATTGATATACAATATGTATCCCCTAGAGTTCAAGGCTTATTTTAACGAATTTTTATCGCTACACAGTTGGGTGTTGCCTTTGAAAATTTTATGACCGCACCAATTGAACTAACTGTGATCTAACAAGGAAAAGTGGTCTAGATTTAAAAGAATTTTCGAAAACAAAGACTGACCCTATTTCTCGTTTGTTTATAAGCCTCTCTAATAATCCCGCCTTTTTTGTAACGTTGAAACGCTAATCCCGCAGCGGAAATATTAGAGTAAATACGGTATCTGTTTTCTTGTTTTAAAGCCTGCCCCCCTCAGGTATGGTTCTTGCTCGAGTTTGCCCACCCTAGCCGACATCTGCAGCTACGTGGCTGCATCAAGGTTTACGACGAAAATTTTACGAGGAGACTCTCTGAGGCTCTGGTACCCAGGGTATGGCAGGGGTGGAACCAGGAGGAGGACTGTAGACTGACGTATCCTGCCCAACCTGCCAGATTTAGATTGCTGAAAAGGCATACCGTGTACGAAAGCCATCTCGCAGCATCTGCTAGGGTGAGACAGTATTGCATGCCCACTCTGGTACACGGTCTGATAATTTGGAAGTTGCTCAAAATGCATTGCCTCTTCTACTTTTCGCAAAGCAAGAGCATTCGAATGCGGGAGACGGAGGGCTACTAGCTTGCTTCTTCAACCCCAGGGGCGGATCCAGAGGGGTGCGAAAGGGGCTCGAGCACCCCTCAGATTTGAGGAAAAACTTTTTGGGGATTAAAGCTTATTCTATCGCAATTTTGTTTATAATTATTTAAACCATTTATTATCTCTTTTACCGAGAAGTATGCACATCTCCTGAAATTGTTATATCCGCTTCAATGCCCCGTCTCACAACTGTTCAACATTGTTATTTCAGTCCATGCATTGAAGTGTTATCAAACTCCCCCTGGTTTTACTGTATAGCATTCTACAGACTCGGAAAGCATTGTCTCCTCTTATAACCAGCCACTTGAGGAACCCGTGGCCTGTAAATTATACGATTTTCTGCACCCGTGGAAGTGAATCTAGCCAATCACGGTGCCAGGTCGAGGGGTTCTAAACTTTGGCGCGAGAACCCATGGATTTCAAAATCCAAAACATCAAAGAATACCGACCAAACCAGGGGGAGTTTCTTCGCTTCAATCTACAGTCAAATGTATAAGTGGTTTTATGACCAGGGGGAGTTGAGCTTGAACAGGGGGAGTTGAGGTTGACCAGGGGGAGTTGAATTATGATACAGCACGCGACGAATGCTTAGGTGAAGTGCAAATTTGCAATATGTTTTCGTAGGTCTTTTGACGATCTTTACCTGGTGCTCGATGCTGTAACGGCAGAAATTGTAAACGCTTTGGTTTATATAACAGAACGGTTTCAAGTTTCAACTCCGTGTTTCACGTCTTATTCATAGACCATGAGGTATGATTTATATTCAGAGGATAAAGCTTGCCCGAGCCCTTGTTATTCTTTTGTTAATCATTCAAGCACTACATACAAAACATCTCAAAAACTTGCCCATAGTATTCTTGACCAAAAGGGGTTTTCTTCTTATTCCTGCTTACATTCCTACGAATACTTTTTTCTCTAAAGATTTCAAATTCATAAAAATACTCAAAACGGCAGGCCCATAGCGAAACGTTCAGGGCCTCATTTGTTTGGTTTGGTATCATATGTCAATGCATGCCATGCATGCTGTGTTTGAATCCCTGTGTTCAACTTTTGTCCGACTTTTTTCTATTGTTCTATTGTCTCTAATGACGTGCACTGCACTTCATGTTCAAGGGCTTCATTCCACCAGCCATGATCAAGTTTTAATAAATGGCTGCAAAGAGTCAAAAATTAAACTTTGCTTTGGAAATTTGTGGGCTCGGGCCTTTTGCCACTGCGGGCAATGATATCATATTTGACTACAGTTTCTATACTTTTGTACCCTAAGTGAATATGAGGGGGAGAGCTGCAAATTGCGTTTGGCATAAAAGCTGAAGCCAAAGTTCCAAGTTCTGATCAAAGTGTAGCAAAAATTACTATATCAATCGCGGCATCCAGGCTTTTTAGTTTATGGAAGACTTTCATTTCATTATGGCTTATTAGCAGGGGGTACGGAGTTTGTGCATAGCAACACCCTTGGTTACCAAGCTTTACGTTTTAGCACCCCTCAGAATAATTTCTAGATCCGCCCCTGAACCCACAGTCTTTCGATTTGTTGCTTGCTTATACGTACAGAAGGAGTGATTCCCAAGAAATTTTTTACGAGATTGTAGTTGAACAGAATTAGCATGGATATCTCTATGACGTTGCAAATACTTCTGAGTAAAGATTCGGTTTAACACTGATTCTCCTCCAAATCATAAAAGTACATCATGAACCTAAGACACACATATCGTCATCACGACATTAAGCAGATATGCTAGGGGAAAAAAACCTCTTTAATATTGAGTGTTAAACTACTTTTAGAGGATTTGTTGTCCGAATCAAAAAGAGAGCCAAGAAATCTTGTAAGACTGCATGCATCAAGGATTTTGATGAGGCTATTTGAGAGAAATGACTCGCCATATAAAAGTTTTCTTGAGATCGGGAGACCTCAAAATGCGAAGAAAAAAGGCACTACCTGCCACCAATATATGAACCTCCCTTTCACGAAGTCTTTGATAGTGATCGCACAAAAAAGGGAAACCAATGAGGAACCAATGAAGGCTATGAAAACTAAGAGACTGGAAATTTTCTAACATTTATGTCCATGACCCATTAATTAGGAGAATCTTTTGTGTCTGAGATTATAAAATAGATCCAAAAATTTTGCATTCATTACCTATCAAAGCAACGAAGCTTTGTGTTTAGGCCATACTTATCCAGGCGATAAGTTTTCAGTTTATATCCCCATTGCGTAAAATTTTCACCTTAAAGAAATGGAAAAACAGTAATCAATTTGCTATTAAGTCCGGTTCTAAAATAATTAATTCCTCTTATTTCTAGCAATTATTCCCGAAATCCTATTTTGCCCAGCTAGCAGACAACGATTTGATTAATAATTTAAACACAGCTGATAAAGACTCTTCAAATCTCGATAATAAGCAGATTGCCTGTGCTTTGTATGTTGATGACATTATCTATTTTCTTCTATTAATCAAGATTTTTTTATATTAAAGACAAATTCTTGAAAGACAATGCTGCAGCGTTCAGATTTCCAACTAGCCAATTAGCATGACTTGCATTCTGCCATCATTTATGGTATTTTGTGAAGTCGATCAATAAAGACCAGTTATCAGCAGAAGACCGTGATGAGTAGCGTGAAGACATGCTGGTACACCATCTATGCTTTGGTTTTCCTCTACTCCTTTCTTAGAATCAATCTCTTCGCGACATGATCTTGATAGTCCTATTTAAGATCTCTTTGTATTTACTTAAAAACTTCAAGCACAGAAGACAGGTTAGATCATCGTCTTAGTTTTGCTAATGTTGAATTCTAGAGGTTTATCAGTTGTCATGCTAAAATTATTGCATTTAGCTTTCTTCTTGACTGCTTGACATTGGAGAAAGGCCCAAAAAATTTGTTGCAAAGGATGGGACAGGAATCTTTTCCTCGTACAATTTAGAATTTGGTCTTAAAAAAGGAAAAGGTGACGACAGAGCTCCGCAGAACATTACAAGAGACAAGGACAAGCTGAGGAAAAGCTGCGAGCTTTAATATAGTAACCTTTAAAGGAGACGAATTTAGCTAAAAAGAATGTAGACCTTTGGTGGCTCGTGTTGTGTCTTGAGCAGATAAGAAGTGTTGCATTGTAAATACAACAAAATACAATATAAATACTTGCAATAATCTGAAAACATTGTATAATATGTATATTTGTATTTTCCGCCAGTTATTTAGTAATACATTTATATATAGAAATATATTTTCTTCGTTTTAAAAAACTTTAATTATAATTTTAAGAAAGGGGAACTTGCATCAGTCATAGAATATCGAAGTGGCTTCTCGTTGCATTTAAGTTGAATACATTGGCCTTGTTCTTTACTGGAGTTTGATGACAAATAATTTTGATGACAAAAGTCTTCCCAACAACATAAATTCGTTGTGTACACCAAAGTGTTTAGATTGACTGAACTGATTACATTAACTCATAAAAGGAATGCTGAAGTAACAGTTGTCTTCAAGTAATAAATTGTTGCAAATGCTCTGGTGAATTCTTAGAATCACATTTACTATCAACAGCCGAGAGAAAAACTCGCAAAAAATGATAAGATAACGATGATAACAGTATTTTCATTTTTCATCTCTTGAAACACACTGCGCCCTATTTTACATGAAAAGCCCGTTCGTAGGGCAAAATTGAGTTTGACTACATTAATTGGAAGGCCTATTGCAAACATCAAATCTGGCCCCAGGGAACACCGTAAAACAAAACAATCCCTAGTTTTCCTTTACCTTGCCACTTAGTACACGAAACAAAGGAATATCATTAAAGAAAATATCAAAACATTACATTATGGATCCTATAAAAATCATTAAAAAGTATTAAGCTTGGGGCAGATGTCTATATAAATTAAATGAAGCTCTTTAGACTAAAAAAAATTCTACGAAAAACACACAAAAATTAAACGGCTTTAGGTCAAGTTTCAGTCCGTCGAAACGGCTCGCTCGATTTTTCCGATAAAAAAACTTACTAAATATTTCTGGCAATAAGAGAAATATTAATAGACAAATCATAAACCACAAATTTCAGTGTGGAAACAGGCTTCCGTAGCCAGAGTTTTTCAAAAATTAATTTGAAAAGAATTTATGAATGCGTCAAAGAAGTTGCACGAGTTGTTTTAGATTGAGAACTGTTTTAGAGATGGAATATCTATCATTTTGAGACCCTGAAGAAACTTTGCCCGTTTAAAAACAAAGGATTCATGCAGTGCTCATTTTGTTATTAAAGCAATGCTACACCATGATTTTCTATCATTCATGGCGGCAACCTAAAAGGTTTATTATGTCTTAAATTCTTATTCATTCATCTTTGCTTGATTTCTTTGCTTTTGTCTGTAGCATTTTCTGTGCAGTCTTCATCTGTTCCTTTAATTTTGAACAAAAGCTTGATTTTCTTTGCCTACAATAAAACATTCAATATCTCAACGTCCATAACATTTTCCTATAAATTTCAACGTCCATAACAGATTTAAAAACAAAAGCTAGACCAAGAGCTTCAAACATGCGAATGGAATCATTTAAGTAGGTGAAAAAGCACAGAAGACATATGGAATGTTTGCTTTGAAGTTGAACGAATATGAAAACCCAAATACTGAAATTCAAAGACTAAGCTATTAGTTAAACTTAAGTAGTAATCAAGGATTATTATTTCCGAATTCAGTCATGATGTTGTTGTATTATCTAATCAAGGCGAAAAACCGGAAGCTGTCAAACACTTCGCTGCACTAGCAATAACAGGCACCTAGAAGGGTATATCCCGTGAAAAGTTGTATGACGAACTTGGGTGGGAATCATTGAACTTTCGACGATGGAGCAGACGCTTTTTTATAAACTTTTCGTCCTTTTTTACAAAATAGTCAATAATCTGACTTCAGATTACACAAGATATCCCATTCTTCATCTACAAGAGTCCAGCTATGATCTTCGCAGACGCGCTACAATTGGGCAAGTACGTGCAAGAACGCTAGGTTTCAAATCAAGCTTTTACCCAAACTGCTTATCAGAATGGGAAAGGCTCGACCCTGAAATTAGACTATCCAGCTGTGTGAATATTTTCAAGAAAAAATTACTGTCAATTATCCGCCCACTCCCAAAGCCGGTCTATCGTATTTATGACCCAAAACGCTTGGCCATCCCAACACAGCTATGGGTTTGACTCAGTAAGCTAAATTTTCATAAATTCAAGCACAATTTCAGGGATACTTTGAACCCTTTGTGCCCAACAAATGATGGTGCTGAGGACATAGAGCACAATTTTCTGCTCTGCCATACTTATGATGTAAATAGACGTGATCTTCTCAACAGTGTAGATGCGATATTGTTGCCTCATGGTTTGTTAAATCTTTCAAATAAAGAGTTACTAAGAGTCATCCTTTATGGCGATGAATAGTTACAATTTGATCTCAATGCAAAAATCCTTACGGTAACATTGGAGTATATATATCCGATGTTTGATTTGATCAATCATCGGTTTGATCAATGCATGGGCCTCCAAACGGTTTGATCAATGCATGAACAAAAATCTCAAAATCTCTTCTCGATTTATTTCTTTTGTAGTTTATTTAATTTTAAAATCTTTTTTAATATTGTGTTTTGAATATATGTCTAGTGCTAGGAGGTAGCCATGATATATTGCTCCTCCTGGCCGTCCTTGTAATGTAGTATAGTAATTTTCGTTCGGTATAGTTTTAGGTAACTTTGTTTGTAACTTTTTTTATCGAACAAAAAAGGATTTGTAGCTCAAATTACGTCAGTATTCTTTGCAGTCAATTCTACAATAAAACATGTCCGCATCATGCTGAAAAAATTATTGTTACATGATTCTCTTGTTGAAAAACTTAGTATCATTATTGCAACCAGGCTCTTTCCCATTCTAGACATGGAAGTATAATGCATAAACAAAATAATTTCGCTATGTGATTAGCAACTGATGGTTTTACATAAATAAACATAAATAAACATACATCAATGCATTTACGAAGTTTATTTAAGCAGGCCACTGGAAATACATTTACATTTATTTCAAGAACTCGCAAAGAAATATGGTCATATTTTAAAAAAGACTTAAAAGGAATATTTAGCGGCTAAGGAAAAAATCCTAACAGGCTTGACATTTTGTAAATTCTGTTAAGTTTAGTATAACCAAAAATCAATAAAACCTGAAAAATATTTACGAACATTCAAAGTGCATACGGATAATGATTGAAATAAGATAAACAAAAAGTGCATTTACTCACATTCGAAGAATGCTTTGGAATGTCATCCAAAATGGTGAGAATCGATTGTAATTCGTTCCTTCTTTCCTCCAAGGATTTCTGCATCTCTTTTGATATCTAGGGGAAAATTTTGATCTTTAGATAAACGGGACATCAGACTCCTTATCATTGTTATTCCATGAACAACATGTTTTGATTTACAAAACAGATTTACAAGGCTCTCTCGTTAAATAGCATGTGTTATGGACTACTTACATTGAAATTAATAAAGAATGCATCAATATTAAAACGAACAAATATAAAAAATACGTCCTTCTTTTATATGTATAACATATTTAGCAAGGTTGACCAGATCTTCATTCTAAATTTTATACCCATCATTTTTTTGTAATTAATGCTTATCATTCGCTTTATCTTTGGAAAAAAGGAAAAACTATCTTAAACAACGGAATAATAGATACAATAATAATCAACATAATCTTGTATACCTTTGCACTCAAAAACATCTCACTGAGCACAACAAGAAAATCGACAACAGCGTCAAGGTAGTCGAGATACATATCTAGAGCATCATAATCATCATAATCGACGTCTTTTTCCCTGCTCTCCTTGTCTAGATTTCCCTCGTAACAACTGAGATGGGCGCAGAGCTCCTCCGCAAACGTTAAAACGGTAAGCAATATTTCCAACTCTGCAGCGTAAGAAATGACGTCATCGCATAAGAAGAAAATGAAAAAGCATATGTTGCTATATATCGATAGACAAAAAATATAGAGTAAACGTGTAATCGTCGTAATAATCGAAAAAAAATTAAAAGGATGAGTTTTCTGCGATCAGAATAATTGCACAATGGAAAAAGTTCTATAGCAACAAACTACGATAAATAAGGAAATTTAAACATTGTTTGAGATTAAAAAACAAACAACAGAAACTATCAGAAAATATTTGTAAACACCATCGACAAAAGGACAGGGCATGAGAGTAGACTTAAAATGATGCAAGGAACCTATGCCATAACAGAAATAACAATCATCTTACCTTCAATAAACAACACTGAAACATTGCTATATCTACAAACTGCAGCAGATAATATCAAAAAAGGAGGTTTCAAAAGAAGAAGTATAAGGAAGTTAAACCTTCATCAGAAAATTGTTTCGTCTTCTTCTCGTCTGCACACATGACAACATTAAGAACGCAACACGATGAAGCCAGAGACTGGAATGAAGATTCGGAGGGCGATATGTTTTTGCTTCCTTCTTTCAGGATAATTTTTGCGATCAGTGAACTATCTTCAACTGAAACTAGAAAGAAATGAAATGATAATGAGAGGAGGGCACAAATATATCATTAATGTAGTCATATTGCTGGAGAAGTAACTCCTTTTCTTATGGTCGTCTATCATGATGCATGGGGTTCCTCAAAGCCATGTAGCAACCTACCAGAACATTTCACTTTCCTTCTATTTTATTTATTCGATATAGCATGGAAGAATGGAACGAACAGTCCTCATAGTATAAAAGACGGATAACGGCCATACCGAAGGTTCTTAGGTATATATCGAAGGCATATTTTAGGATACCAAAGGCTTATTTCGTTTTCGATATATTTCAAATGTAAAGATTTCCAGGCTGAAATGCTATGGAAGCACAATATCGGTTCACACTTCAAACAGCACAAGGGAAATTCAAAGCCTGTAACCTTGCAAACATATCTTACCAAGTGACGAAACACCTTTTTCTGTAGTTGAAATTAGTTGTAGGATGTGAAGCAGTTGCCCAACAGTTTGCGGATGTTTGACGCTATAAAAAATTCAAATGGCTAGAAGCAATGCTGACAGTCAGGTCTAAATAAGAAAGCATTCAATTTTCTGAACTTTAGAGGTTCAACTCCTATAATATTACCATGTAGCAACTTTGTAAGTGTCTAAAAAAATTCGTTCATTTACTCCGTTTGCCTGAAAGCAGCTTACGTGAAAAAGTAAAGCAACTGGAACTTAATGATATTTAAAAAAGCGCTACGTACGCCACTCTTCTGTAAATATCACAAATCAATGTGACGATCTTTTTACTTGAAAGTTCTTCAAGAATGCGTCCATCGTTAAAAAGCAACTGATCAATCACTTTGGTGCCAATATCTAGTAGCTCAACTGCAAAAATTCAAAGAAGTCATTTGTCTAGAAGACTAGAAATTCGCATAAATAGAACTAAGAAATCATTTGATTTGACTGTGAGTCAAAATATATCAAAACAAGCATTTTCATCTTGAAAGACTTAGAAAAAACGAAGATATAAATCATGCAAGCCACTGCTAGAGATTCATACAAAAATTCACTTTTCTTCTTTGCTCAGAAAGAGCACAATAGGACATTAACATTTAAAAAACGAAGATACTTCCCTTTGAAGTGCTAACTTTCTAGAGACGATGTCTGCAGCAAAGCTAAAGAGAACATACCATTTAAGGAATTATCCAAAAGAGAAATCATTTCTTCAACAACCAACTTCGACCGCAATCTTTCAATAAATTCCTCTCGGCATTCCTTGTTTGAAATGAAAACGCTGATTAGCCTGTGAAAATGGAAGACATTTGAAAGATGAATTCATAGACACAAGATAATTAATAGACAAGCCACGAAATATAACATAGCGCCAGAAATGAAAAAAAATGTTTCGAGTTTTCTTCTCTAAAAATGAAGGAGAAGCATATCACAAAACCAAGAGTCTCTCACAGGCTAGTAAAGACAAATTAAGTCATCAACGAATGTATTTTTTAAAGAGAGTAGCGGTCAATGGGAGAATTCAAACACAAAATCAAAATAAACATGTATAAAAAATATTTCTTTGATAACATGCCAATGAAAAGTTCACTAGTAATGAAGTCATTGCCAGCAATGTGTGTTCAATACCTCCTGTACAATTATTATTGTAATTTGGTTCTGAACATGCAGTCGAGACAAATGATTTCAGACAAATAGGCTGTGGAAAGTGACATTTTCATTTTGAAATTCTTTATTCACCAGTGATATCTTTCGTTCCTTTTCTATGAGCAATATTCAAAGGACATACAGCATCTCGATAATTTTACCACAAGGAGCAACGTTGGTGTTAGAAAAGTCATACACACCTAGAAAGCTCAATCAATGATCTTGTGTCTGGACTTTTGATATACCACAAAGCAATGTCACTAAAATAAACAGCATTAGTTAACATCCAACGACTGAAATCTAGAGCAAAAGAATATTTTTATGAATTGTTTCTTTCACCTTACAATAAATGTCTCAGTATGGTATAACATTACATAGCCCTGAGTGGCCCTGAGTAATGGGAACGGTCCAGGAAAATACGGAAATGGGATGGTGGAGACATACCCAAACGAAGCAAGGAAAACAAGGTCTTAAAATAGTGATTATCCCCCCTCCCCCCTCCCAGAAATGCTATCAAGATAACTCACACATGAGAAATTAAAAAACCACTTGTGAGAAAAATAACAAGAAAATAAAAGAAACAAAAAAGAAAAAGAATAGTCAGACAAAACATGGTTCTGCGTGTACGATCAAAAACATGCCTGGTAAACTTGAGGCGTGTATCAAGGCATGTGACTGTGATCGCACGCCCAATATTAACGGAACTGTACTTTAATAAATAAATGTTAAAACTTCTGAAACCAACCAACTGTTAAATATGAAGTACATTTAGGGAATTCACAATTGAGCTAGGACAAGTAGCATTTGAATGGAAGATACTGATTTTAATTAGATTTAAAATCAAATATATAAATATGATTCAATGAATAAATCATGGCGGTTTTCTGAATGAAACAATTATTATGATAAATCAAATTGACATAACAATGTAAGCAAATGACATACTTCTTGAGCAGTAGATAAAATAATACTGTACAAACATACATAATAGTAGGATGTTTCAAAATTTCCTTGCAAACATTTGATGTGCATGCCATATTTGCTAAAATCCCCAAATATATTTCCTGAAAAGAATACAAATGTTAACGGAAATTTTGTTCCCATTGCAAACATTGATACAATTTTAATCATAATAAAAACTCTCATGGAAAAAACTGGAAATCTTGCGCATAAAATTAGCACTATTGCATTGAATCTTATATAGTCCTGTGGCTTACCGTAAAAGCTAAATTAAGCCTGCCAGGGGCTTATTTACTTTTTTCAGTCCTAGATGGGGGCCTAAAAGAGAGGGGGCTTATTAGAGAAAGGGGGCTTGTTAAAAATTTGAAGTAAAAAATGTTTTAAGAATGCTCTTGTCTATTTTCTGTTATAAAAATCACGCAATGATTTTAAATGTCATACAAATGTTGTCAGAAAACTTCGCTAGCAGCTTCAAAAGTCTAATTAACCTCATCTTCATCAGAATCACCAGGATTAATTGATAAGCATGGGATATCTTCTAAACAAATTTCAACTGTCTTCTTAGGCACAAGTAAGTCTTTACATTACATGTGCTGTAATTAATGCACACAATCTTAATATCATCACACTTGTCAAGAGACCCACTGTATGCACATGTTTTCCTCGTTTGACAACAAAGGCTAAAGAGAGGGGGACTTAATAGAGAGTGGGAGCTTAATAGAGCTTTTACAGTAACTCCAATTCTTGGCCAGTTTGTGACAGACTGGAACAAAACACCAAACTGTTCATTCCATGTGAATATTTAAGGGCATGGAGAACATTTCCAGAAAGGGTGCCAGTTTCAATCGAGGGGGGGACAAGGTAGAGATAAAAATCTTGCAACATCATACTCTCTGAAATCTCTGAAAGGTCTTTTATGATAATTCATGTCAGATTGTGAAAATGGGGGAGTAAAATTTTTTTCTCTCAGAGAATTAGTGGTCCTTTCTAGCCATTCATAGGAAACTGCCACTGGATACATACATGAAGTTATTTTTTGATGCACTCCCACGAAACTCTATGGCTGATAAATAGAAACAGCTCAATGCTACCACAAAAGAAAAGGACCAAGAAGCAATAGCTGTCAATTTCATTTAAATGCTGTGCTGACCTGTTTACGTGGTGACTCTTCATGAATCAAAACTTCTTCTATAACAGAGATGCCTTCTTGGCTAATTAAATAGTTGGAAACATCCTGCAATAAAAACAAGAGAAAGTTACAATATAAAGTAAAGGCTGACAGCATGATAATTTTCCAGCAGGAATTTTATGAGAAATCCATGCCAACAATAAACACAAAGAAAAAATCACTTTCTAATAACTTTCTACCAAAAATATCAGATTTTACCAAAACCTATGCACGGGTGCCTAAATAGAAGGGGGCTATAATAACAGATAACATTTATCTATCTCTAACTATTTATCTATTTATCTATAAAAAGAGTGTTGTAATAAACACAGATTAAGGATGTAGATCAAACAGTTGTATAAACAGCTCCTAAAGACAAGGGAAGAAATACACAGACTAAAGGAAACTGTTTTGATATGTTTATGGGTATGCCCATTAACAAGAAACAACTTTTTCATAGTCTTTTCAATTTAACATATGCTCTTTTCTTAACCTGTGTGAATGATAAACATTTAAACCTTTTTATTCTTATTACACCAATCATTATCTTATAATATTAGTTCACTGTAGTCTTCGAAAAATCCAAAGCATTGTTCACAGAAAATAATCTTGAAACAAAGTTCTGCAGAAAACACAGGAAACATCCTTAACTTTGCGGAGGTGAACATCCAATTAAACATTAACAAGATCTTAGCATTACATTTTAAAATACTTTGAGCATTTTTGTATAAGATGCACCCTTAGTTCTTGCTTAGATTCTGAGAAAATAGTTGTTACTTTTTGCAAGACCCATCCCTTTATATATCAAGGCATACATTTCTAGCAGAAAATACTGACAGAGTCCATAGTCATATCCCACAATTCACAAAGCTCTTCTTCTGAAACAGGATCTACTTCATTTTCACCATCTGATTCCTGAGGATCATGTTCATTTTTTACCGCAGGACCACATCTTGTAACTTCTGCCATGCGAACAAGAATGCTTAGTACCCATTTCTTGCTATATGCCGTTTCACCTGTATAGCAGAGATCACAGTTGTCAAAAATGAAGCAAAAATTTGGTGGGAATTATAGAGAAAAATCAAAGAAATCATTTCATGGCATCATCAACCAATAATGCACTAGTGCACAACACATTACCAACAGTGTTAAATAATACTTGGTTGAATCATTTCTCTATTCTTGTGTTGAAAGTTCAAAATACTTGCCAATTTTGTCCCCTTCCAGTATTTCTTTCTCCTCTGCAGTCAGAGCTGGTGGCTGGGGATTGCTTGATGGATTCTCACTATCATTTGACATCTTTACCAAAATTTCAAATCCAGATTATGAGCTTTGTATGAAAACTTATGGTTGGCATTGCGCTTAGATTTTTCATTTGTATCCTATTTCAAAAGAGGTTTTGAAAAAGCTGTTGATTAATTGAGAACATTATAATATACTTGAAAAAGCATGATATAGATAAATGTGGTTCTAACTTCAAAACAGATTTACTTTTTAATTCCAACTACTGAGAGGCAAACAGAAATGGGGCTTTGGAATTCTGCACTTCAGTTTGTTTTGTACATTTTCTACCTACTATAAAACAACACTTGAAGAAAATGAGAAGCTGTGTTTATCAAACATTTGATGAAGCTAAATAACCAAATTCATATAAAAATTCAAATTTGGTTGGTCCATTTTCTGTTTGCAATTTGAAAAAAAACCAAAACTCAACAGAGCTTTGAGTTCTTCCATCAATGTATACTTTCAAATCTTGATTTGAAGCAATGAAACAAGGGTGCCAATTTTGATTCTAAGTCAGGGTTGTTTAAGACCTTGGCTTTGAGACCTTCTTAATCAGGGCCCAGAATTTATTTTCTGCCACTTGTGCTTGCATGGGAACAAATCATGTTGCAAAATAACAGGTTAAAAGCTGCAGAATTCCATTTTTTAATAGCATTTTTAAACCTCGATTCACATTAAAGTCAGTGTTCCAACAATGCAGATTGATCTAAATTTGCAAAAATGCACAGACGGGATTTCAGCAAAAAATAATTGACCAGGAAGCGCATTCCCTGCGCATAACCGAACTTGGCAGTCTGGAGCAAGGCCCTTGAAAGCTAGTTTGGGTCTCTAAAGGGCAAACTTTTCATAACAACCACCTATGTTTTATGAGAGTCAAAATTACAAAAGACATTAATGCAAAGGATGCCTATTTTAATTATGATAGATCCAATCCTATGGTATCAACAGTGAGATGAACGAAAGGAGGGCTAAAGACTGGGGGAGGGCTTAAGACTAATTGGCAAACTTTTATGACGGCCCCCCCAGCCCCTCGGCTCCGGCGTGCCTGCATGTCTTCAAGAAAGTGTGGCTCCGGCGTGCCTGCATGTCTTCAAAGAAGAAAGTGTGGCTTAACACTTCCTCTTTCCCGACGCAGCCAGCCCCCTGAACTGAAATTTGATTTTGATTTGACTTTTTGATTTAATTTAAATTCTACTACATTTCTAAAAAAGCTAGTTAGTTATATAAATTATAAACAAATCAACTAAAGAACGCAACAACGACAATAAAATTGTTTAAAAGACAAATCGAAGCAGAATTCTTAAGAAGGAGCCTTCAAAGTGGGTTAACTAACGAGATGAAGGCCCCCCTTTGTTTCGGCGATCTATTTGTTCATCTATAAAAGTGGCTATGCCTTAAAGTTCCTGGTGCATTGCTAGATTAAATACTTACTCTTCAAATCAACAAGGAGTTCCATATCTAATCTCAAGAAGGGTTTTTTCTTACGGTCAATCAGCGTGATTTTTACACCCAGAGCCTACAAAAATTAACTGGCGGGAAACTGTATGCAAGTCTACAGCGCAACGGAGGAGCAATTGAAGATAACAATGACAACAACTCGGGCAAATGTCTTACCGTAAATGCCAATGTGCGATTCTAAACAGGGGCGTCACTTGACGGGAGTATGGGGGCTGGTTCAACCCCCTCCCCCCTAACCACGAAAATTTGACCTTCTCGCAGGGCAAAAGTGATTTTCGCAGGGTAAGTGTTTTCTACCAATGAATCTTCTTTGTTGTTTTTCTTATAATATAACTGCAACAAGAAAGTTGTGAGAGCTAAAATAATGCCAGCCTAATTATAGATTTATTTACCAATTACACTCTGTTTTGTTTACGTAGTATTTTGTATATTCTGTAGATTCTTAGGAAATTCCCTTTTGTGTCTTGAATGTTCTGTCTTCGCTTACACAGCACCACGCAGCATTACACTGCATTACATTCTTTTGCTGTAGGATTACCCCTCATTAGGATTACATCATGTTGTGTAGTCATTAGTTTATTTTAGGTAACATTTTCTGCCTAGTTATGCTTTTCTGGTAATTTCCTTGTACCTTAGTTAGATTTAGAGAGATTCGGAGAGAGATTCAGAGGGTACAGACATGAAAGGCTAAACATTAGAATGAAGTTGTTATAAGTATTAGAGTTCGCGGAGAACCGTCGTTGAATATGTTAGCAGTTCGATTTAAGTTTAGCCTTGAATTGTTACATGATGGAAATGGAAAGAAAAGTATAGCCGCTCGCACAAATCGTCATTCTCTAAATTTTCAGTCTTCGCAATATATCTCTCGATTTAAACATCCATTTTTCAAAGTATATTATGCTTGGAATTTGTCTGTTCTAAACGTTAAATGATAAAGACTACCAGTGACACTGTGTCACTGACACAAAATAAGAATTGCCAGCGTAAGTTTGGAATAGATTTTTAAATAGATTCTGATTTCTTTTCACCGTGGACTTGAGTGTTACACCCTTGGTCGATATTTGCGTCTTATTTTAATAACCATACAAAAAGACAAGCACCGCTGCCAGAAAACTAAGAAAAAAGATGTAATCCCAACCGGACGTTGCCACACAGCCATCTGCCGGGAGAGGTCTGGGATTCAGTTTGTTCCTTAAAAAGTTTGCCTAAATAAATACGGTATCAGAACAGATATACTACAGTACATTAAATGTTGCTTGAAAGCTTGTGACTGTAAACCGAGTGTGACACTGTAAACGGGGCTATTTGGGTCTAACTTCTTTTGGATTGTTTTGCATAGTTGGGTCTAGATTTGATCTAGCTGTAACCTGTAGTGTGATTTTAAGCGGAGTCGACTGTATACTGTTTTTAATATCTTTTTTTTCTTGTGGATGATACAGGGTGTATTGTATAAATTCATGTAGGTTTTCAAGCTTGTGTTGCCAGACAAAAGTTATGTCATCAATAAATCTTTTCCAAAATATGTACGACGCCTCATCGGGACCGTTGACTATGTCGGGACACTGCATTGCCTTAAGGGATGTAAATAAAATTTACCATTACACTCTTTTTATAAGAAGTAGTGAATTGAAGCTCAGGCTGGCTCTTCTTAGTTTTTTCAAAATCTGAGAATGGATTGTTCGTAATTTGTTCTTAAATTATAAGCTGTGCAATTGCTAGCACTCTAGGGAAGAGTTCAAGCCTCGTTTGCCAACAAAGTAGGCAAGACATCTTTTATTTTTCGACAAGTTTGAAAGTTCGCCGAATAAGGACCCCTAGATGGCAAAAAACTCCTCGTCTTTTAGATGAAACATTGTTCAAAGTTAAATTTTTCAGCAGCTCAGCCTCCGCTTGGTTTTAACTTTTGACCAATTTAGAGGCTTGTATTCTAAACAAATTGTTCTTGTAATAAAGGCAATATAATTATGTTTGAGAATAACGATCACTATTTGTTTTATTTCATATGCAGCGGGGTGGTTTTCCCCATAATGATTTTTGGTAGCATCGAGGGATTTTTGGTGGCACTGTGTATTGTGATTTTACGTATTGGTGTAACGAAATCAATGGGATGCTAGTGTGCATATCGAAAGCGTGTTGTAAAATATAAGGGCATGCTCTTTAACTTCAGGATGGAGTGTTGCTTCACTCATCATAAAAATTTATCTTACTCGCCTCCCTAAGGTTAGGCAAACACGTCGATGAACTGGTGGATACAATATGCAAAGGTCTAAGTGGGTACGAGCTACCTTGATAATTATTTTTGGGGTTATGGGAACTGAGGGCCAGTTCCCCACATTTTCATCTTTTGTCAGGGAAAACTTTTCTGTAGGGCAAATGTGCAGCCACCCCTCCCCCTCCAAAAAAAATATGAAGAGACACTCTGATTCTAAAGCACATTTGAATTTATGAAATGTGGTACGCCTCAGTAATTGGGAAACTTAGCTTTTTATAAATAATGACAATTTTGTGCCGTATAGACTAACGACGTGCCCAGCCTTCATATACAGTTCCATCTTAATTTCGTTAGACGGATAAGATTATCACCAATATATGTATGTTAATTTCAATATATTATTATAAATCTAACTTGAAGAAAAACGTAAATATTTCAAATTTTCGCGTAGAATAAGAAAAAGAGTGCACATGAGAATTCGCGCCAATTTCAACAACGACAACAACATTTCATAATGTTACAGCGAGTGGGATTTGCACAAACAGCAAGGTGGACTAAAATATTTTTGTACTGACATTCTTCGTATTCCGCACCAACACCGCGATGTAAACACGACGTTGATCATCACACGTGAACTAGCTTGAAAACTTCTTGAATAAAATGACGGATCTCAAGAAGGACTCTTCGTTGGCCTTGGAAAGATGTCCAGAGCACTTGCCCCTCGAGATCCTTGTAAGAATATTTGACTTCCTTCCTGGAAAATGTCTGCGTGTGTGTAGGCTAGTCTGTAACACCTGGAAAGTGGCAAGTAACATTGCACTTTCAAAAGAACATCGGCAATGCCCTGTCGGCAAAATATTTTTCGTTTGGTTACCAACGAGAGCAAGCAAAGAATCGTCGTATCTAGAGCCAATCAAGGAGTTCTTGGCTGAAACGATGATTGATGTTGGCACAGCAATAATTTTAAATGAAATTTCTTGCACAATGAATTATGACAGAGCACTTTGCCAAAGCCTGGTAAATGCTATCGATCTCCAGGGCCAGACAGAGAGTATTCCCAATAAAGTGAATGTTATTGGTTGCACCGTGAAATCAGCATTTGGACCAAGAAACGCAGTCGCACTGAAAAGCACAATACAGAATAGTTTAGAACGTGTTAATCAGTTGTATTCAGCTGGAGTTCTTCTCATTCCTAAATCAGACAAATACCTGATCAGAAACTTCCATATCCCTATGAAGAAAAAATATGAAATGATAAAAGGATTTAAACACTTTCTGCCAAGAGCTTCCAAGGATACTGCACTTGTATTTTTGTTTATTCATCCTGTGACATTAGGAAGATTGTCTCATTTAATTGATGCAATACGGAGAGTTTATTCTGAAAATACTTGCATTGTTGGAATTTATTCAGAAACTTGCATATACAGTGGAAAGTTGGTAACGAGCAATGAAATTGTTGGGCTTGTTTTCAGTGGTGATGTTAAATGCTTCTCAACTATAATTGACAAGGAAACTTTCTCTGGTGACCCAAAAGAAAAAGTAAAACAATTATCTGAAATGTCAAAAAACATTCCTGATGAAGAAGACTATGCAAAAGTTATTTTCATTTTTGCCCCACCGTGCATTGTACATGAGAAGATGCTTTTATTCCTTGCTGCCATAAAACAAGCATTTCAAGGGGTGCAGGTATTTGCAGGCTACACATGCAGTGTTTTTGGTGCCAATCATAACATGGATGATACAAATGGCATAGCTGGTGGAAGAGACTTTTTACAAACACAAGCAGTCTTATTTTGCCTTGTCATGTTAAGCAAAAAGACACATTCATAAGTTTCTGATTTCCACACACCATCATTGAAGCTTGTAAATTTTATAAGTGAAGTGCTATGGAAAAAACAAGAGGGGGTATTGTTCAAATCATTGCCAAACCTAATCAGTAAAAGTACAAATTGGTTACTTGCTGATTTTAATATAGTGGGCTCAGCCCCCCTCCCCTCAGCCTTTTAGCACTACACCTCTGTTTATAACTAATTGCAATGGGATATATTTTCCTGGTGAATTTTGTTATTGAATCAGAAATATATTTTCCTGGTGAATTTTTTATAGTTTGAAAGTTTTCTGTAATATAATGATATGTGTATATTTATTTTATTATTTGCAAATTTTGATTTGTTTTAACTCCTTTTTTAAAATAGGCATAGGAATCAAAGGTTCTGGATTTGTTTTTTTTTCAAAATTATGTTGCTTAACTTTTTTAAGGGAGAAATGACCAATGCATATACTTGTTTTGTTAGAATAGTTATGTTGAAATGAAATGTTTTTGTTATACAGTTCATGCTATTTTTCTAAGCAAACTTTCTAAAGTGTGCAAGATTCGCAGTTTTTGTGTTATTGTCAGTTGTTGGACTCTATGCATTCTCTTGCAACGATTTTTTCGAAAAAAAAGTAAAACAGTCATTTTGGAAAGCTATGTTAAAGTGCAATGACTCCATGAGCAACTTTGGAATGCTTGGAACAGTTGCTCAAACCCACCCTGTTGATTTTGAGATACTTGAGAAGTTTACATGTCTTTCCACTGGCACAAAAGTCAATGATGCCTGCTTGTAGAGTTTCTGGAAAATTTTTGAAAGAAAAGGGAAAGTTGCTGACCTTGTTTTAATACAACCATGTTTTGCCAATCATCTTTTGCACATGGCAAGATCAGCTTATGTTGCTTACATAGTTGTGTTGCTGCTGTATTGATTGCCAGGGTGCATTCCATGTAATTAGACCCGAAGATCTTTGGCGTACACTCAGGCTTTTTGGCGTTCCGAGTGCAAACTAATAGAAAACATTTTTGGCATACGTAAAATATTCGTTAGTTGGCGTGCTAAACATGAAGCCACGAACATAGTTAACACGAAAAGATATGACACAAATGTTGATTGGTTCAAGGCAGCGCAACGTGCTTCGATTGTAGAATCACACGTTTTATTAGATGGTTCACAGCAAGTAACAGCGAAGTGTTCTACCCGTGTACGATCATTTTTGCTGTCCCTAGCCAAATATTACAAGCAAAAAATTTTGGCACCTCCTTATCTCCATTTGCGCCCCTATTCAGGGGGGCATGGCCCCCTGGCCCCCTGCCACCACGCCTCTGCCTAACTCCTTATCATAAATTGTTATGATAAAGCTGCTGAGAAGCCAGAAAACATTGCAGAAGCTGCAGCTGAATGTGATCAAAGAAGAGTATTTCATCTTACGAATCGGGCATATGCACTTGCTGTCAAATCACCCATTTGGATTGTAAAAAATTCCTTTATTCTTCAATATCGTGAAAGAGATATTTAAGATAAAATTGATCTCCAGCAAGCAGGTAAAAAAAGAGCAAAGCAGAAAAAGAAGAATCTCTGTCCATTGACTTTAAAGAATATTACTTTTTATCATTAAATATATCTAACACTGTTTATGCTTGGATGTTGCTTTACTTGTTACGACAAGTTTACATGTTCGCATTACGTTAATCCAAATTTAAATGTTTCCTTTATCGTTATCGTTTTTTATGCTTGAGACCAGTTATTTTATACAAAATATTCTAATTCTGTCAGCAATACTAAAGAACCTTGCTATACAGCTATCATTTTTTAAACAAAATTTCCTAGCCTCCATGGATGTCACTTATTAATTTAAGACAAAGCCACGATGGGGTGAAAGGCTTTAAAATAACACAGCTTCAAAGGTTCATGAGCTTTTCAAATCCTTCAAATTCATCTTGTTGTTTAAACAAAAAAACAAATAGATAGAGTGTCTTTCTTTTACCATTGGTGTAGATAGAGGAGGTCAGAGGAGGCAATCAGTGGCGTACCCAGGAAATTTTTTTGGGACCACGCCCTTCAAGCAGTCGCAATGCGGGGAAACGCCCTTTTTGCATAATACGGTAAATGGCAAAGCAATTTACAATTGTTATAAACACAAGGATACAGTATACTACATCTCCCCCCAGCCAATGAGTTTTACATCGTTTTTGGACATATTGGACATCGTTTCTCGAGGACCATATTTTAGAAAAGTGGTCCGGATCCCCCATTCCCCCCCCCCTTGGGTACGCCACTGGAGGCAATTACCGATGTAGCCCCTTGTGAAGCTAAACTGCGATTTTGTCAGAAAATTTCTGATATTGTCGGAAATATAACGTTTGTCTTTTTTTATAAAAGTGTTACATTTTGAGAGAAACTATTTAAAAGCTTAACATAACTATTCTACTGTTTTTCTGAATTAGTTGTTCTCAATCTCTTTCGATTACTATGGTGCTTAAAAACGAGATGCAGTTCTCTCGTATAAATAGCGTACAAGCCGATAAAATAATGGGATTTTTCCCTTGGGTGTACGATATTTCCATAGAGTGATGAGTCCCTCGCTTAAAAATGTCTTCGAAGTAAGACCTTCAAGTAGTTTGATTAATGAAACTTGAACTATGAATTTTACTATGAATAAGTTAAGAGTCTATCTTCTGTTTTTTTCAGTTTTGATGAAGTTATGTAATGTTCCAATTGATGCTCTGACGTATGTGGTAGGACATCAACAGTAAAATTTACTGAAGAAATTATAGATGAGGAAAATTTTTGTGCTATTTCACCCATTGATAGGCGATTTTACCGACAAACTAAACGATTTTTGTTTACCAACTTTAGGTTTACCGACCAAACATGAAAGGGGGTTATCGCAACCCTTACAGCCCCTGGCTAGCTACGCTCTTGAATTGATGAAAAATTAAAAATGCATTAAAATTTTGGTCAGAAATCTAAGTTTGTCGCCCCTTCTTTATGCGTTATCCTATCTAGGCCGCTTTTTCTCACCGAACATAAACACTGGCTGTTTTTCTCTTCGAGTTCTTCCTAAACCACTGGCTTACTAAGGATGCGGCCCTCCTCGCAACGTAATACGTTTTTGTATGAAAGCGGAAATGTTCAGCTCCGTGTTGCTCCTTACATCATAGCTTTTCTAATGTGATCATACTCCTTGATAACTCTAATCGATTTCTATTTAGCTCATGCGTCACTACATGAATAGATGCAAATAGGCCGCTCAAATTTGTTTTCATTCTTTATTTATGAATATCGATCCTGTTCAATACATCAAGCCTGGTCTGGACTATATTGCTTTATTCAACAGACCTTTAAAAAGTACATAATAACTGTGATGTATGACTCTTTCTCTTTTTTACAATCTCAAGGTTTTCTATTCTAAGGTTTTCAATTGATGATGTTGCCTGTTTCAAAACCTTTGCTACTAAAAAATTAAAGGCATAAACCAAACGAAGCTGCAAAATAGTAGTTCTACCATTTAATTCATTACAGATTACATCAGCCTCTGTTGTGTTCAAGTCCCAGATGTTACCAACAGCTTCTCATGGTTGATAGCTTTGATCTTTGAGGATATGAAAAATAAAGAATTGGCAGATTTGTTCGTTTAAAGTATCAGCAAAAAGGCTTCATAGTTTGACTATATCGATAATCCATTCCCACAGCACATATCGCTTTGACCAGCACATCTTGACATTTTTTCAAGTCCAGCGTCTCTTTTTTGTTAAAAGCACATTATTCCTCAAAAATTTAAGATAAGCTTTTACAGAATAATATCCCAACTGTACAGAATTGCTTAATCTTTCAATTTTAGTTAACAGTTCTTTTGTTGATTTTTCAATGCTAATGTTTCTATTAAACGGTGTTTTATTTATTGTTCTCCCCCGTCTTATTTTCGTTACTTTTGAAATTCTACAATACGTTTCATTACGAGCTACATTGCAAACTTTGCAAGACCGTTCCTATTTCATGTCAACATTACAACAGATGAAACTGTGGGACACATTGATAAAACAAAGCTTGAAAATATTGCCTCAGTCATTCCTCCCGTCAAAATCCACTTTAGATTCGGTTTCTGGCCATCCCTTAGACGCCATATTTCTAGATGAATTTTCTGCCGCCAACCAGATCACCAGATGGCGGCCATTCCTAAACCTTTTGCAACCCTTAATTTGCTGGTGCAGAAGGTGAAGATTTGCAAGGACTTGCACATTGAGTAGCAGAAAAGTATGATGGAAAGATAATGTGATGATAATATCAAATCTTTAGAACTTATTTTACTACGCGCCAGGGAACAAGGCTCTTGGTAGGTGATGTAGAAAGTTAAACATTTGCATTGCCAATGTTCGTCAAAGAGGGTCAAGACAATTTTGCATGACGTCAGACAACTACGTCTTTTGAACAGCTCAGACAGTAAGAACTGTTTCAAATCGGCCGTGGCAAAATGGAAATGATATTTACTAAGGACATTTAGTTTTTAACCTTACAACTGTAAAAATCGTGACCTATCAGGAAACTGCAGTCTCCGGCGAAGCTGAGGCTTATGAAAGTTTACCCCTCAGTTAAGGCTTTTTTATAACTCGGCACGATCACATAGTTTAAAAACTGAATATTAAATGAATATTCCCAAAAATAAGCCTAGATATGATTGGCACTAGGGCTAATCTCACTCTGGTATTGGATCAGAAAATACAGAGAGATATCTTTGAGACAGACACCCTGAAAAGCTTGCATTTCTATATATCAAGAAAAAGTAAGGCCCCCCATAAAATCTTATTTGAAGGGCCGTAAAGGACTCTCTATAAAGTGGACTGATGTAGAGCGGGAACTCTGAAAAAAGACACATTTTTGGAACAAAATGATACTTTCTTTTGCAACTCTTTTCGTTGATCTTCTACTACTTTAAGCCACTATTTATATTACATTATTAAATATATATTATTGAAAATCGATGTTCTGTTCTGTTGTTTATGTGCACTGTTCTGTTAGGTGGAAGGTCCGCGACTTTATCTATCTTCTCTGTTCACGCACTTGCAAATGACTTTGACTTCCACAGAGCAATCTGGCAAAGACAAAACTGATAAATAAACTCGTTCAACTTTCAAAGAACCTTGCTAGTCAATCTTGTTTAATGAATGTGCAAAATGCATATTTGCTGTGTTTATTTTTTTCTTTGCGTTTCACAAGCAATTTATCTCAGATTTTTTTGTCCCAAATGGCCTTATAGCGCGGTTTGTCTTCTTAAAATCGTTTGTTCTTGTCTTTTTCCAAAAGGTATCCTAGGGGTAGTTTTCCCTCACTGCTGGTGTAGGTATAAAATTACCCATGATTACCGGTCACAATGCTTTTGGTCTATGGCAATTCGGGGGCCAGAAATTTTTTTTCGGAGATTGTAGGATGTCTTGTGCAGGACCAAAAATGCGTTAAGTATCAAGAACCAAAAGGGGAAGGCTGGCTTAATAGGTTTTGAGGTACGGGGACGTGCAATTATTTAGGGTTACGTTTTTCTGAAAAATGTGAAATTATCGGTATCTGTTTTTGAAAAATGTGCGGAATCATGGGTACCATTTGAAGAAACATGCCAAATTATGGGTACCATTTTGGGAAAATATTGCAAATTTATCAGGAGGGAAATTAAAAATTGACAAAATGAATTTCCAGTTAAAAATGAAAGCAGAATTATGGGTCACATTTTTTCAGACATGTGCAGAATTATGGGTCAAGAATTAGAACCAAAATGGCACGTCCCCGTCCAAAACTAGACTTAGTTATCCCCCCTCCCCCGAGCTCTTTATCCCTGTTCACGAAAAGTACTGGGTTGGTATTTTCACGGGTCTCTATCCTTATTATGATTTCCATTATTTTTCATAGTGGTTATCACTATTTTTCACCTTAAGAAGTCCTACTCATCCTGTGATTTTCACCTACGATACGATCGATAGCTTCAACTTTAGGTGCGGTGCGACCATACGCTGGTATGCCTATTTTGTGAGAGAAGAAACGAAATTCTTTCCATTTTTTATTCTAAGAAAAACAAAAGAATGAAGCCGCCCCCTGGAAGGCATGGAAGTCCGTGCCAACGTCCTGGAATTTTCAAAGGCTATTTCAACGGATAGGGACGCATGGATATGATGGTGTAAGTGCGTCAAGTGTTTAGCTCCCATGCTCACGAATGACGTCACAGTAGTCCGTCGACACCACAAGGAAAGGGATTGAGTTTGGCTAGAGCCGTAATTACAGCAATTTTGCGTTAAATTACCGAAACAGCCACATGAAAGTTCTTCGATTACAGATTTTGATAGACATGGCGTGACATATTGCATGTGTATTTGGTTCAAGTGCTTTGTTCAGTATCAACAAGAATTGTTTCAGTGTGCGGTTATGGAAAAGTTCTTGCTTAGGCCGACTAGGCTAAGACTTGCAGCTCGATCTCATGTTGTATGAAGTGTTTTCTCCACTGCCAGTAAGTTAATTTATCCGAAATTACCTTGCTACCTTTATAAAATTCCGCATTAGATTTAATTTTATTCATCAGTTTTAAGCCGTCACCTTTTGTACTAAAATGGTACTCTAAATCGTCACCTTGAATTGGCAAATACCGGTGAATCGGCGTGATTCATAAAATTCAATCATATCCTCTGTTGTTGTAATTTTTACGGGAAAGCATTGAAATAACCGGTAGCTATATCGTTTGTCATTGTAGGAGTTGTTCGAAGAATTTCCTGAACTTGCGATACCTGCTTGAACGCCTGCAAGTAGATTTTGCTCTGGACTGACTATTCTTCGTTTTATTTAGCAATGATTTCAGCTACGCCAAATTCCGTTCGTTGGGACCAAGTTAACAGAGTTACTTACCGATTTCAAGCATTAAATTTTCAGAGCGATGGTAAGTCCTGTTTTTCAAATGATTAATATATTATTTTTGCTGTTTGAATTTAGCTATGGGTTCTATTCTCAATCTCCCTCTGCACGTGCAATTTGCACATCACCTTACTGCTCTACTTTGTAACAAAATTTGCACCTTTGTACACCTTCAACCACTGTTTGTCTTGGAATGTCAGTAATATTTAAAATGTTAAGTGACATGAGCTACGTTGACGTTGTGAAGAAACTTAAGCAAATATGCTTTTAAATTCTGTTTAAATTAATAAAGTTGTTATTATAATTTTTTCTCCTACTTTTGCTTGTCATACACTGTATTTTTAATTAAAAATTAGAAGTTCGAAATTAGAAGAAGAAGAAAATTAGAAGAAACTACTGACAGTAACATCTAGCCCACAGAATATATTCAATACTTAGTTAATAACCTACCTTTGAATTATTGTTTTAATCAAATATAGTTAAATTTGCATTACTTATCTATAAACTAGTCTTAACACTTATAATTTTATTCTGAAATCAGTCAGTAAGATTAAAAGGAATGTCAAGCTATATGAGACCAATGCTACTTTCAGTAGTTTCACCATTTTTATGCAACATCGTAATCATTTGTTCAGACAATTTGATAAATTTCATGCAAGTTGGTGCTGTTATCAATATGTAATGTGAATTTGATCCCATAAGGGAAGATGTTGAAAAAGGAAAGTGCACTAATTCTTTAAGCTGATACCTAAAAATTTTGTCCAACCAATTTAAATTCATTCAAACCTATTAAAACTCCTTATAGTAGCACTATTTGAAATGTTAATGTGTATAGGGTGAGAATGAAATAAAAATAAACCTTTAAGACTGAAACTTAAGACTCGTCATTCATAACAAACTGAACCTTTGAGTTATAATTAGCTTTTTAGATTAATTTTCTTTCTTTAAATAAAATTTTGAATAGAATGGGATTTTCCAAAGGGGCAAATTGAATTGCTGACCCAAAGCAACTGAGGAGAAGAGCTTTACCTATGAATTTCTAGAAATGGCTTTATTGTTTCATTACTTTGGGCCTGCATTGAAATCAAAAAAATTGTACAAGTTGGGTTATGCTACTTGGCTTATGATATAGATCAAGAAGCCTGACATAGAAGAACTTTGTACCAAAGCCAGAATAACTTAATGTTTAGTGCAAGGAAACTGCTAGGAAGAAAATTTTAATCCTGTCATAATTTGATCCTGTCCTGTCATTGAATGCTATAATCCTGTTCTGTTATGTTTTGTTTTAGTTGTATATTTCAAAAGGGCAAAGCATACTGTACTTTTTAATTCAAGAGACGATGATAAATTCTACTAAAACTCATTTTGAACAGCCAAGTTTGAAAGTTTTTCAAGTCTAGAGTAGGTTTTATAGAAGCGCTTTATTTCAAAAAATTTTACCACCAGGTTTTGCAAATTAATACCCAACTTGATAAAAATGTCTAATCATTTCTTTTGAGTGGGTGTGGCTCTTCTGTTGATATTCTCATGTTCATGTTTTGGTGCTAAACTCTGCTAAACTCCCCTCCAATCTTGACTCAGTTGTTATCTTTCTAGTAATCAAGTTGAAAGGTTTGTGATTGTGTTCATACTCTAGGTTAGCAGTCTGGCAGCTTATAGCTGATACACACCTGCAGCTTGTGCCCTGGTACTTCTATTCTAGACCAATCAACCCACGTATTGATTCATCAACCTTTAAAAAATTTTACCAATAGGTTTTACAAATAAATACCCAACTTTATAAAATTACCTTACTCTTCCTTTGAGTGGATGTGTTTCTTCTGTTGATGTTCTTATATGTTTGATGCTAAATTCTGCTTAAATTTGCCCTCTCCAATCTTGCCTCAGTTGTTTTCCTTTTAGTAAACAAAATTAAAACATTTGTGATTGTGGTTACAAGCACATAGCCAGGCCTGTGTGATATGGGTGGCAAACTCCCTAGAACTGTTCAAGGCAGGGGTTTCAATGAAAACAATGAAAAATGCCATTAAGAAATTTAGAGACAAAATTCTTGGGCTTGTACTCTCTTGCTCAGGGGTGGCATTGCCGTCCCATGTCACCCCTCAGCCTGTGTAGTCATACTCTTCTATTTTATCCATTCTCGTCATTGAGAACAAATCTTTATTCCAAATATTCACTTTTTGTTATTATTGCTTTCTTTGAACTTCACTACACCATATGTTTCTACATGAAAAAATGTTGGAGTAATTTGCATCCTTTATCAATTTTAATGTATTTTTAAATTCTATTCTTGCAAAGGTAGCATAAGTTTTTTATAATTTTATGGTAGGAAGTTCTCAAGAACTAGTAATCTATTACATGATTTATTGGAATTAACTGGCTGCTACAGAACAATCATTTAAGCACCTTTAATCCTCATTGTCCAAGTTCTTTGTGGGAAGTGTATGTTGGATGTCTTGATGTTTATATATTATTCAGCAGCACCATAGTGCCCTAGGAAACTAAAAATGTGCAGTGAATTTTTCTACAACTAAAGGTCAGCGTGACCTAGAGGTGTTGCTTCCATAAAATTTTTAGCTCCATTTTATTATTTGACTCAGGGTTGAAACCTTTTTCAACAGTTCTCTGATAGAAGGATTTATCAAGCAGAAAAACAAACTATTTTTGTTAGATCTGTGTTCTGGGAACAATTTTTCCTCCAAATTTATTTGATTTAATCTGGAATGTCTTCAATGTATTTCAATGAATGAATGAAGTCTTTAAAGATATATACCATCTAATTTGAGGTTCAGAATTCAGGGTAAAATTTTCAGGTGTATGGGTTGAATGTCTGTCCAATTTTCAACAAAGTTTGAAAGGAAATGAAAATTTAAAAAAAGAAGCATATGAAGTAGTATTTTACAAATTCCATCTATCTTTCTGGGTATATGTCGTCAGTCTTTTTCATTTTTTGCCAACTTTCTAAAATTTCTCACATATAGCAGAGTAACCCAAGTTATGTTTTACTCTCAGTGTAGTTTTGAATTTATAATCTTTACAAATCATTGATGAAACATGTTGGAATGTTGCATGATTTTAAAATGGTAATTGAAACAATGCAAGGTTTTAATTTTGAAAGTTGAAATTTCAAAGTTTGGATGATTCTAAGTAATTTTTAAGAGATTTCGGTTAAAATCACATTGATTATTGCACAAAAATATGTGACACCCTCTCTAGATCACCCTCTCTATTCGTCCTGCCTCTGGACAATACCAAAAACTGTGTTCATTTTACTTAATAATAAAACAAACAAGGTAGGATTTTAGCACATTATTATTTTTCCGGTTTCTTTTCTTGTTGATGACCTTCCTGGCGATCTTGGATGGGCCGCCAGGTCTTCTGAGAGTCGGTTCATATCTCTACTTTCCAAAAGGAGTACATTTTGTTCACCTTTTGAGAATTACGGATATACATTTATACATAACACAGTTTCATATATAATTTGGAGTTATGAATCAGTTTTGTTGATGCCAATTAAATAGCTTGGAGTACTTCAGAAAGGCTTATACTTAGCAATTACATAGATGGCTGAACTAGCGTGACATTCAGGTAGAATTTTGAACGTGGAAACACTACAAGAATAGAATAATGGCTAGGTGATCCTAAGAATATGTCTGCATAACATGGTCTATAAAACAGACTTGTTTTTGCAGATTTTTATAAAATAACGGATGTTAGGTCGATTCGGGACCTTCCAGTCTGACTTTTCATTTAGCGCTTCAAATTTTTTGATTTCGAGAGCATTTCCGGCATAGTTTTCATTTTTTTCATTTGAATTTTCAAAGAATCGATAATTCTCTGACGTTCGTTGGTTTACGACTGCGTCACTGTAGACTGAAATGACGTCATCAATACGTTGAGTTTTGTTCTGAACAATTTCGGATGCTCTCCCTCTGCTTTTGAAGGATTTTGCCATACTCATTAGATATCTTATTTATTTATCTTAAGTTTGATATGCTAGTATCGGTCCTTTCATTTCTTGAATCCAAAGTCTTTTCCCAATTCTTTAAATCATATCCAGCTGATGAATAGTGTAGCCTCTTATCAGTGAAGTTTGCTTTTGGTCACAGAAAAGGAATTGCTGTGTTTTGGTTTCGACTGTCAAGCAACCTTTTGTGGAGTGTTAAGAATTTTATGAAAAATTATACTATGGAAATTTGATTACTTTTAGATAGCACAGTTTACCATCTGATCCGCGATTTTCTCTTATCGGCTTTTGGTATCCTTTTTATATTGAAGCCAAGGCTGGCTTTTCTTATACTTCCCCCAAATTTGCTCCTAAATTGTTTAACGAAGTTATACAAATGTTGACATGATACTAAATTTTACTGCCGAAAAACATTGTTGTATATAATGCAAGTATTTTTTTCAGTAACTTTCGGAAATTTTGTAACCTATCGTGAAAGATTTTCTGCAATAACAACATTATCTATTTTATATTAATACTTTTTAAAGTACCCTAGCCGCTGCTTTTTCTTGATATCTCTTACATTCATTCTCATACTAGATTGCCAAGTTATACTGAGATGGTATTGGTATTTCCCTGCGCTGGGAGCGAAAAGGGTTTTCAATGGAATGCAGAGAATCTTGGTTTCGGCTTACCCTGCGCACCCCTCCCTAAGAAGGTGTATCTTCGTGATAATGTATAAAATAAAATAATTTAAATGATTGTAAAGAATGATTTTTTCTTGGTAAATACAGAAAGGATTGCCAAAATTTCATTGATATTTTCCTCGGTTACAAACCAAAACGCTTATCAGGGCCCCTAGCTCGTTAAAAATGCATTAGAGATTGCATGAAACAAAATAGAGAGAGAGCAACCCTAACAATGTCAAAAAACATTGAATTTTTTATAGAAACTTTTGAAAAAACTGGGGGGGGGGGGGCATAGAAACGCCACTGGCCCCGTAGAAATGCCACTGGTTTTCTTTGTTATTGTTATCGAACCTTCTTTTAGTATTTGTTCTTCTCAGTTCTTTTTTATTTTCAGTTTTAGTTTTCTTCTTTTTTGAGTTGAACCTCTTTCCAATTATTATTCTTGCTATCGAATGATCTTGTATGCTTTAGCTATTCATTGACTTCTCCTCACAACATAACAACCATAAGTTTAGACTCTAAATGTCTGCATTTTATTTTCTAGTTTTGGAAGCTTTGGTATTGAACTCGCCTCCTTTATCAAGGTTTGTGCCAATTAACTCTTGATTTCGTACACGTTTCATAGTTCTCACGCATCGTAATAATTCTCATTCTTTTGCGGCGATTTTGCTTGCGATTCGACAATTTTGCGTACGTATTTCCATTTAACGATTACGGGCTCGTGGGAACTAGCGACAAATTGCACATTGCAAATGCTCATTACTTGTCTGTTGACGCATGTTTACTGCGTTTTCAACAAAGAACTTTGACAATAATCTTCTTATTGTTAGAAAGAAATTTTCAAACGTCCTTTTTTAATAATAGTACTTATTGTTTAGACAAATGAAATTCTGCTCGTATCTTCCACAAACTATTCTATTGAAATACGTAAGAATCTCAAGCAGTTAAGCAGTACTTGGGTGAAGATTTTTCACAGTATCTAGAACAACGCATATTCAGTTTTAGTTTGATGTACATTTATGTATAAATTTTATGTATATTTGTGGAGTTGCTACGTAAATTCTATTTGATAATCGGTTTTATTGTGTTTGCAGGAGAAGTAGAAGAAAGCCCATCATCAGAGGCTCAAGATCTGATTACTCTGGAAACAAGGTCGAATTTTTGAAAGCTAGGAGTCTAGAAAGACGTAGCTTGTCGTTTGACGAGGGCATTGCAGACAACCAAAAAAGTGATTTGAAATTTTATGAAAAATCACGTGTGAGTCATGACCGATACGTATCAGGCAGGGCTGTACATAGCCATGTTGTATTTGAACCAAGAAGAAGAGCAGTATTTGAAGCAATCGACAACGTTTCACATTGCAAGGGCACAAAGGATAGGCAAAAGTTAGAAAATTTCGAAAACGCTGATTCCGTTAGCTGTTTGTCAGTCGTTAATACTGAAACAGACGAAAAACTTGACGAGGATCTCGATAAGAAATCGGTGAGGAAAGCTTCTTCTTTGCAGTCGATCAGTTTATCTGCTATTGATACCTAACAGTGAGTTGATAGGCCCATTTCTTCTGTCATGATGACAAAGATTTCTTGGGATTTTCTGTTGATTAATAAAAAATTTCCATTTTCAACTGTAATTTAAATACTTTCGTTTATGAATTACTTCTTATGTACTGAGTGTATGGATTGTTGCCTAGTGTCAACATTTACTTCATCTGTTCTTCGATCTTTAGACCTTAATTCCTGGTTACTTTTCAGAAAGAGTCTCTGATAGAATTAATCAATGACCTGCGAAATGAAATCAGGGAATTAAAAGGGAACGGCGATCAAAGTAGTCCGTGCTCAGAAAAGAAGTCGGATAGCAAGGAGACTGTGGATGTAAAAAGGTAAACGTCTTTAGCGTTTGCAGGTAACTGTTATGTAAGATGTGCCTATGCGGCCTAATTTAATGCGGTCCCATTTTATTTGCGATATTCTCCTCGGTATGACATACTTAGTGTTCATCTTACTGAAATTAGTAATAAATATGAATGTTTAAATTAGAATAGAGGCAAAACCCGTTTGCCTATAGAGCAGCGCTTGTGTATAACAAACTTTGGGTTCCATTTCTGAATTTAGCTTTACAATAAGTTCCGGTATTTAAATTATTTTTGAATACATGTAAGAATCAGGCAAAATTTTCCGTAAGCATTCAAAGTGCTTTGCATCCGTTTCATGCAATGGAAAATTTGTAATGTCAGAATAGGGTGATGAAGATTCTTCCTTAACCACACGGAATTTAATGTTAGAATATTATTCCTTATCCACCATATACCTCTCCCATCTTGAGGCTGTTAGTTGATATTTACACCTAACTTAGATTTTTGCATGTACAAAAGCTGGAGATCAAAAGAAAGCAGAACAAAGTGAATGGCTTTCCAGTTTCGTAAATTTTTTCAGAAAGGGGGCTTAAAGCTGGAGGAATTTTAAGGTCCCTACCATGTCAGCAATTGGTTGTAAGGTAATCAGTAGATTTATGTGTTTAAACATGTTTATTTATCTAGCAAACCCTGCTGCCGCTGCAATTCTTCTGGAGTTTGCCTTGAGCAGCCTGAATCTCCAGCGAAGAAGGACCATCTGCAGTACGACAAAGATCTGCTTTACCCTCATATGCAACAACTGGAATTCGAGGTACCAGTCAAATTCTTGATAAAGTCGTTTGTCGTTTGCTCTTAACCTAAAGGGACAAGTGAAGATGCAAAGACAGAAGATTTATGCAGAGTTTCTTATTGTCCTTAGCTAAGTTTAGCAGCTTTTTGCAAATTTCCGTGTTGTGTACGTCAGATTTCGATGCTGAGTGTAAACAAAATTTTATTGGTCTTTCAGATACGCAGAACTCGGAAAATAGCAACCATGTTTGAAGAAGAGATAACTGGGTTGAAGGACCGTTTCTCTAATGTTTTGGTTAGGACAAACCACTTGACGAAAAACAAATGCTCCGCTGTCAACCCGGTGGCTTTGGAGAGGACAGAAAAGTTAGATGAAATGTGCAATGGAGTTTCCAGTGTAACAGAGGAAAGAGATAGCCATCTCTCTCAAAACGAAACAAATGATAAATGCGATGAAAGCTCGACAAGTATGATAAAGCTAGATACGGTTTCTGTAATAGGTTAACGCAGCTGCATCGAATTGAAACAAAGTTACGTTTCTAAATATATGTACATTGCTCTAGTTTTATCAGTTTGCGGTCGTTCTGACCATCTCTCTGCGCTGGAAAAGGACTCTTTTCTATTCCCTGAATTTAAATGTTTATGTGAGATAGCGGGTGAAAGCGCAAATGTATTATAAGAGACGGCATTGTTGCTATATTTCCCTCGAAACTCATACAATCCATCCCAGTAGTTGTATACGTGTTTTATAGAAGCAACCTGTAAATGTTAAATTTATATTTAATTTTTCACACTTGTTCCAATATTTTATCTCCCGATCCACCGCAGATTTGATGCAGTCGACGAAATTCATTCAGAGCGATGAAATACACAGATATCAAAGACACCATTTTGTCAATCACGCCATTCACAAATACGTTGCTCCGTGCATTACCCCGCAACTGATCTAAATGTAATTTCCTACTTGGCAATCGTATTTCCAAAAATTTTCCTCTACTCATACATTTACATATTCATCGGTTTCAAAAGCTATTGTATTGACACTCCTTTTTGGAAAAGTTCAAACACCAGATTTTCTCAGCAAAGTTTATGAACAAGGATTTTTGGCAACAGCAGAAAGTTAGTAGGTGCTTACTCTGATGAATGTTGCTGCAAGTGACTGCCCTAGACGATATTTTCGTTGATTTTATTTAGCTGTTGTTGCCTGTACTTAATTTGCTGCTAAGCTCGCAATTTGTACACTCCTCAATTTGGTGTATGTCGTGAACGGTGTTTTAAACATCGCAATGTACGTGTTAAGTATGCATTAATATATTCAACCAAGTCAGTGTTAGTTTCTTTGGCCTAATCTAATTATGTTTCTTATTTTTGGTGTACTCGCAATCTTGTATCAAGGTTCCTATGACTCTGTGGCCCAGAGGGAACCAGAGCGACCCAGAGGGAACCAGAGCGATCCAGAGGGAACCAGAGCGACCCAGAGCGACCCAAAGGGAACCAGAGCGACCCACAGCAACCCACAGCAACCCACAGTGACTCTGTGGAAAAGTTTTGATATTACGATTAGCAGACTCTGCTACATAAAAGCAGAATGTAATTTGTACATAGGCCTGCCATTTATCCCTAGAAGATTGGCCATTGGGTCTTCGTCGTCAGGACCTTGTTTTCGTTGACGTTATGCCGGTCCTAACGATCAATTAAGAGACTTACGAAGGCAGAGTGGTTTTATCGACCACAATATGACAAATAAACATTTTTCTGACACACGCTATGGCTTAGGTCATTTAGCGTTTCTTTGTCTTTATTAATTTTTATTGTAGAACTGTACACGACAAACATGAGAGAGTATTACAGCAAATCCTATCTTGATAAAGATGCCACTCTTCTAAACCCCTACCCTATGAGATACGCTCCACTAGCTTAGCTGTGTGAATTTGATACCCCCTCTTTTGAAGAACACTTATTAGATGATCTGTAAGGGGGCCTATGCCCCGCCATATGGGACCAAAGCCTATTGTAAAAAATATATGATGTAATTGCATTGTACATTGTAAATGTATTGTTTAAATCTAATATAAATCTGTTGAACAATTCATATCGACGTTATTTCTCCTAACTTAAAGCGTGTCCACTTGACATTTATAAATTGTGGTCGGAAATTTCAGATATATAAGGTCTGAATTTGTTTGCAAATATATAAGGGCTGAATTTGTTTGCGAATATATAAGGTCTGAATTTGTTTGCAAATATATAAGGTCTGAATTTGTTTGCAAATATATAAGGTCTGAATTTGTTTGCAAATATATAAGGTCTAAGCGCGAACGATATGCGTAGTGACATTTCCCGCCAAATCTGACTCGATTTACACATTGCACGTTGCACAAAATGGCTGCGAATGCTTCCAATATCAGCATGAAATGGCTTAGTTTTGTGCCCACAATACCATAAACTAGCCCATCTTCTTGGGGAAGTCGTTGCTCAAGCTTCCACCACAATGGCAACGGTGGAAACAAATTCCGTGTGAAAGAAGCCATTTTGTTGGCCGACTCAAAGGCAGACCAAGTTGTGCGAGCAAACCAGATCCTATTTCAGAGAGTAAGGTCACAAGTTGGAAATTAGCAAATTCACAAGTTGGAGGCACAATATGTTTTGGCGGGAACTGTCATTGCGCATATAATTTGCGCTTAGACCCTATATATTTGCAAACAAATTCAGACCTTATATTTCTGAAATTTCCGAAAACAATTTATAAATGTCAAGAGGGCACGCTTTAAGTTAAATGAAGTAACGTCGATATGAATTGTACAACAGATTTATATTAGATTTAAACAATATATTTACAATCACACCACATATTTTGTATAATAGACTTTTGTCCCATATGGCGGGGCATATAGAACAGCAAACCGAGTCGAGATACGTCAGTCTTTCAAAAGTATCTCGATTTCCGATTAAACCTTTTTAATAAACAACAAGAAATGCCAAACAGTGGATGCTTTCATAGTCTCAACAATTCAGCAACGTTGATTCATGTTCTTTTGAAGAAGCCACAGAAGAAAATTTTCGAAAATCATGTTAGAAAACACAGAACCTAAGCATCCTGTAGCGAAAGCGTATCAGTACGGTCAGATGTCCTACCTTAACTATTTCTTCAGTGTCATGATTTCTTGATGTTGCCATAAAGCAGGGCTTCCACAAGTTTGAAAGTAGTCAGGTGGCTATATTAGTTTATATTCAGTGGAAGACTTCTAAACAAAAGGGTCTCTTGTCAATTTAGATGAACAAGAGTGAATCCAGACAAGACTATAGTCATCATATATTAAGAAAACGACCCTGTTAAGTTTTTAGAAGTCGAGTCATCATTTTAGAAATCGAGTCAGCCTCGGGTTATTGAAAGCAGGAAATGTGTACAGTGCCCAGTGGAATTTATAACCGTGCCTGCAAGGAGACCCCTTGGTAAAGGCTTTATCTGCTTCACGTTTATTTCTTCCTTTCTTTTCCACCAACAGATGTACAACTGGTCTTTTGGGTTTTGCAGAAGACTTTTAAAGGCTTCTGTAAGACAAAGAGGTACAAGATCTTGACTAAGGCCCCGTTTACACGATGATTTCAAATTTATCAGGTGCCACAAGCACACTATTATCAATTCGTTTTTTTTCGCCTACCCTACTTTGCCCTACTAATGGTTAAAGAGGAACACTAGACATTTGGAATTCTGACAAAAGACTTCCCCGTATGTAACAAATTTTTTTGACGGAAAAATGTCGAAAACCGTGTAATGTTCTTAATTCTGTCTCTGCAAAAAGATGTAAAGTGAGTAGGAAAAGTAAGGATACCCTGCTTCGTATCATTTGTTTCATGTACCCACACAAACAACTTTGTAATGAAATAGCATACACTTTCATTCCAGTTAACACTTTGTTGATGCTATCAAAACTGATTGCAATCTAATTGCACCTTTCCATAGACCTTTTCAGTCCACGAATGTTTGTTTGTATGCTTCTGACTTTAGCACCGAACCTCGGCTGGTTTGATTCATCACTGTGAACCAAGTCAATGAGATCCTGCGGTGAAAAAAGCGAAACATTAAAAAATGAACCGCGTTTGAAACTGTGACCTGCTGAGGAGGCATCTGGGATCACAAGTACGAGGGTGCGTTTGATGATATTCAAACGACACTTGATTTTGAGAAATCGAATAAAAAATTTCTGGGAAGCTATATTGGCGTTTCAAGTCATAATACCATGAGCCCCCAACCCAAAAAGTAAATTTTTAGTCAATTTCAAAATTTCAGATGTGTTTAAAGAGATTACTTTAACAAGAATCTCACCTTTTTGATTCTGCGAAGCTCTTTGGCAGCAGTGACGGTGCTCTCAGAAGGAATGTTTGATCTCTTAAATGCAGCTTGCCCGACTTCGTGTAGTTCATTCATATACCCAAGGAAGTTCTGGTCTTTTTCCTTCTTCAATATGTGTTCAATTTGACTTCTGAATCTTGGCAGCATGAGACTGTGTTCATCTGCCATTAGGTGTCTTGCCTTATAATTCCATTTCTTTGTGCCTTAGGAAACCAATATTAAGGAATTATAGAACATCATGAAATTCCGCAATAAGTAAGCTACCGAAAATTTTCTAAAATTGGAAACAGCTTATGTGTCCGAATTTGACTACAGAAATGATAATTTAGATTTATATTGATGATGCAGTTAATATTTTGAGCATCTTGTCTGAGAGGCCTTCCTTTTCAATTCTCAATCCCAAAATGTAAAATTTTGGAGGTAAAAGTCGTCCAAAATTTGCCATTCATAATTTGCAGAAAAATTAACATCTTTTATTAATTCGCTGGTGTATTTGCACATTAAACATAATGTCAAGGCTCACCATCTTTTGCTTTGTTATACCAATGATAGAGATCCTCTTGTTCTTCGTGTGTCATGTTGTGCTTCATTTCTGGAAATATAAAATCCAATTGTTAATAAAATATAAGTGTCGTTCTACCGTTCATTACACTACCGTTCATTACAGCATCCATTTATTTTGTATATTATATGTATTTTTACCTGTGGACGTTATCTCACGTCTCAAGTCATCAACACCTTGCTGCATAGTCCTTTTTGTTGCTTGGTAACCCTCACGAACATTAATCATCGAATCATGCAGTGACCTTAGTCCATCGGCAATCATGCTGTATTTGTCAATAACTTTGCTGATCTGCAAGCATGGTTTCGCATGATGCTTATGCCAATCTAGATATTAAATAGAGAAATTTCATACCGAATCTTTCGTGTATTCATAGACCGAGTTCTAAAAACTATTGAATAGTTTTTAATTGAAAATGATCCTTGACAATTACCCAGGTAGCAAGAGTAATGGAGTAATGGTGTATTTTGACCCCGCCTATAAAACCTTTCAGATTGATCCGGGTCCGCTTAACTTAGAATACTATGAAATTCCCATTGCTAATTAGAATAAGTAAAATGTCATTTTCAGTTCGAAAATTGCCACCATTTGTTTATTGCAATGATAAAGGAGGGAAATGTTTAAAAGAAAAACGAATCTCTGCATTTACTGTAAAGAGATATAAAATCAGACTTTTTCTTAACAATCTCAAATTAGAAGGTAATGAGAGCAAATTACCTTCATGGAGAGTCCTTTTCTCGGCTGGAATATTTGAGTCCTCCAGAGGTGTGTGATCAAAGTTGCTTTTGTCAAAACCTTCCACCAAAACCCAAGGTGCGCCATTCTTAAAGGCGTTAACAGTAGATGCACTTCTTGTCACAATTGCTGGCAAGGGCTCCTCTGCAAGTCTTCTATAATACATTTCCTCAGCTGTAGGAACATAGTCTCTCTTCCGGCGATCCTTTGTCTCTTTTTTCACATCCTTCTCTATGTCTTCTTCTTTCTTGCCCAAGTCATTCTTATTATTTTCAAACTCCCTTGCTTTTCCATCAATGTTTGGCACTTTTTGGATCATTTTCTTCGTCCCCTTGTACTTTTCCTCTACCGTATCGGCAGCAAGGTTCTCCCAGAACTTCAAATTAACGCACAAGTCACCAGTGTAATCAGCCTTCAATCCAAAAATGACGAATTTGCATGTTATACCAACGCATGCATTGAAGTCACTAGTGAGCTTGCCTCTTAGTTCTAGCAGTTCAACTTTAAACAAATTATCCCCAACCCAATTCATGATATTTTTCGAAATTTCAATTCCAACTTTTACTACATCTTGCACGAACTTCAGAATATCAATAGCAAATCCAACTAAATGCTTAGCCATTGTCACGAAGCCTTTTCCCACGTCAATAAGACCTTTTCCTACCTCTGATAGTCCAATCAATATCTGAAAAGAAAAATAAACACATCAGGTACCAATCACAAAAAGTATCATCAATATCAAGTTAAAACAACAGGAAGTACCTGGACAGAGAATATGTATTTCATTATAAGTAAATTAATATTGTTATGAGCTTCGAACATTATCAAATTTGAACCTTTCTTGAGAGATGCAGGCTTTCATCAAGATATTTTCAAGGCATTTAGCAATGTTCTAGCACGAGCTTGTGACTATTCATTCTTCAACAATTTATTCTGTTCCCGCTCCTTTGATTTTGTCGAACGTATTACATGCTATTTTTCAATTAGCACAAAATGCATAAGTTATTCCAAAACACGTTGTTTAATCTCTTATCTATTAACATTCATGACAGAACCGTTTTTATGATGGAAGATATATATTATGCTTGAGCAACTTTTAATTGATTTAATTCAAGACCATACATAATGAGTAACCTTGGAAATCGTTCAAATCAATACCTTAATGCCAGTCTGTTCTGCCCATGCAACGAACTTTTTGGCCGCCTTCTTAATCTCGCAAGCAGCAATGCAAATAACGTTTGGAGCTTTCCATTTGCAGTTGTTCCAAGTTGGGCAGCCAACCCACCACCACCAGATCTTGAAGCATTCTGACTTCCAGTCCAAGAACGGTATGCAAACTACAACGAGATGAACAAAACATTTCCTTAAAAACGTAGTCAGCATAGATATACGAACATAACACAATTCTAATAAGCTTAAAAAAGGCCAAGTTTGAAGCGCAAGCAAAAGAGTAAAGTAAAAACGTCTTTTTTCGCAGAGAATTTCATGCCATGATGCCTCCTTCAAAGCCATTAAAAGGAATTGTTTGGCCTTTGCTAGAAGGAGTACGTAATTCACAAGTAAATTAATTGGATTCCCAATTGCAAGTCGAAAATCGATGGTAAATTAAGAAACACTGTAGGAGTCCCTAAACACTAAAAGTTATCTTACAAAGATGTTTGATTAGCTTTTCTTACCATCACCGCATTCACTTTTGCAACTTTTTGCAAACTCTTTCTTCGCTTCTTCAATTTCTGCCGCCCTTTTTCTGAGTCTGTTCTGATAATCGTCAATCGACTTTTTCCAGCCATCCATTTTCTTCTCAGCATTTTCAACTTTTTTTTGAGCATCTGCAACTCTTCTTTGGGCCTCTTCTAGTTTCTTAACTGCAATATCTTTGGCCTTGTCTAGATATTTTATCGCAGCATCAGCGATTTGTCTCAAATGGAAGTCTATTTTGACATTTGCCACAAACTAAAGAGAGAATCCAAGATATATTTATTTGATTCTATTTATCTGAAATTCTTAGCAAAGGCAGCTTTCATTAAGATGAAAATTTATACATAATATTGATACATTTGTCAAATTAAAAAAACCGTGAGCAGTTCCATCAGAGGATATGAAGCTTCGGCTAGCTATCTTCTAATAATCATGATTGATCAATTTACTCAAAATCAAAAGCTGGCTTTAGTTCAAATGAATTTAAAAACAATGGATTATAATTGATATATTGTAGTTTGGAAGCAATCAGCCTGTGATATTTCATTGAACCGGCAAACTAGGTCAAACTTAGTTCGATAATCCCCGAAACAGTTGTTCCATTCTGAATGATAAAAAAACCTGTTGTATTTGTTCCTTTATCACAATGCCTCGATTTAAGCAAAACGATATAGTTTCTGGGACATTTGAAAATGTTGGCAAGCCAAATGCATTTGCACATTTTACATATGATATATAATTTGACGACATCGGTAACTCAAAACAAAAAAATCACTTGGTTGCAACTACCGCCAAGAAGGATGACTACCGTCATGAAATATTGTTATGAGTGAGGTACACTGTGGGGGACCAACGGCAAAATGCTCTGAACCTTCGAAGAGAAATTTCTTTAGGTATCTCTTGCAGTTTTTTTTATCTTAATCCTATGTTGAAGAAGCATTCGGGTAAGAGACTAGCAGCGCTCTTGTGCATCCCCAGTGTCGTGACTCTATATGAGTGCTTGGTTATTGAAATATTTACAGAGCATGGATCTTAGGAGAACTCTGGGGAAGCTGCTGTGATGCTAAAGGTTGGTGTTTTAGCAAACAGTAAGAGTATTTACTGGAAAACCCAGATTGTCCAAAAAACTGTAATGGCGACATGTTTCGGATTATTGGTAAAGCCCGATCGTCGTTCCATCTAGCAGTTTTGAATCTATCTACATAAGCACGAAAAAACCGCTATTGTGTAGACATGAGTTCGTTGTTCGTATTCACCTTAGGACTCCATTGGTAACAATCTCAATAGGCAAGCGACGAACGGCTTTAGTATACTCGAATATTTGCTTTTTTCAATGCCATTTCTTAGTTTTTTACAATCAAAAGATTGATTAAAGCAGTTCTTTAGATATACTCACGGAAAAATGAAGCGCTGCCAAATTTCCATAAGCAGCTTGTACAACCAAATCTGAGCGAATCATTCCCCATATATCGGTTGTCATCTGAAATTTGAACCCAGTGTCTGAAACGTCTATATAAACATATTTTGAGATTCCAAGTAACGATATATAGCCCTCAATCTGGACAGTCACTGAATCTGGCTTGAGGTAAATAAACGCCTTAGGGCCGTTGACTCCATCTGTTTCATTCCTTTGCAGGGTTATCAGCCCTCCGGCCCAGGAAATTGGAGAAAGTGCTACGTCGATGAGAAGTTTTTCTGGAGGGCTTATAAGAATTTCGGCACAAACTTTAAAACCAAGAAAGTTTAATGTCCCTTTGAGATATAGACCCTTTTGTATATTCAAATCGAGTGCTTCAATTGTCTCCCCTGTGAAGAAAATAAAATTCATCCGGTACTTTGTTAAGACAAGTTGCGAAGGAGTGAAATTAAAGTGACATTTTGAACTATGATATGGCACTGCTTTTTTGTGGAAAAGTTGATGATGTTGAAACGGAAAACAAAAGATTCTCCACTTGATTTCCCAACAATGTATAAAATTGAACTGAAGAAAAGAACGTTTTGATAAAAACTAGCGATTCAAATTTTAACATCGTCAATGTCAAGACCTGTGCATATAGACTTTGATTACAAAAACCTGTCTCGATTATCTGCCTACAATAAAGCCAATAAAGGCTTATAAAACTAAGTTCTTGTCTCGTTGTGGAATAGCTAATTGATTCTTTCATAAAACTTGATAAATTGTTGCTTTCATGCAGCTTACAGACCCAGCAGCTAAACAACAGATCTTCAGCATCAAGAGGTGAATGTTAAAGTTGCTAATACTACAGCCATTTAAAATGAACTCACCTTCCATACTGTATGAAACCGTTAATCCTTCTGGAAATCCGCTTTCTGCTACCACTCTAGGAACTTTAGGTTTACCCAACTTGAATGCTTTGAAAATTTGACTCAGAGTAAACTTGTTAACAGACCCAAAGATATAATTGTCATCTGGATTATTGAAATCGATACCAAAGTAGATTGAAATCTTGATAGCATGATCATTGGAGCCAGCTTCTATCACACCAACCCAAACAGTTCCTCCAAATTCTAACAGAGATCAGAGAATAAGAATTTTGCAAGCAAAAATAAACATTCTATCTTCTTATGGCAGACTACTGTTGTAGATTCTTTACGGTATTAACTATTAGCAAAGATTTTGCTTTTAGTCATAAGCTCTTTTAGGAAATACTCTGCTATCGAGACTGAAATCATCACATGTAACAATAAATTTTTCAGTATCCTCAGATCACAAGAAAAATTGTCTCCTTTTTTTACACACACAACAGTAAAAGTATGACCTAATTATTGAAAATAGAAAAGTAAATTGGATGAAAGATTCCTCTTGCTAAAAAACTTATAGTAATACGGGAGAGCATCACTTGCGTTTTTTTGAAACCTTTATCTTTTATGACCCTTCACTCTGGGCTAAATTATTTCTAATAAATTGCTGTATTAAATGAATCACTGATTTCAATTTCTGATAAACCAGTCTTATTATACCGAGTGTTTAAATGAGAAGAGACCGATTGCAATCGTGTTAAAGGGTATCAAGATTAACAAACCTACTTTATACATCAAAGTTAAAAGGTCATGACACGTACGAAAAGTTGGAAGTACACCTCCACCACCAACAGATATGCCTATCGCAAGATTCAAGTTGGCAAGAGCAAGGTATTCGAATTTAAAAGGATTCCTCCAGGTTCCAGCCATGGCGAATTCCAAGCTGAGTTTTCCATTAAGGCTTGCCTCGATGGTACCTAGAATAAGAACGGTCATTATGATTGGAAGTATGCATAAGTGCCTTAGAAAGATAAAAATTTTAAAAATTCAGAATTCTCGCACAAAATATTTGAAAGTGGCCTAAATTACCTTTCGGGTCAAAACTTGATATGCTTCTAAGTAAGAAGCTATTATAGAACTCATTCGTTTAGCAACGTAACCTTTGCATATTGTTTTCACAGCTCCACAAAAACCCACATTATCATTTTCAGCAAACTAATCTTGTATTTTTCCCAATTAATTCTGACACCTTTATCAACTCAGCAGCCCTTCCTTTCACTGGTTTTTGTCTATATTAGAAGTATTAATTTTAATAATATCTATTTTACATAAAAACACGAAAATAATTGCTTTTAAAGTTAGTCCAGATTAGTCAAAATTAGTCGCCAATTATTACGATAAGTTATATTGTTGATAGCATTTACTATGGCATCATGTTATTTTGCATTAAATAAGACGCCATTTTGTTAGTGAACGATTGCCAATAGGATTTTCATGTCAATGAAAAGTTCTCCTTCCAATAAATTGGTGGTCACGACGTACTCCACAGGTTAATTGCTTTTTTTCTTTTAATAATATTTATAATGAAGTTTATTCTAATCGATATTAAAACTTAATATTCATAACCATTGTACATGATTTGGAACTTGAAAATTTTTTTTTAAAAAAATGAGACAAAAGTGCCATTTTTTTAAATAAGATTCCTAACAGAAAAAGTCGAAAGAATATTGGCAATGTAAGAAATCAAACTGACTTCGTTAAAACGATTATAAGATTTAAATATTCACAAAGAATGACTAGGTGCACAATGTATCTCAAGGAAGGAAGGTCTTGCCAAACCTTTAAAATATTTAAAGGGAGCATAAATTATAAGAAAGAGTCACAGGAAATACATAAATTTTGGATTCATACATAAATATATACAAACCTATAAATTGGACTTGACCAGAGCCAAGATGTTGTGGGATGTTCCAATACAATGTGCATTCCAGTTTAACAGACGACTCTTTGCCGCTCAACTCCAACTGCAAGTCTATTTTTTGCAATGCAAGTGAACCATCTGTATTGACTGGAATGGTACCAGAAAAGGAGGCACCCAACTTGAATCCTGACTTTGATATTGTGCCTGAAATTTCAATTGTTGCATCTTTTCCGACTTTCTCAGCAAGCCAAAGACACACGGAGTCTCCAAAACAGCCATTGTCTTGTGGAATATTGAAAATTCCCACAAACGTTAATCCTAAAACGAACAGAAAATTGACAATCATGTGAAAAGAAATCTGGTAAAAAATGATTTTGTAAATGAGTTGATTAAATCAAAATCACTTTGAGTTATTGTTTACCAGTCTGTCAATGTGTTACCCAGTCTGCAACTCAGGCAACCAAACTTTGATGCACTTTATGTTCTTTTCTACCTTTTTCATGAGTGGCCTACATTCAAAGCGCAAGCCAGCTGACTTTAAAGATAACTATCTACATTGACAATTTTTGTTATTTTTAGCTCATTTCCCGCATTATGACGATTTACAAAATTTGCTCATAGAACTGAAAAAACATGCATATAGTAACCTTTCTCTATGCCCTTTGAACTGAGATACGGAACAGAGAATTCAACCACGTCTTCTTCATTGTCTTCTTTCGCGTCTGAATTTTTATTTCCTTCACTTCCTTTGCTTTCAGACTTTGGTTTCGTCTGAGCTCTTTTGCGAAGTGTCCGTTTCTCAACCCCTAATCTTAGATTTTTCCCGTAAACGTGATTCCTTCCATACAATCCACTTCTGTATGGCTCAAAATATGGGCTTGCTTGCTTTCTTTGTTTCTGAAACTACAATTAATTTCCTAATTACTTTTTGCATAATGAAAGCTATATTAATGATAATAAATGGAAAAGCATGATTGAAACATCAGGTCCAATAGCTTTTCTTATGTAAGGTCCTTGAGAGAAGGATAACAGAACACTTGAAGGCTTCCCTGAAAGAAATTGCTGAAAAATTAGCAAATAGCAACCAAAAATTTCGTGATGATCTTCATGCAGTTAGGGACATACACTTTGTTTGTTGTTTTCAATGCGTATATTTTTTGAACGCAAGGTACCTCAAACGACAAACGACAGACAAAGAATTTTACCAGTTATTCCTTCCAACAGGAGAATCTCTTTTGTTGTATGAAAATGAAGAATAGTTTCCCAGATACATTATACATATCTTATGCTGCAATACGGATCATATCGATGACCTTTAAACAAAGAGCTTCCAACTCGACCTAGCTCTGCACCATGAAAAGTAGCAAAAGTTTCATTGTTTCTAAGCTGATCGAGAGAAATGCTGTAGTAAAATGACATTACATGAAATTAATGCCTGCACATTCATTTTAAGGGTTGGCAGAAACGAGACCTACCTTTCTAGTGTTGTGCGGATACGTGAAATCTGGTCTGAGATCCCTTTTCCTCCGCTCGAACGTCGAAAAAAGTGCTTCAGAGACGTCGAATCTTCTGCCAGAGGCACTGCTTTTTGAATTAGATTTACCTTTCTGAGCTTCACCAACATTGTTTGCCTTGCCCTTTCTATCCGAGGAACTTTCTACTTCACCGTTTGCATTTGAAATTATGATCACTGAAATCAAGCAAAGGATCTTAATATTCAAGATATTTACAAAAAGCGCAGATGCTTACAATATCACATATTTTCAACAGTATATGAGGGCAGTTATGTATCTAGACTGTTCCAACCACTCCCTACCGATCACCAACGACAATAAAAAGAAATAGATATCAAGCATTGTTAATGACCGAGGTCAACCATAACACATCAGATTTACCAGCCAGCTAAATGCAACTGTGAAGCAAAGAAGAAAGGTTTCACCTACATGCAGTCATTTCAGAAAACCATGCAACTGAAAAGAGCTTGCTGCCGAATATTCTCTCCATAAGCTTGTCCAGTCGAACTTTTTCGATGACGATTCCAACTGCGACTGCCGTGGCAGGTTGATCTGTGCCTTTTCTTGGTTTCCAAATAAGACCCTCGATATAGCTGTTTTCCCAGCCCCAGAGAATCGGCCTTCCAGCAATTCTGAAAAGGTGGACATTCATCAATTTATTAGCACAATCTCAGTTTCGATTCATAGAAGAGCATACTAGTTTAAAAGATTAACCAACTGAATTGATTGTTAGAAAGAGAGACTAGCGGATTGGGCTACTTGCTTAATACATGACTAGTAATTCACATCGATATAAATGTTGTAATTCACAACCAGCGATAAACAATCTAAAACAAAACTCATAAAATATAAGTCACGAATTTGAGGATATTAGTAATACCTTAATGATTTGTGCTCATCTCCTTTGCCAAAATTCTTTACAAGCTTGAAATCTTTTATGCCAAAATCTTTTAAGTTTCCCAACAAGCTAATGAAATCAAGTAGTGTGTTTGGTCCAATCATCTCCTGTAGCTGATCCAGTTTAAAGGTTTTCACGTAAGCTGACAAGGCATACTTGTTTCCCTGCTTCTCTAATGTCAAACCTACAGACAATGGTCCAACTGCTATCGTTGTCACACCAGCAAATTGCAGTTCTTTACCACTTTGCTTCACTATTGTAACTTCAAGATCGCTAACATTGACCTTCCCTCCCATGAAGACAAATGGTCCTTTCAAAACAACTGTAATCTTAAAGAATCTTCCTTGACCAATAGTTATTTCTTTTATGTCAATTGGTCCAGCAGTAGGGGGGAAGAGTTGTCTTGGAAGTTCTGCTTTTATTTGAGGATCCAAACACTTTAGGAACTTAGGCATGTCGCTCTTAAACTGTTCCGGGAATGAAAAACTTAACCCGCCGGCTGTTATCTCTATTGTGACTGCTAGCTGCTCTGGTACTTCTGCTGGTAAATTTTCCTTGCAATCTTTTTGACTTTGCATATTTGCTGCAAGTTACAACATGTTTGCTATGAACTTTGCAAAGACTTAAGCTTTATATAAGACATGAGTACAGTAATTAAAATAATCTTAGTAGGAGTGTAACAGAAAAAACTATAGAAATTTGAATAGTTTGAATGGCCAACCTAGGGCAAAGATGAAGAACTTTGAGCTTAGCATTTTCAAAGCAAAGCAGAGCAAAATCAAAAGGTTTAAATCTAGGTTCAAATTTTACTTTATGTTATTGAGATAAGTATTTGCTTAGAATCTATAAGTTTACCTAACTTAAAACTAGTTCTGGCCGTCACTATATTCTTTGGCTAACAAAACATTTTTCAACGCAAATATAAAGATATAAATACACATATGCAGTGCTTCTGCAAGTAAAATCAAAGTGAAATATTTTTTCTTGATTTTGAGATATATCAATATTTTTAAAACAAAGTGGGACTATAGACATGGAAGATCTGGTGGAAGGTTTATAATTGCAAATATAGAATAAGAAAACCAAAGACTGCTTTGATGTTTAAAGGAAATTACCTCTCAGAGGGATCATCACTCTGACGTTTACACCTTTAGGAATCATTTTAGTATCAAATTCGGTTATGAAGGGCTTTACCACATCCATAAGCTTTTTATTATCCACCATAACGATTGTATCCTTGGCTATCATGATAATGCAGTTGCGTTCTATTCTTCCAAGCATTGCAAAATCGCTTATAAAAGCTCCCTCAGATATGAAATTCTCCAATGTTTCTTGAATGTTAATCGTATCTGCAACATCGATAACAATCGCTGGTCTCACAACTTGACCAGCTGCTCTTGTCATAATCAAGTAAACGTCACCAGTTCTGAAAGCAGCAGAATTGGAAATCGATGCCTTGCAGACAATTTGGAATGTTTCCGATGATCGCTGAGTTGTATCTTGAACAAAATCGATTTGTCCATTGCAGTCAGGACTTTCGAATGTCAAACCTTTCAGATTACTGGTGTCGAAGCCAATGGCCAAAAAGTTAAGTTGGGACATAGTAATTCCAAAAATGCCCATTAAATCTGTCATAAGGAGGGAATCTATTTTCCATTGGAACGGTAGAGAGGCCTTGTTTCTTGGCTTGTCAATAACCATTTTGAGACTGTGTGCAGACACACCAACTGTTCCTGTTTGAAGGAAAAGAACTGCATTGAGATTACTTTTCCTGACATGTTTATTTCCTTGGCATACTTTGTTGCACTTTAAAAGATACAAGAAAACGTGTTAAATGCCTATACTGTAGTCAGAAAGGGAAGTTTTAAAAACAGCAAGAATAACAACCAATGTCTTGAGGAGCTTAACATTGTAACTGTGGTCATATCAGCTCTTAGAAGGAAAAAACGTACTTTAGGCCTAAGCAATCAATAAGGTCTCAAAGTAATCAGTTATGATATATTTTATCTTTCACTTGACAATTCAGGTCAGGTTTCTCTCGATCTATAGCAATTTTAACAACTGTCAGCTTGTCAGTTATAGTTTTCGGCTCCAGATTCTAATCAAATTATTCATATACCTTGTTAAAAGACGTTTTAAAACATCTTAGAAATACCCACTAACTATTCTATCCCAAGCCAGAAGTCACTACTCAAGGTTTAACTTTTTAAGTTTTGTTTTGAAACTGTCAAGGAAGCAAAAGCATTTACGGAAGATAAGTTATGGCTTGAATAACATCACCTTCAGCCTTGATTTTCCAGCTTTTAATTCCATCAACAGGCTCACCGGCCTTGAAACCAAGTATTAGAGAGGCACCACCAAGAACAAAGTTATCTCCGCTTAGAAGTCGCCAAGAATCTTTTGCTTTTGCCTCTACTGTCACCTCTTTGCTGCCTCTGTTGATTTCGAGATTCTCAAAGAAGAACGAATCTGGATTGACCAGCTGTTGTGTTGTTCTCATAACATCAATACTGGGGAATATCTTGTCAAATACCATTTTCAGAGATGGGTTTTCACAATTATCCCCCTTTTTGGTTACAAGTACAGACTTTTCTGCGGAAAACTTTCCTTCTAGACTGCATCTGCCTTGTATTGAATAGGTTTTGGTGCCAGTCGACTCAGATGTAAGCGTTTCCCATGACGTGGGAAGATTGTCCCTTTTTGCTGAAAAAGAGAACATTTACAAATATGCCTTTAAATACACAGCGGAGAGCAGAGGGCAATAAAGTCCATTCTCTGCGTTAGAGTTTAAAGAACTATATAGGGATAAAACTTACTATTGAAAAGGACTTGTCATAATCAATGCTTTATGGAGAGTCGAAAGGTGCTATAGTGACCAGCCAAAATCGTGCGTGTATTTGGTGGGACCATAGAAAACAAACAAAACCACAACAAATAACTTACATCAAAGCTTCATTTTAAGTATCAGTTGTTTTGGAGAAGGCATAAACGGTTACAAGAATTTGTGGTGCTTCAAAGATCTTTGAAAGATTTTTCTAGTGAATATCCAACCTCCAGCTGTGATTCTAAAACTTCTCCCGATGCAATAAAAACCAAAGAGATCAAATTTGAGATAATTTGCAATAAGATACAACGGAAGCGGAAACTGCGTAGAAAATCAAACAAACCTAAAAATAAAACTGCAAAGTCAATGTTTCAATGTTTCAATACGGCAACAGTTTTCAGTTTTAAAACAGAGGCAGTATCGATGAAAACAACTTATTTCTAAAAAGATAGAAGATCCTCTTGTTCCCACTTTGTTCCCATTTTGTTCTCTCTTATTTCTTTCTTTGTTCTCACTTTTTCTCACTTTGTTCTCACTTTGTTCTCTCTTTGTTCTCACTTTATTCTTACTTTGTTCTCACTTTATTCTTACTTTGTTCTCACTTTGTTCCCTCTTCGTTTCCTTTTGGGACTCACTTTGATTTCACTTTTTTTTCAGTTTATTCTTTCTTTGTTCTCACTTCATTCTCACTTTATCCTCTATTTGTTCTCATATTTTTATCAGCCAACAATAGGACGGAGGGAGCACTGTAAATCCCAGAATTTGTGCAAGATAAGTTCAGTAAAATATTGGTGAATCTAATTGACAATTCAAAACTTAAAATTCTAAGAAAAATTAAAAACAAAGTGGGAGCAAGAAAGATAATTCGGTGCCAAGAAATTGTGCGAATTGATTTTTGATGGAAGAGATTATGGAAACGGTAAATAAAGAAATTAAATCCTTATTAACACTTGTTTCCTTGAATGCAGGCATAAAATTACGAAAATAACTTTGTACAACATGCATCAAAAAAACGGAACAGAGTTTGCTTAATGATGCACAGCACAATTTAAAGTTATTCTCAAGTCCTAACCATTGACAGTTTCGTACCAATGGCATTGACAGTTATTGTTTAGAATAGTAATCTTAAAGCAAAATTGACAGCTGATGTGATTCGACATGTTCATATCACAAGTCATTTTGTTTCTATAAACCTTGTATGGGAGAGGGTTATGTAAAAATGTCACCATGATTTATCTATTGAGGAATAAAAAATGAATCTGCTGGAACGATTTAAAAGTAGTTCTATGAAAATTTGACCACTTGAAAGTAGCGGGCAAAAGAGACAAGAAATGAAGAGCTGGGGAATTTATTTGTTGAAAGAGATCCTGACCATGAAAATGTATTTATTTCATTACTATTAGAAGCAAATGGTATCTAGTAATGCGCAAACCATATCACAGGGTAAAGAACTATCGAAATATTTATGTGGCTCTTTATCATATCAGATTTGACAAGAGTTAGTCCTTTACTTTTACTAAGTATAATGAGTATAATGAAGTATAATGTTAGACATTTGAAGTTTCTCAAGAAACACACGATTTTCCATGTTCATGCCAATGTAAACGAAGAGTCGAAGTTAAAATTTTCAACTAGGATTATCAGCATTCAATTGAAAAAATAGACAAGAGTTTGTGAATCGAAAACTCCAAGTTTAATGTCTAGCAATGCCACTTACTTCCTAAAGTACGTCTAAGGTCATTGTCGGGAAAGCTCTCTGACAGCCAAAATGGAACCAGACCCAGCATATCGTGGAATCCATCGGAGGGTATCAAATGATCTTTCTTGAAAAGATCAAACGCATCCAAAGGAGCAAAGCTGATTACGCTCAGAATCAGTATAAGATTTAGTATCGCCATCGTCTAGCTGTTAGAGGAAAACAACGTTTATGATTTTTAGAACAGCAAGCTTTTCTTAAAATTTCATGATAAAACAAAAACATAATATAAATTCACAAAGAATGGATTTCTAGATGCCTAAAAACCTTAAAAAATTCGATGGAAAACTGATAGTTAAATGGGATAACGTTATTCTACTACTCCATAAACTGATAACTTCAGAAGAAAGAAAGTGAAACTACACTGTGAAGAGGTAGCATGATAGATTAGAATATAACCTTGTCATTAAGTATAACATTAAGCACGGCAATTAGCAAGTATTAAGAGAAATGAACTACAGTTTATCAGTATAAGACAAACGACATGGTATAACATCAATATTTCTGGAACTTTTTATCAGTAAGAGACATACGACATGGTGTAATTGCAGTATTTTCGAAAGAAATCCAAACTAAATACCTGTTCATCACAAGCCAGACGTTCGTTATGACTGATATTCTTCGCGATTGGTAAGGTTGGTAATGAACCTAGTTCAGTACCTGTGCTGTTTGCCAATAATCCTCTCCCTGAAAACCCGTAAATATCTGAAACCAGTTACATTCTCTACATTCTTTTCCTATTGTGCTCGAAAACCCTTCTTTCATTTTTTGCTATTGTTTAAGATTATTGCCATCTATGGACATTTGAGTAACATAGATTTAAAATGGATCATAGTTACGATGCATTCCTTTTGTTTGCCCTCTTCATCTCTTTTTATGTCTTCAGTCGCAAAAGGGGTATGAAAACAACAGACACAAGTAAACAGTCAGCCCTTTATCTTCTTGTGACAACTCCTGGGTAATGACCTAGGATGCGGTTATAGCCAGACTCTGAGGGGAGAGTATAGTTACATAAAAAGCTATGATTTCTGCATCAAATTTTATCTGCAAAATTGATTAAAAATTTATATAAGCTCGAGTTGCCTACATGTTTATGTTGGAAGAGCCAGATCTGCATCTAAGGCTCGAATTACCAATTTAAAATCTGCCAACAATGCCTGATAGAGGCAATGTTTCAAACCGTCAGGAAATGTACTCGAGAACTCTGCATAGGTGAGGTTCATCCGATAGCTTCCGGGCCAAAGCCTAGAAATTTCGAAATCCTTGCTGAATTCTGATATCAAAAGTCAATGAAATGCATCGTGAAACCATTTCTTAGCCCTAGACGCAGAATAGAGAACGGACAGAAAGGAAATATCTTCAGCCTAAGATATTCCAGGGGTAGAAAAATTCTAGGGGGAAAAGTCCGTAACTTTCCCTGATATTAGCTGAGGCAAATATAAATTGATAGCTGTATATGTGTGAATTGATAGTTGTGATGCGATTCATCCTCCAATATGATAATCTTGTATGACATTTCAGGCATAACTCTTCGCCCCCTGGATGAAGTTCGCCAAGGTGACGCCCACCAAGGTGACACCCGCCAAGGTGACAACCGCCGGGCAATCATGGTAATGGTTACGGCCCTGGTACCTGTGGATTCGGGTTACGTGATTGTCGAGTAACACCTCTGTAACTAAACACCGTGAAATATGAAATTATGGCGAGAAGAACAAGAAAGGGACTAGTTGTATTTGTAACAGATCTAAATTATTTTGTATATTTACAAGTATTTGATGATGATCTTTCAGGTTATATGGTCAAAAGTCAACAAAACTGAATATAGATTTGCCAATCTTTACCTTTGCCGTCACTTTCCATTGTACATAGAAGAGGTTTGTCCCCAAGTTTGCAGAGCTACGTGGAAACAACCAAAATCCCAAACAAATAAGCAGCATCAATTGATTACATCAATACAAACAAGCATTTATCACGAGGCAGTTATTAAACATTTATAATCAGCTTATGAAATCATGTCAAATCAGTGTTACATTACGAACTTTGCTGGAAAAAGAAAAAGGTAATGTGGCAGAAGCAAGAACACCAGCTCATACCAAATAGGAAACAATCGCTAAATAGTTTTCTAAAATTGCTTTTTCTGGCTAGCAAAGACACAAATAAACCTAACAGTTTTAATAATTCAAAGCGTAAAGAGGATACATCTGAATTTAGTGTAGTAAAAAAATACACATCTCTTAAAATCAAGCAAAAACATGAACAGACCCTCACCAATTTCACTTGCAAGAAAAGTGAAAGGCAACATTGGCGTGCTTCAAATGATTGTGGAGACCTTTCGGTTAACAAAAACCAATACAAATTTGAATGGTAAAGGATTGTCTACTGTCAAATCCTGTTTTTCTATTTTAGCATTCATTGATGGTGGAGAACTTTGAAGGGCAAAAGAACAACCGATTACAGCAACCGCATTCATTTTCAATAACTTCTTCTCGGTGTTTCACTTACAGTTTACCCTTAACATTTTAGGCACATCGTATTGCATAGTATCAATCTTAAAATTAGCAATTAAAGATCATTAATGGCTTTACTGTAGACGCAACAACTCCCAAATTATTTTTTATACGCAAAAAACATCAAGGAATAATAGCAATTTAGATACTGGTATTAGAAATAGCAAAAAGCCGGGATCAATCGACCATAATTTGATCGATTAATTGCTGGCATATTGTGCCTTGAGTCACTTACAATTTACTGCCTGGTTATTGTAAGCCCCAAATTAAACTTTCCAAATTTTCTTGAAAAAATCTTCTCTCCATAAATGTGCTAACAAGAACATTTTTGGGGTTTCACCGCACTACTACCACTGATCTAAAAAAACATCAGTGACTGCAACACCCATAGTTCCCCACGTGCGCTCGTGAAATTGAGGCTGTAGCCTCGGCGATGGAGCGACGAAGGCAATTTTGCAGTAGGCTTTCAATTTCAAAGGTAGATTTTGGCGGCTAAGTTTGCTCTCGGTATTTGATTCGTATGTGTGGGAATTATAAAAAAAGTCATGTCAAAGAGAACTGCTGCATATCAGTTAACTGCCGAAAATTTTGACGACGAAGGGGATCAAGATGATAGTGACAAAGCAAATGATGTAAGTTGGGGATTTTGCTCCCCGTGATTTTTCTGTTCCTTGATCTGGATCCGTTTAAGCTCGGTTTTGCGTGGTTGGCCTATTTCGGTACAGTACTTTCTTGCTCAATAGGCCGTTGTTGGCACAAAGAGACTCTGTTCTTTGCTTGCTCACTTGCGTGGGTATTAAGCAAAATATTACCCGCGAAGTTAAACAAAATAGAAAACTAGGATATCACACGACAAGTGCTCATTCCATTCAGTTCAGTTAATTTCATTTTAAATTCACCTACATACAAAGACTCTAAAATTAAACATACTTTACTACAATTTGAATAACTACATAAGACAATACACACAAAATTAAAGAAAGATACATGACACTAGAGGATTTGTATGAAGGGGAGGGAATTTTTAAGGAGGAACTCTCTCAATAGCAAAGCTAATCGAGGAGAGAGCACCGCCTTTTCAGATAATAGTTTTAGAATCTATGGGTAAATTGTGAGCTGTCTATGATACACATATTAATTCTTATCAAAAAAGCATGTTTCGAGTTTAAGACGAAAGACATTAACAGATGGTGACCTTTTTATGTCTACAGGAATGACATTCCACCACTTTGCTCCATGGAAGCATACTGATCTGAGACCATATTGACTGGTTTTTTTCCGAGTTAGAAAAATATCATCCTTGCCAGCCTTTCTTGTACCATATTGATAAACAGATTCCAAAGATTTAAAGAAACTATGAAAGCAAATAAGAGATATTTTATGAACAGATTCATACACAAAACATAGCAATTTTAACTGAAAATGTAGTTTTAGAAGTTTTAAATCAGAAAAGATAGGAGTAGAGTGTGAAGTAAAGTGTTCAAAATAAATTGCCCTTATAACCCTTTTCTGTAACAAGAACACTGGATTGATTTAAGTTTCATATGTAAGACCCCAAACTAAAATTCGATATTGCAGGAAGGGTGAAAAAAAAAGAATTATAAAGACATATTAAAACATCAATTGGTAAAAAATGTAGTTGCTTCTCTTTTAAAAATAAGTTTCTCTTATGAATTTGCACTCACCAATGTTCACCCCAGACAAATGCATGCCAAATCACAACTAACACAAACATGCAATGATCACTGCATGAATGGTTCCAGAGTATGAATTCTGGTATACATTTTGCACAGATGTGATCAATGATGCTTCCTTATGACATTTTGCTACAGATGACAATGACTTTCAAAAACTACTATTTAGTTAGAACATGGGTGGCACACTGGGGTATTAAAGGTATTCATGAATACCAACTTTTTTAAAACAATTGCTTTTAATATGTTCCAAAATCCAAATAAATTTTACAAAGCAGGGCAAAGGTGCTTTGAGAAAATCAGTGATTTCCAAACCCTTGATATTGCTTTGGCGGTGGGTATAGAGTCTTCTTAATCCCTTTTGTTTTCCAATGAGGCCAGCAGCCAAAAGGTATTCAAGGGCCATCCTGAATACCTCTGCATTGTTTTTGACTGACCCTGACATCAGTCACAAGAGATAACTGTGAGGCTAAACAAAGAATTTTGAAAGCAAAGCTATTCAGAACTTTTCCAATTACCTTGAGCGTACGGGTTCCCATGTAGCTTTTGTTTTCAGAACCGAATGCTGCTTAGACATTTGCAAATTTCAAATTATGTTCAACACAGATAATCAGAACAAAAACAATGTAATCCTTTGTAAAAGAGGGAAGAGACTATCTGTAAGAAAAACATTTTATCAAGTTGAACAAGGAAATCTGTTATACGAAGGTATTTGCAGGGTTGTAAATTTAGCGGATTTGCAAAGTAGTAGACTTAGATGAAAAAAATATTTTTTCTGACTTTGTTGAGCAATCAGGGCTTTCTGTTGGCCTTATCTGGTAATTTTCATTTTTATTGCCTCATTCAGCCATTGCTTCAGCCGTCAAACTGTCACAGCTTTGTGGCCACACTATTCAGAACCCAACCTGGATGTCTTCTAATTTTGTGTGGCTTATTAGAATGGCTTTGGGCTGTGCTTTGGTCTTGGATTCAGGCCTCTGATAGTATAAAACAAGGCAGACTTCAAAAGTTGATCTTTTTTGTGATACATAGGAAGACCTTGCAAAGGTCTGCTAGATTTGCAGGTGCAAATTTCTGGAACAACACTCCTTGGGGCATAAAGTTGTCTCTGTCTGTTATGTCCTCTTCACCATAACCTTTGATTCTTGTTTCTTCCCAAATATTGAGGCCAAATTTTCTTAATCTTTGTTATTTTAAAATAAAAAATAAATTTGTCACAAGCAACTGTAACTTTAAGGTATACTACTACAGAAAAATTTGCTCATTTGGACTGTTTCATATTTTCTCTTTAAAAGGGCAAAGCATTCTCCAAAGCAGCAGATGATGTCATGGCTAGAAGAGTGTAAGTCATTGATTTTGTTTATTTCAGAACTTCATGCCTTAAAATGATCTCTGGGAATCAGCTTTTGTTACTTTTTTAACTTTTTCACTTTAAATTTGATTGTATTGCAATATTGTAAAAAGTATTGCAGGTTTTCAAGGAAGCATATTCTTCTCCTTCTAATAATTGCATGCACCTGGCATTTCATGTAGTTGTTTGTGTTTAAAAAGTTGAGAAATGACAAAGTTGGTTATCTATCAGGTACAAGGTGATTGCATGACAAAGTTGGTTTAGTTTTTTGTATATTGAAACCCCAGCCACATGGGTTAGAGCACTCAAATGCTGGTCTCTGATAAGCTGAATTGCAAAGACGCTGCATATTTCAAATAACTCTACCTTAAATGTAACAAATTTATTCTTGTTGCATAAACATCATTTCATTTTGAATTTTTAAAGCCATTTACTTTTTGCAAAGAAAATTCCTCTTTGGTTCCAGGAAAATTATAGACCTCTTTAATTTCAAGTTTTTTGGATTGGCATTTTTTTAAAAAATTTTTGGTACAATATTAATTAAGGTTATTCATCAGCAAAGTGAGTAATTGTCCAGGTTGTTGAATTATTCTTTTGTTCCATTTAGACTATCCCAAGTTAAATTCTATACACAATTGAAAAAGCAATCTGTTTTCAATAATTATCTGTGAAATATTTTGATAAACCTTGTACATTTATAGAATTAAGAAAGCCAAGAGAAGAATTGATCAAACTGAGGTATGCCAATTTTGTAAAATGCAAATGTTTCAGTGTTGAATATGCTTTATGGAAAGATTTCTCCGCAAGGTACCAGTTATGTTTCTAACAAAATGTTGTATCTTTCATTCAAAATTTGGTGTTCTTCAAAATTTATCCTTCAAGGTGTCAGTGCTGAAAAGTGGCTGTAATTTTTGTACCTTGTTAATTAGGTTCCACCTTTTGATATGCTTCTTATTATTATTGATATATTAATTGATTTGTTTTAGGCACCATCATCAAATCCATTCAGTATATTATCAAGTCTTAAAGCTTCAAATGTACCAAAGTTAGCATCCTCCATGGAACCCAGCAATGCTTCATCAGAGAATCCATTTTCTCAAGCTTCTGCCATTTCATTTGGAAAAGAGTCAGCAGACCTTTCTGGTGCATCATTTCTAAAGAAGGAAGATTACCAATCTGGACAAAGCTTGAACTTATTTGGTAAAATGGCAAAACAAACTGAAAGTAAAACTCTATTTAGCAACTTATCAACAGGAACTATGATGCCTGGATTGATGAAAACAAATGGTTCTCAAAAGGTTGATGAAAATATAAAACAAGTAAGTCCTCAAAGTTCAGAGTCAGGTCAAATGTATGCTGAGCAGATTACAGCTTTAAATGTGAGTGTTCTTAGCTGGATAAAGAAGCATATTGATGAAAATCCACTCATAGACTTAACACCAGTTTTTGCAGACTACACAAAACACATGAATGATATTGAGAAAAAGTATGGGAAATCAGTTGAAGAAACAAGCAAAGCAGTAGCAAATAATTTCAATAAAGGTGATAATAGTCCAGCCAAATCAATGCAATCTGAAGCAACAACTTGTTTGCCAATCATCACAAAGGCAAATGAAGTCACAGCAGGCAAATCAACATTGGTCCCTACTTTTCTAGGAAATACACAGGCAACTTTTTCAGGTATTTATTCTATTCTTATCATTTATATTTGAAATCATTTATAAATAACTAGGGCAGATAGAAAGAATTGTGAAAGACAAAAAGGTCCTAAAAACCAGAAATTGTATAGCAAGTCCTTTCTGCAGCAGAACAAAATGAATAACAAGCTCTATCTACTGTCCTTCCTAATACCAAAATTTGTCCTCAGTGGAAGCTGATGCTTATTAAATCTTATAGAATAGACAAGATTATCTACATTTTAAGAAATATTTGAAAATGAATAGACAGGACCTTGTAAAATCACAGAAAGACAAATTTCAGATTAATATTAACAAGTTATGGTATCCCAAATGAAAAGATGCTTAAGATGTGTCAAACATTGATTAGCTTAGAATGGCAATAAAAGTGTAAGGCAGGCAGTTGACTAAAAAATTTGTGCAGTGGCAGGTAATTGATCACTATTCTCTAGCAATTTAGGAGACACTGAGGCCATCAGAGCTTGTCTCAAATGGCCAGGCCTGTATCAAGCTACTTTGGCTTTTAATATATGTTTACTTTCTTTTATTACACTATGAACCACCTTCCAAAAAAATACCACACTGTTGCAATATTCTTTTAGCTATGAGCTAAAACCAAAAGGCTGTAGCAAGTTATAGAAAAGTCGATTGATTACTATTCAGCTAGAAATTAATGTGAAAATAATCAAGGTGAAGTAATGATAATAGTAAAAATATTCTTGCCTTTTCTAATTTAAAACTGTTGGAAGTAGCCTGGCTCTTGAAGTGATACCTCATAAGATTTTTGACAATCTTGTTTTTTCATACATAGGGGTATTTTATAATGCTTTTCAAGGTTTGTTGTCAAATTGATCGTTCTAAAAATATAATCACCAGCCATTCAATAAACAAGAAATGTTAGATTGGAGATACCATGGTCTGCTACCATTTTTAAAGCAGTTGTTTCCATGCAATTCAAACATTTGGCAATAACTAAGGATTCCGTTGGTATCAGTATTTTCCTAAATTTCTTTTTTGTGTTCACAATAGTTCCAGAATTTAAAACAAATGAGAGAGAAAATGAAGATAAGGAAGAAGCAGAAGATGAAGATAGTGAAAAGGATGATCAAAAAATGTAAGAATATTGTAAATAAAAATTAGAATGTTTGATTGCAAATTGAATGAGATTTCCCAAAGGAGATTTGAGGCACATCTTGATATATATTCAAAACAATTAAACAGCCTAACAAAAGAAAAGGAGTGTTATTGTGCAAGTAAGAATTTTAAAAACTGGGACATTTACAGGCTAGCCCATTAGCATTTTTTCCCCTGCTTCCAATGTTCATAGAAAAATTATAGTCTGTGGCCCCAAAAATTATTTCAGATATACCTTTTGAAATAGGATATTAAATGTTCATTTGCACGGTGTGTGGAATAGAAATCATTTATTAATTGTGATATAATTGATAGTAATGTGTCATACTTAATTGTGATATTAGTAGTAATAAGAAACCACCTAAGTTAAGTTATTTAATTTTATAATTTACTTATTTTGCAGGTTTGCGTTTTACTTTCTTTCATCTTTTACTTCTACCTTCACAGAATAATCGAAGAAGATTCTTTCTATACAACAAGATGCAAATTGTTTTTCAAGAAAGGAACAGAATGGAAAGAGCTTGGTGTTGGCATGTTATATCTGAAGCCTTTGAGTGAAAAAATACAGCTGCTTGTTAGAATGGAGACTGCTGGTGGAAAAGTACTATTAAATATTTCAGTTAGTGACAGTATACCAGCAGGCAGGGTTGGTAAGAACAATGTCTCCATTGTCTCTGTTCCAAACCCACCTATATTCATGAAAGCAACAGATGGTGACAATACAAAACCGCTTAACTATCTGATTAGGGTCAAGGACAGCAATGAAGCTGACAACCTCCTGAAATACATCAAAGAAGGAAAGAAATAATGTTAATCGTTGATTTTAGATGTTCACTTAGCATAAACTTAGGTATGGTTACTGAGCTCAGAATGTGATAACTGTAACAATAAGAATCCATGATTTGGTGTAGCTGAAGAGTTTGCTTGCCAACTTGAGACATCTCAACAAGAATGTTCAATCTGAGATAAATCATATTATTGTATAATAGAATTTATAGGACAGTTGAGACAAAGTATAACATTAAGGATTTGCTAAGATACCAAGGGTTTCGGTTCACTTAATAGCTTTATTAGCTTTTATAAATATCAACAAAGATTCACATGAAAACTTTTATTGTGATGTTTTTGCTCTTATTTTGTCATTAGATTTTAATATTTTATGCTTTTTTCAAACTGTTTGTAGATTCCATATCACTAAATGTAATTGTTTTATTTCAAATTATGTCTATTCAAGTGCTTAGTCCTGAGTATTGTTTCTCTTCAGAACTTTGGTATAGGAAGTTTAGTTATGAGATTCTTATTGATGTGAAAGATATTGTTTTCTGTAACACTGGCATGGCCAAAGAATGAGAACCATGCCTTTCAGGAAAATAAAACAAGAGCAGATATTTTGATGCATTTTAAGTGCATGTTACTATTCCAGTAGAACTTTTCTATATATGCCTCTGGCCATAGTGGGCGGACACATACCAGCTTGAGTTCATTGCTTGGATGTCACAATAGAAAGTAGAAGAGAATGGAAATCAGGTTAGGGATAAGAAAGGCCTAGGTACCTGGAAACAAAAACCTAAAAAGTAAACCATGATACTTGCTTTTAATTGTACAATCAATTCTAAGAAAATTGACGGAATAACTGACTTTCACGAAATTCAAAATCTTTTTTACTATCCATACGAGCTATTGATACTCTTGGGTTTGAAATCTTAAAAAAATTGAGTAACGTTTATATCAAATTTCTACGACCTGTAGACATGAACTGTCTGTAGGAGGTTTGCTCCAGAAAATGCATATTGCTGAATTTCTTGCTTGTTTTTAAAAATTCTAATGCCAGTTTAACCACGAATTCCTAATCAAAATCCACTGTTTACAGTCTGCAAATTATAATATATACCGTAAACTGATTACTGGATGATGAATAGAAACGTCACAAAATGAGAAGCAATCCAATATAATGGAAATTCATCAAATTTTATTTGAACAACCAAAATATTATTACATTCTAATAAATATGTTTTGCTTATAGCTTGTTCTTCCTACTGGCTTAATTTATACATATTTTACAGTTGCAAAAATAATACTAAAGCAGAAATAAATAGAAAATGAAATAATAAAGGATGTGTTTACATTCAAAGGCTTTTTGTACCTCTAAGGGGAGCTACATGTAAAGGAATCATATGAAGTTTCAATGAAGTGTTGGTCAAAATTTTAAGATAACGTTTTATGAAATTTTATTCCTTTGGCCAGTAAAACAAACAGATTTTGTTTGATATTTGAAGGTTTCTTCTGAAATGAACTAGATTTGTTTGTAACCTGAAATCTGAAATTTGGAAAATTGATTTTAGTAATGATCCAGAATTTTTTTTAATGACTAAGCATTCCTAAGTAAAAAACATTTTACGATT